AAGCCAGAAAACGCCCCCGTTCGATTTAGTGACATAATTCAATCTGGAGAAGCCCCCAGCGCCCGACAGGAATATCGAGGTAAGTGCTATTTTTGTTTTTATTTTTAATATATCTTCCTTGTTTCCGCTGTCAGCTTCGCCGTTGTCGTCCAACAAATTTCTGGGGCAAGGGCGATCAGAACTATTAAGAGGATGGAGAGACGCAGTTGAGCAGAGAGGCGATGAGAAATAGCAGAGGTGGAAAGGATGTGGAGGCGTGTCTCTGACAAAACAAAGCTTAACTAAGAGCTAGTATGTGGTTTTCTTCAAAGTGGACTGTGAGAGATCTGCACCTGTAGAATGAACACAAGTGGCAGAGGAAAGAAGAAGAAAGAGGAGTAAGCCAGATTGAATAGTGATGTGTGAGAGGATAAGTGGATTGAATGAGTGAATGACTGAATACTTGAATGAATGATGTGTGAATTGTTTGTGTGTGTGTGTGCACAAGCGAGCAAGTGTGAAAACAGGACAATGATCAAGGGTGGAGAGGGAAAGCAGCAGTCACTGTGGTTACAGTGAGGGGTAGAGAGGATCGCAAATAGGCACAGCGTGTATGTAGGTAGTATGGTTGCTAGGGAAGCGGGACGAGGTGGGTGGTATGTATAGGAGGAGGACGAGGTGGAGGAGGAGTACGAGTGGAGGGGAAGCGGAAGAGGTTAGGGAGAAATGGTTTAAGAGGAGGAGAAGAGGAGAAGAGGAGAAGAGGAGAAGAGGAGAAGAGGAGAAGAGGAGAAGAGGAGTGTGGTGATGATGAGTATTGTGGTGGTAGGTGGTGGTAGGAGGTGGTGGTGAGTGGTGGTGGTGCAGGTGGTGAATGCGGCTGGTGATGGAGGAGTGAAGAGGGAGGAGAGAGGTTGGTGGTGATGTTGCTGGTGGTTGGTTAGTTGTGCCAGAGTGACGTTGATGGAGGGAGTGCAGACACACGGGACCAAGACAACCCAACCCAAGTCAGGAAGTAAAGAAATGGAAGAAGCAGACACAGACACAGCAACAACAGCAGCAGCAGCAGCAGCAGCAGCGGCGGCAGCGGCGGCGGCGGCAGCAGGAAGAGGAGGAGGAGACTCTGCTACTAGTTAAACAAACAAACAAACTGGCAGAATAAAGGAGCCGGACAAGGACAAGGACAAGGGACAGCACGGGGCAGGACGAGGGAGTTGCCAGCCAGCCAGCCCACAGCCACCGGAGGAAGAGACGGAGACGGAGACGGAGACGGAGAGGGAGGAGGGAGGAGGGAGGCGAATTCCCAGGCAGAATTTCGCTTACTCTTCGTCTTCTTCTGCTCTCTATTAATGCCAATCGTCGTCCCTATCTATCGTCCTGTTGTGAGTGTTGAGCAGCAGCGGCAGTGTCGCTTGTGTTGTCGTCTCTCGCCTGTTGCTGTGGATTGTGCCATTGAGCATTTCTCCAAATGACTACTCCGTATTGGCATGCCAGTTACAGATTACATATATAAGGTGCCCGAGTGGTTGCTTTTTTCCCTCTTCGTCTTTTTTCGCTCTTGTCTTGAATGATTTCTATCCATTCGCCACCAGCAATTCTCCAATTCTATGAGATGAATGCAATATCTCATATTCAATAATACATATACACTGCCAGGAACAATTGCGCAAAAGTTTTCAAAAGTTTTCAAAACTGGTTTTTGAGATTGTTTAATGTTGCTCGGTTTCATATCCCTTTCACTCGTTATTCGCGCTGCTTGCCGGCCCTCCCCATCTCACTCACCTCGCATTTCTCCGAAGGTTTCTCTTCCCTGGTACGTCCTCGATGTCACGCGGATACTGCCTGAGCCCTTGTCCCGAAGTGGTAGCTATTGGTGCCCGTTGGAACTTCCCGCGGCCTGGACGGATTGGCTCGGTGGCGCGCAGGTGTCGGTCAGGTGAGGCCAACATACCCACAAAACGCCAGCGACCACGGCTCGCAGTCGTGCCAAGACATTTTGGGGGGCCGGGGCGGCGGAAGGTAGATCCTGGGTCGCAGCCCGAGGACAGTAAATTGGAGAATTCGAGAATTGGATATATTGATATAAATCGATAACGATTCCTTGGGCCTTGGGTAGTCAATTCTTTACTAACTCCCATTAGTGTGTGTACCTTATCAGACAAAATATATCACTGCAATTAAAAATATTTCAAATTATTCTTATTCTTCATCTTTAAAATATCATTGATCAGTAAATGAAGTAGAAGTTTATAAATTTAATATAAATATCTGATAAAAATATAAGCTTTAATAATAGTTCTATCACATCTCAGTTTGTGGCAGATTGTACAGCTTCTTGTGGGTATATAGATGCATGGTGATTGATTATAATTTTTAAAGTTCAGCATCTTCAAACGGTGATGTTTTCTTTACGTTGGCACTCACGAACGGGAATAAGGAGGGCGCTTGTCACGGTTATATATTTGCGCTTTCCTCTTATCTGTTCGTTTTAATTTTGGAGGGAGGTAGGGCGGGGACGATTTTTATCTGCTTCAATCCATTTTTCTAATCTTCAGCTATGAAGCTTCGATTTTCGTCGCATTCGTTTGCTCTTCTTGGTGTTGTTGCTGGGTGGACAAGAACGGGAGTAAGTTATGTAACTGTGTTCTTTTCTCAAAGCGATGTGGGGGAGAAGCAATTCTGATATATCAGCACCTTTCTGTATTCAATCAAGATACTGAATTTGAGCTTGCTAAGGTAGTTCCCATTCTCAATTCTCAGTTCCGAAGACTTAAAATACTTCCTTTAGGGGAACTCATCAAGCTAAAGTTGACATTGGATATGTGTCTAGACACAGAGTGTGCACGACATTATCGGCCGCTTGAAGAGTGCTCCTGGCGGATATAAACATGTTGCCGATGACGGAGTTATACGCTCCTTCGGTCCAGATGGCGCTGTGGTTGACGCTGCAAGGCTGACAAATGCACAGCTCATGAAAACTGCCCTCGATCATTACGACCCAGATGCGCGGAACCACTTGGAGGAGATATGGAGTGGCGTTGATGGTCACAATGTCTCGGACAGTCAGCTCTATGCACCAGAGGAACACTTGCTCCCTCTCTTCGTTACAAATAAGACTATAGAAATGCACCTTCGGCATAGTGAGGAGGAACAGCTCGCCATATTTGGACGGACCATGGACGGCCTTAGGAACCGGCGGCATGATCCTCGATGAACGCTGTTCCTATATATTATGCCGTGATGACTACATCTGTTTACGATTCTACTGCCGATATTGTCTTTTCTATGACCAATTCCCGAATGGCAATTGCCAGTAAATTGATAGGCGTTTGAATGTGAGCTGAGAGCAAGAACACCCGGTACTAACACTTCCTTTTGTGGTGAACCCTCCGCCATTCTCCTTGATCTTATTGCGGCTGTTGAAAAAAATTTCCATTATACCCGAGATCATAGGTTTCTCGGATATCGAGATGGAATAGAATTTAGGATATTTATTTTGCTAAGATGGAGCTGGGTTAAGGTACAACTCTTCAACACGGCTTCAGCTCGCACCGTAATAGAAGCCAGTGACAAACTATTCTATACCGTATTTTTTCATGTTTTGTTTGGCAGGTAAAGGAAATAGAAAAAAGAAACACGCCCCCAGGAATAAAGAGGCCAATGTAATAGATATTTCAAAGTCTGTTCTTCATATATCATCCATTCTCTGTACAGAATATGTATATAAGGGGGTTGGTAATGTGGGTCAGCTAGTAATTGTTGGCCCTAGGCTGCCTATCACGGACTAGCGCACCGCATATATTTGCCTCAGCTGCCTGCATGCTAATTACAAACCACTTAGGGCGTGTTCGGTTGCACGTACAACCTCGCAAAACCTGCACGCAAAAAGTGGATATTAGCGTGCCGCCGGCGTTGATTTTTCAAACCTTGATTGCCATTCTAAAATCATAGTGGTTTTAATAATGTAATCAAATACACACAGTGATGATCTGCTGACTTTCTTATTTCATTTCAATCTCATTTTATTTTGTATGACAAAGCTGTGCAAGATGTTGAGTAGTCAGTCTTTAAATAATAATGAGCTTTTTAAATTCAAAAATATTTCAATTTCATTAAATCAATGATCTAGCTCACTCTCATCTGCTTTTGTCATTATTGTATTTGCCACATTGCCTTCACTGTTAATAATAACTGAAGAAGAAGATTTCATTCAGTTGATAATTTTAATTGCTTTTCATCATCAATTTATTAAATTTATTAAATTTATATTTCAATCTGTGTTTTAATTTGTTTCTTAATCCATCTTTCAATTCATCTTCTGTGTATGTATTTCATAAAATTCAGCAATGGACGAAGTGTTGCTGCAGAGTTTATTTGATATGAAAAAAAATGATTGAAAAATAAATAATGAAAATTTTAAAATTTGTAAATGAAATATGACAGTTCTAACAGTTCAATGTGTCATTTATCAAACAACCAATAAAAATAATCTTGATAATCAATGAAGAAATTTTAAATGTATATAGTGATTGTGAATAAAACATAAAAATCAGATCTCTGAATAAATTTGATATACAAAATATAAAATATATATTAATGATTCAAAAATCATGAAAAAATATTTTCAATATTATTCAAATTTGAATTTATTTCAATATCACAGATTTATGTTTGAAAAGTTGAATGAGTAATTATTAATAAAAAACTTGCTTCAAACAATATGCAGTTGATTTTAAGTTATAAAACAATAATTAAATATAAATAATAAATTATATTCTCTATCATCATTTATATTAAATGATTCAATATTGGATGATTTGCTTTTTAATGCTGTGAATAGTTCTACTCTGAAATGAAAATGTTTGAGAAAGAGAAAAAAAAAAAAAACAAATACTGAATATGATTAATAATTTATAAAAGTTTTCTGAATAAATTTTTAAAAAAGTTATTAAATTGTTTCTACAGAAAGTAAATGAATTACTTCTAAAGAATTGAAAAAATAATAATGAAATGATTTCATATTAATATTATACTACAATTCCACATCTTTTTACAAGCAATGCAGTAATGATGTAGATTTATTTAGAATTTAATAATAGCTCAATAAAGCAGCAACATGCTTTTATAATGAATATTTTAGAGAATACAGATTGAAAAGCAATAAAAAGCATATTAAAAAACACATTAAAAAATGCAGAATAGTAGTGAGAATAATAATGAGAATAATAGTAGAAATAATAATAGAAATAATAATGAGAATTGTGATGAAAAATAAAGTGATTGATTTGATGAGATTTTGTATCCAATTAATCATAATATAAATCTACACATCGCGATATTTTTTTGAATTTTATCAAAAATACCGTAAATATAATGAAAAAACATTGTTTTAAAACATTATCTTTTTTTGTATGGAATGATTAGATAAATTAAATCATTTGATTGATCAATAAATTAGATCACGGTAATATATATCACAAATACATATAAAATACTATATTGTATTATTAAATAAATCAGAAAAATGTGGAAGAATATAACAATATTTCTCATTTATCTACATTCATTATTAAAAATCATCAAAGATTGATTTATTCATCTGCTGCTGTTATTAATTTTTTATAATTAATAAATCTCTCATATTTACTCTGCAATTTCATTTTACGTTTTTATTATATAAAATTCATTTTTTTGCTTATCATTCTGTTCATTATTATACACTTTTTTTTTTATTCATTTTCTGATGAATCAATAGACAATTCCTTCTCATCAAATCTTTCATACTTATTCAAGAAATTATGAGCAGTTGCAAGAGTAAAAATCAGATAAATTTGAATTTTAATTGAATATTCTTCTCTCACTCTATCATAGATTCAAAATTGTTATTTGAAGATGTTAAAAACACACTCAATTATATTTTTTATATTTATATGATGAAGATTAAAAAAGTCTTGTTTATTGACAAATTTTTTATTGATTTGTGTGAATTTCTTAAGATGATATCAAATCTCTGAATATAAAATCAAAACATTTTATAATCTCTTTAAATAATCAGCATCTGCAAGGAAATAGCACTCATTCATTACATTCAAAAAATCATTATTATTTTGAATGTGAGCAATAATGCAGCTATCATAAGAAGATTTTTTCATTTCAGAGTAAATATATATAAAATTAATTCATAATTACACACTGTCAAAATGTTCCGCAAGATTCAATCTTTTTAATTTCATTATAATGACTGTTGTTTTGTTGAAACTGCAATTAAAAGATGAGTTCCATTCAAAGCTTCAATACACTCTTTGAAAAATGGTCATTGTTTGAGATTATTGCTCAGCACATTCCAGCTATATTTTATAAAACAAACAGATAAATGAACAACACAGTCATATAGTTTACATAATATTTTAAACATTTCATAAAATATTCTATATAAAAATAGTGAATATTTAATATATCTGTTAGAACTATTATGAATAATTTATATTTATTTTTAATATTATATTAATGAAATGATGAAACATCTCTGCAGTGATTCTATATGCTACTCTTTAAATGATTATATATAAAAAGATCAAGAGCTTTTGCTTGATTTGAATAATAAATGAATTCATCAATTCTTTTATATTTGTATTATTATTATTATTATTATTCTTCCATTATAGATGTATACAGTCAATGACTATGACATCTATCTGAAATACTTCAGGATTTTTCAACTTAAGAATAAGCTAATATACAAAGTCAATTTAATACATGCAATAGCAGAATTCCAGCCCAGAATCAAATAACTATTCAAACTATTCAATTTAAGAAAGAATGTCAAAAGAATGACAACAGATCAATATATTCAATTCAAAACAAATGAAATAAATAATATAAAAAAACAGCAGCTATTAAAAGAAAAGAAAGCATTCATAAATCAAACCTTTCAAAACAAATCAAAATCAAAAATAATCAAAATGAAACAAATTTCAAAATAAAAGTAATAAAATAAAAATAAAAACAAAAACAAAAAAAAAACAAAAATTGAATTCATTATCAAATCAAGCTATTCAATTGAAATTTTGTAGCAGTATTTGATTCTTTCAAATATTTGTATAATGCTGCAATCAATTAATAAATTTCTAAAAAATATCAGACTTCATCTACATCATATTTTTCAATTGTTGATGATGAGAATTCAATTTCAGAAAATCAATGATAAAATTCATTTCATGAAAAGAATTTATATACATGAATTGAATTTTAAAAGAAATGAATTGTATGCTCTGAGCAACAGAATACATAACAATTTGAATGATTAATTGATAATATTGATATAACAGTATTTATTTCAATCATTTATTTTCATATTCATCATCAGAATCCTTCATGATGTCAATCATCATATCACTGATAACAGTTTTCAACTTAAAAAATCAACAAAAAAAGGTATGATGATGAAGGAATTCAGCCCACCTCACTACTACACTTTTACAAACTGGAGTAAATCTGAATTGGGAGTCATATTTTGATTGGAATGAAATAAATTCATCTGATATTTCAACATCTATGCAAAGAAAGAAGATACCATCTCAGTTATTTAAAATTTGCTCCATGATTAAAGACAGTTTCTCTAATTTAAATGTGGAGAAAGCGGTGTTTGAAAATCTCTCTCCTTGGAAGAAAGATCTTGTCAGTCTTATTGATTTAAATATTAGTCAACTTTCAAAAGAAGTTCAGACTGAATAACATCTAAGTCTTCTAAAACAAATGAGAAACAAAGCAATTCTTATATACACTGATGGCTCAAAATGTGAGAAAACAGGCAATCTTGGAGCTGGAATAGCATATTCAGAAATGATAAAAACTATATTCTTGATTCTTGGCAAATTGGAAAAGAGTAAGAAGTTTTTAATGTTGAATTATTTGCAATTTCAAGAGCTTTCAAATTGGTTGAGATGAAGATTGAACAATGGAAAAGATTTAAGCATATTTGGATATTCTCTGATAGTCAAGCTGGGTTTAAAAGACTTCAAAGCAATAAAATCAGCAGTGGACAGTCAATGCTAGAGCTGATTTTGAAAAATCTTCAAAATATTCAAAGAAAAATCTCACTCAATTGTTCTATTCATCTTCACTAGGTGCCTGCTCACATGGGTATATATGGCAATGAAATGGTGCTGATAAAGCTGGAAAAAAAGCAACTGAATTAGAAGTCTGCTTTCAAAGAATTGTAACATGGGCTTATATTAAGAGAAAAATAAGAGAATCGTATTTGCAAAAATGGCAAGATATCTGGTTTTTACAAAAAAAGAGTGTACATTATTCCAGGTTTGAAACTAAGCCAAAATGGAAAAATTGCTCAATAAAATGTAAAAAGAAACTTTTTGCTATAATAATGCAGGTAAAGCTTGGACATGGTTATTTTAAATCATATTTAACAAAGATTAGAAATGATTTAAGTGATTTATGTTCAGATTGTCAGTTATATGAAAACCCAGAGCATCTTCTTTTGCTTTGTACAAAGCATACAGAGTTAAGATTGAGATTGAGAGAGAAGTTTGAATTGACACAGTTAAATTTAAAATTTTTATTCAATACAAAAACTGGAAATGAATTCTTGATTGAATATTTAAAAGAATCAAATATCGCTATAAGATTTCAATTGAATAGTTTGATCTGATAATGAATTCAATTTTTCTTTTTCTTTTTTTCTTTTATTTCTATGTATTTGCTTTAATTTTTGTTCTTGTTTTTATTTTTATTTTGTTACTTTTGCTTTGAAATTTATTTCATTTTGATTACTTTTGATTTTGACTTGTTTTGAAAAGTCTGATTTGTGAATGCTTTCTTTTCTTTTAATAGCTGCTGTTTTTTTATATTATTTATTTCATTTGTTTTGAATTGAATATATTGATCTGTTGTCATTCTTTTGACATTCTTTCTTAAATTGAATAGTTTGAATAGTTATTTGATTCTGGGCTGGAATTCTGCTATTGCATGTATTAAATTGACTTTGTATATTAGCTTATTCTTAAGTTGAAAAATCCTGGAGTGTTTCAGGTAGTGTTATAGTCACTGACTGCATACATCTATAATGGAAGAATAATAATAATAATAACTACACTTTTACATAAGATAAAATCATATCAACAAAATGACCTGGCTGTGTGCAGCTTACACAACCTTACACAGCTCTAACTTTGTCTATTTCAGTTACAACCACTCTATAATCAGTCTAATTACACTGTTGAATCTTAATACCATGTAAGTGGAGCAAAAATAGGGATATAAGAATGGCAGACTGAACACAAGGCCTTTTTCATGCAGGTATTTTCAATACACTGTGCAAGGTCATGTAAGTGGGTCTTTTATAAGAGGTTATAAGAGCTTACACAGGCAACCGAACACGCCCTTTTAGACGTCCCACATTACTCCGTAGTTACTACAGATGTAGTTCATTGTAGGTATGTATGCTCACGTGGCATTTTAGCGAGCGTTATGCATTCATTAAAATTGTTATCAACTTTTATATTTTCAAAGTATAGACCCAACCATCAATTGATCGAAAACTTTTGATCAATATCGGATAAGCTCTCTTTTTGAATATTTATAAGATAAAGATAGCAACTCATTCTTACTTTTTTATAAATCTCCTACTCTGAGCATATAATATTTTAGTTATGAAAATTCCTACTTCAGAATGAAAATCATGTCTTCAAACAAAGTCATGATAGTCATATGAGTTACACCCAGTATTCTGAATAGCAGGACAGCTGAAAGCTAGAATCCACGTACTGTACAGATTACATAGGTTGTAATATTCCTGCTCAGGTGCAACTACAAACCACCTGTTGGACAGAGAGTAGTTCTTCATGTCACCCGCTAAGCGCAGCGATCCGAAAATCCATCCCCACTAATTTTGAATGGGACACCCTTGTGGTTCGCGCGCTGCCCCTTTGGGTAGATTACGACGGTGTTGTCCCGTCAAGAATTGGGGCGATGGGCACGAACAGGATGGAAGGGCAATGTGCTGGCGTGGTGTGGTGCGGCCCCGTTTATTGGCATAACCAACCCCACAGAAATCCAATTAGTTTCACTTTTGTCTTGTCCTGGCCCTTGTTGTGAGGAGAGATGATTGGAAAGTCAACGGAGGAGGAGGGTGGGGTTGGACATGGCCATATATTGCAATTTCATGGTATATCCTGTCTTTGGGAGCGGTTACGACTTCTACTAGAAAAACACAGGCGTATTGCCCGACACAAGACAGAAGGAATACTAGTACTGATTGTGATGGTGGTTGTGATGGTGGTGGTGATGGTGTTTAATTATTTACCGGTCTCTCAAATAACGAACTAATGAATGATCTTGAGGCAGGTTAGCTCGAGATTGTTGGGTTCGGTGTGCAATTGCGCCCCCTTCTCTGTGGGAATTTTTTAAAAAATCAAACGCTGACGAACGACTCCATCAAAGCCAGCTAGCTCCACACCCACCCATTATTCCACCACGTACGCAGTGCAAACGAAGAGGAGAATACGGAGTACCCTGCGCAGTCACAGGAACAGTTCGTTTAGTGCTTCCCATCAAAAACTCAACCGGCCAATAAAATACGACAAGGAACTGGTTTTTTTTTTTTTTTTTTTTTAGCTTGAACTGGCGCGGCGAAATATGCCCGTCATCTCAGTCCAAGCCCAACTCAGCCAGTTACCTCAGCCCAGGAGCAAAGCATCGCCGCGGTGCCTAAAACAACTCTTGGGGCGGATGATGATGGTCTCACTGATCTGCTGATGCGAAAAGGAAAACTACCACGAAAAAAGGCTTTTGTTAGTTGGGGGGAACAATCAAGGATCAAGGTATTAGTATTATTACTACTATTATTCTTTTAACAGGACACACAATTGAATTGATTGTGATTGCATTTGAATCAGATCGAAAAATGGGAAGAGCAAGTCAACCAGGCATGGAACAGACATAACCTCATAATGGTACTACTAGTCATACAGAAAAATTAAAAAATTATTAGTATTGTCACTGATTGTCATTTATGCAAACGGTGTGTGCCTTGATAAAATGGGGAGACTGGCGACAGGGGCAGATATAGATAGTTGGTTGGTTGGTTTCCAGGGTTGCTTTGGGCCGGGTTATGCAGCTCAGCTTGGGCAGCTTGACGCTGCTGCTGATGGGTAGAGGGTATAGCGATGACGATGACGATGACGGTTCATTTTTTATATTATTGCTATATATTCCCATGCTGGGATTTCATTTGTTTGCCCTGAGAGCTCTGTCTGGTTTTCAATTGAGAGGATTGAGTAAGAAATTGGGAACAGATGAGAAGCCGTGCTTCAACCATCCAAGCTTTAGTTACAGGTCTTGGGATGTTCCACACCCGTACCAAGATAATAATACACTTTCAGTTTTTGATGGATCGAAGGCCGTTCGTTAACTTGGAACTTCTATATCCATGGATGTATCTGTTTTGGAAAACCCATACTGGTATACCTACGGAATTTAACTAATTAATAATGCCCACCACTGATTACTAGTAATAGATGCCTGCAAAAAATTGGCCATAGCTATCAGGAAGCAAAAGCTGCCACGGTGTCCGCCAGGTTGCAACAAAAAAAAAATGTCACCGACACACCAGTTCCTAACGTTCAAACCAAGATCGCTAGAAAAGCTTTGCTGCGACTGTCCCTCTTCTGCCCAGCTTGCTCTCCCTAGACCCCTAACTTATCCGTCTAGCTACTGCAGCTGTTCGGCTAGTTCCTTGGGGAGGACAAGGGGGCTGAAAGAGCTGTCCCCATGCACTCAGGCATGAAAATCGCCGGCTTTGAAGGACAACGCAGATGACCTCTCTCCAACGTTCCACTTCCAGTTCTTTTCCAGGAGTGATGAGCGGAGGAGACAGGAGAGGCTTGTAGCTGGCATTCTGGTATTCTTGCTGTTGAAGTTCTGGCTGATGATATATATGCCGAGGATCGGAGTTAACTAACCTGCATACATTCATACATAGTACGAGTTCCTGCTGTTTTGTGCGGTATTTATGTTTTTGCAGCGTTTCAAAACGTTCTGGCTCAGTGATCGAAATGCTTGCCCTTGTATCAATTCTTTTTCTTCTTTTCTGTGTGTAATTTGACACAAATGGAATCATTCACATATCTTTAGCTGTTTCAAAATTCTCGAAAACTAAAAAAAAAAAAAAAAAAAAGAAAGAAAGAAAGAAAGAAAGAAAGAAAACGTCGTTTCCCATGAAGATGTTCATCCATTCATTACATCTGGGTATAACAAAATAGTCCTCGTTGTCGACATTATCAGAACCTTCTCCCCTTGCCCCCATTTTGGCCCCTTTTCATGTCGTTGAGTGGTCCTGGCGCTGAGTGGAGCAACAGCTGAAGATACCATAAAGTATGGCATCGATAATTGATGCAAGTGATAAGGGGCCGCCCATGCCGATATGTGCGTTGGGAACTTGGGCTGGGTGGCTGTTGTCAATGAAATGGCCGAAGAAAGGCACTTGAGCACTTGACGGGCATGGGAAGGAATGAACGGACAATGCTGAGTAGTTGGCGGCAAGCCGAGGGTCAACTCTACTGTCCTGAGCCTTTTGCGAGCCCCAGCGGAGTACAGGATATAAAACTGGGAAAGGTATATGTATCTTCTGCTTCTAGGTAGGTAGTTATATATGGGATATTCAGAATATGTGGACTGATGATTGATGATATGTAGATATAGAGAGTTTGATGAGGTTGGTGGGTTATTCAATCATTCGACTAAACCCTGAAAGCCATTCACCATACCAGCGAAAGTTCTCCTGGCCGCCTTAAAGCAGATTAACTCCATTCAGGATGAAGAGAAAGCATCCCTAAATGAAACAACTGCCGAGATCTACGTCATGTCTAAGAAGGAGAACTGAGCAAATTAAAACAGCAATAGCATGCAGAAACGACGGTCCCTTATTCCTCTCCGAACACTTGGTGTAGTTATATACTGACACGTCTACAGTTATATTATCATGCAGCCCGCCCGCCGTTATCGATCCCTTTCCCCTATCTAATTGGTAGTGGCAGCTCCAGAGGCAACGTAACTGGCTCATCTCCATCATGCTGTACTGCCACTCAGGCAGTGGTTGGCTCACAGCATATAACAACATACGTACTCCGTACTGGCAGGTTGAGAGAACCAAGCGATCACCAAGGGAAAATAAAAATTGCTCTCGTCCATCCCGGCCAATCAATCACCACAGGTTCCGTCATCGTTCTTACCATCATCCATCGTCACCGTCATCGTCATATCAACCCCTTATTCCGTATAAATTTCGTGCTTCAGGTATCAATATAGGTCGGATTTTAAATCCAACCTGTAGCTCGACGCGGGCAACATTCTTCGGAGATAAAACAGAATTCCAGACGAACCTCCCCATTTGCTTTCTTACTTTCTGTATCTCTCTGCTTTCTGCCTCCCTACCTAGACGTCCCGTTTAGAGAAGAAACTCGTATCATTCAGTGACTTTATATGACAATATTGCGAGCAAACATATCAGTGGGAAGTCCACACCGCTTTTTTTTGATCGGGACGGGGGAAGGGCATAATATGTATAATATAATATCCCCTGGATACCAACTTCTGGTCCCTCCCCTCTTATTAATGTATTCGCTTTCACTTCAACTTTTTTTCCTCCGCCCAGCCAGAGTCACTAAGGGAATCGAAAGACTACACTACCCCTGGGCTTGCGTTTGAATTTTGCCTGTACACTTCCTCTTCGCCCTACCAACCCCCATTATTTGGTCCTCTCCTTTCGCCTCCCATATTTCCCCCTCTATTTCCTTACTCCTATTCCTTCCAATTCCGAGACGAGAATGTAGGATGCAGATTGCATGCATGCACGTCAGGCCCCAATTGAAATAATTCTGCCCGAGCTCACGGATTGCCTGGAAGCCTATCGATAAGGGGCCTGCGCGTCTGTGCATGGGATATTGCTAGGAGGTTGGCGTGCTTAAATGGCCTTGCTGGATGCATGCAGTAGCTATAGTTTAGAGGTTGCATATTTCGGTTATCTTAAAGTGAGGAAAATGGAGGCGCTTGTATTCAACGAGCGTCTTTCAGTTTTTGTCTAATTATGTTATATTATATTTTCTTTCTTTATTTATTTTTTTTATTTATTTATTATTATTATTATTTTTTTTTTTACCTCCCCCATCCCCCCTCTCTTTCACAAATGGACATATGATTAATACAAAGTCACATCATATAGAGAAGTAATCTAAATGTTCTCCCCATGCACATATATTGTGCCAGTTACAGCACAGGTTCGACAAGTCTGATATATACAAATGCAAATATATATATCATGAAACGGGTTGGTTGCAGCTGGGAAGTTCTGTATATATATACACCCTAAGTCATGTAGACGGAGGAAAATGTAATACTGCATTTCAGTTGACTGACTTCAGAGGGCAATAAATATACAGCAAAAAGGAGAACAAATGAAGGGATATATCGGCTGTTAAGTGAATAAAAATCCAGCCCTAGGAATATTTTCCTTTTTTTTTTTTTTCCTTTCCTAGGTTTTTTTTGTACTTCCCTACCCATATATTCTTACTACGGCTTGAGAGTTTCTTCTTTTATTTTGCGTTTGGGGAGTATTGATGCTATGTCGCCCGTAGGTAGTGGAATTCCGTGGTTTCGTTTCGTGCTATGTTGGTTTATACAAGATGGCGGTATGTGGTTGACAACTTAATACCTTGTTGCAAAGGGCCTGAGGCCTCCATTAAGGGTGTTGATTTGCTCATTCCCATGGTATATATCTGGTATTTCCTCGCAGAAATAGCCTACAGCGAATGAACTCTCAGTTATCAAGTGCAAATATCTACGCGAGAACATCGACTGTTGAAGCACCCTTATTTATTACGAAACTGGATCCACAATTCTCAGTGCTAGTCATTTTTTTTTTTTTTTTTCGTTTTTGTTAATTCCCATTGCCTAAATTTTTGAGGGGTGCGTAAGTTAATAGTATCTTTACATGTCATAAACAGGTTCTTGCTCATTTCGTTTCCCGCGCCAAGCACCTCATCGTATCTTCCGCATAGAACCACAATGCAAATGAGGGCAAAAAAGGAAAATGCGTTGGGGGATGATAGATTTCTTTTGTTCCACGAAGCCGATATGTTGTGCATGAGATCGTTTTCCGCGTCGGCTGTCAGTAGGAACTCACAGCAGGGAAAGGGGGAGTGGATCAAAACTTGGACTCTTTCAAAAACTCAGACGGAACCCCGGCCGTTGACATAAGGGATCAATGTGCATCAAGGAATATGTATGTGGAGGTTATGGGAAAATAGAGAACTACGTCGCCTGGCAAGAGCGAAGACAGAACGAAGAAGAATCATGGGAATAAACCGGATGCTTGATGCGCATGTCCCAAACACAAAAAGTGAGAAATACATTAACGTACGCACGGAGGCGACACTAAACATGGGAAAGAAATGAAAGGATACCAACTGACGAAAGAAAAATCCAAAACGAATAGGGGAAAAAGGGGGAAGTGAGAAATAGGTGTATATCATATGTATATATATATAATGTCAGAATGAACAGATGGAAATGAAAATTTTGAAATGGATTATATGTCCTCTTTATTTTGTTTGCCCTAGTCCCTAATCCACCGTCCCCAGAGAAAGGCTAATTCAAGCCATCTCGGATATACACGATAAGGAAAAATAACAAAAAGGAAACAAGGAAGCGGAGGAAAACAAAGGTCTCGATCATCAGATGTTTTGACAGCGGGAGGATTTCATCTCTGCGCCAGTCACCCACGTGCTGCTAATGGTTTCAGGAAGGATGGGTAGACGTACATAGGTCCAGATATGGATGAGAGATGAGAAATGGTGTTCACGGGACGAACAGCGAAGATAAGATAGAGCTACTAAAACACGGGATTGGAAGGAGAGGGTTGGGATGGTGGTGGGAGGTGTGAAGGGTGGTTCGGTGGTTGGTAGTGGGTAAAAGTGAGGCTGGGGTTAGTGTCGTTGGTGAGACTGTCGAGGGTTGCAATTGGGATATAGTTTTCCTGTTTTGCTTTTGTCGTCCAGTATCTTTGCCATTCATTTGACGCAATTGCAGGGATGCATAGGAGTTTGCAAGCTTAGAATGGCGGAGAGGGAACATTGGGCATCTCTCCGGATTCTTGCTGTTCCGTCAGCTCTTCCGAGGCCATTTCGAAGGAGACGGCGAGGCCAAGCTTGGCTTGTTGCTGTTTATTGGGTAAGAAATTCTGTTAGCTGGAATATTCTCTTTCACTGCCGTTTCTATTTTACATGGCGCGTAGGAAACATACCTTGACTTGATCAATCTCTCCGGCAAAAGTGAGAGAGATAGGCATTGCGACGCGCTTTTCCAAGAGGCAACTCAGCTTGCCAGAACTATCAACCTGAGCTCGGAAGGTGGATGCTCTGAATTCGTATTTGGCACCGACGGTCGCGGTGCCCTCCTTGCGGGTGTCACCCATGAGTCCCGAGGGATTGGGGGCGAAGTTCAGGGTCATATCAACACCAGTCTCGACCTTTTCAGACAACTTCTTCCAGTACGAGGCACTGATAGTGCCCTGAGCTTGAAGCTGGGCACTGGCAATCCAATCATCGCCCTTGTACTTAGCACAATAGGACACGGCGGTTTCCGGCGAGACGCCAAGGCCGTGTCGCTGCCATATTGCTTCGAGTCCCAATGCCAGGTTTGGTGTGACAGATTGGAGATAGCTTCCGACAAATATTCCGGTTAGTCCGCCTTCTAGGTACGATGGGTTGAAGGCTTTAAGGGAAGCGGAGAAGTCTGAGCCGGTGTAGTCGTTATCGATTTGTATCAAGCCTTGCGTACTTCCTGACATTATCTGCGTGTTCGTTTTTGTAACCCATGCGGAATTCCATCTGTAGTTGGCTACGGCAGCAAGAGCTCCATCATTGCCGAGGTTTCCTTGCAACAAGACCTTTTTTTTCACGGTTAGATATGAACTCCGATACGACACGCAACTGTGGAAAGCACTGGGAATATGCACAGTACGTACCTTAGGGGATCCAAACATAGAAGAAAAAGTATATGGAGGAAGGGTTCCTTGCTGCGAACCCATTGTGAAGGCGTGGGAAACGCGGAAGAGAGGAGACATGCCAAAGACTTTTGTCAGGTCGGCGCGGAGGCCTGTGAACATAAAGTTGGTTAGGAGGACATCCTTCTGAACTTCTCTGGCGACATTTTCTACGGTTCCTGGATTGGGCAAGCCTAATGCTTGCCTCCGGGCGGAGAATGAGCTATATGCATCTTTGAGGGCGGCAGTCACAGGATTGTCCGAGAGAAAAGCAAGGGCATCGGACATTTTGATGGGTATCAAAAGAAGGGTTCAATTTCAGATAAAAAAGAGAGGGAATCCGAGGGCCGCCTCTACAATAGACAGGAGGGTGTGAGGCAGAATGTATATGAGTGTCTCAGTGGTAAAGGCAGCCCGCAGCAATGAAGCTATTCGCAGATGTAAAGACCTTTACACGGAGGATGTTGATACCGATCTTTTTGTAAGTTCTTAGACGGGAAATTATTGAACATTTTGATACGCTAGGACGGTTTGGGACTAGTGTCAAATTATCGGCATATCAAGCTTGGCATTCCTCATTCCTCTTCCGGATCAACTTCATCCCAAGATCTCAGGCAGTACACACACACAAGAAATCGAGATATAGACAGAGAGGTAGACGGGCAGGGAACAATCTACGTTGCGTCTGCTGCGTCTGTCGGCAATGTCGCTATCGTTGGTTGTTGTTCTCGTCTGCGGATAAAGGACGCTTTCGTTGCTACTCCGTACTCTTTGAAGCTTAGGTACCACTATATACTTACTCTCTCTGGGACCCTGCTTTAAATCCCATCAAATGACATATACGCAGATATATATACTTTTCATCCGCTGCAGCCTTCAAGCATATTTTGTCAGATATTAGTGATCAAGGCCCTCTCCCCTTCCCCTTGTTCAGCTCGGGATACGCACTGCTTCAAGAATGGACACACTCCTGTAAGATCCCCTACCGCTATGATTTATCTTAACGTACCTCTTCACGACCAGCTCTATAATTACTGCTCTCTAACTAGCTAATTAGAACAGCGGACGTGGTGGCAGCCTCTCCCCTCTTCCGGAAAAAGTCTAGCACCTATGTCGACGCCATCCATGATCTACCAGAGAAGGGCGAGCTTGCCCCCGCTCAGCTCTACACCACAGAGTCTGGTCGACTCTTCCACTCTGGGCGTATAGTAATAATCACAGTTGGCTTGCCAGCTAGGGGTAAAACGTTTGTCGCTGTTTACCTTCCTTCTTCTTCCTTTTTATTTTTATTGATTCTCAAGGATTCCAGTGGGCTGACTGATCCCAATTTGGCCACAGACACATATCTGTTGCTCTTGCGAGGTACCTGAGATGGTTAGTAGTTGCATCTATATTTATTTCTGGATCAATTTAGATTATGGCGGGTTTTAATACATATATAGGCTCGGTGTGAAGACGCGGATATTCCATCTAGGGGACTATCGACGAGCAACTGTTGGGCCTGGTCAGGATGTTCCGGATGATTACTTTTTTGTCAACGGTGAGTTGACGCGGAACTATCATTGATTTGATGCCTCTCTACATCTATGGACCCTCCTTTTGATTCCTGGTTTTACACTCCCATTTTTAATCACTCGAGCCACTAAATAGGCCTTTTTGACCAATGTAAACTTCACAGCATCCGCCTCGTCCGTCCTCCTCAGGCAAAAAATCGTGAAAAAGTGTAGAGAAGACATTTATCATTTTCTAAAGCACGAAAATGGCCAGATTGCCATTTACGACGCTGTGAATCCAATTGCTGCTGGTCGTCGATCGCTAGCTAAGGAATTCGCAAAGCACGATATTGACGTAAGTTCCTGAAAAGCCACCATCCATCTCCTGTCGGATGAACAGCTGTACTAACATCCACTTGAATTTTAGACGCTATTCATTGAATCGCTGTGTGATGATGAGAGAATAATCGAAGAAAATGTGCTAAGTGTTAAGATATCTTCTCCGGACGTATGTGGTAGCGTCATTACATGTTCCCATGTTTCACCTGGTGTAGTTTGCTGAGTTTTCTTCCCAACGACAGTACGTCGGCTGGGACCCGAAGGATGCTGTGAAAGACTATCTGGCGCGAATCTCGGCACGGATACCGCAGTTTCAAACTATGAATGAACCGGAACTAAATTATATCAAGGTTGGCAATTACACTACCCTCTTTTTTCCATCCACCTCTTAATATGTTTTCTATACGGGAAAATGAAGATCAAATTGACACAAAATAGATGATCAACGCCGGCGAGCGCATGATGATCAATAACCGCACATTCGGCTATTTGCACCATCGGATCGTTTTCTACCTTCTCAATTTACACATCAAATCACGGCATACGTACTTCGTGCGGGTAAGCGTTAAACCCCCTTTTTCTCCTGAAATACAAATTTGACTGACATGGAAAGCTATTCAGGCTGGAACCTCCCGGGACCCAGACTCCTACAAAGCAGACGCACCCCTCTCCGAACAAGGCCTGGACTACGCGCGTAAAATGACGGAGCGATTGCTGCAACATCGCGAATCAGAGAGGCAGGCGCAGATTATTAACCAGGATGGTGATGATACCGATGCGGAGTTGAAACCACTTATGGTGTGGACATCCACTCGGCGCCGGACAGTGGAGACTGCTCAATTCCTGCTCAAACTGGGCTACAAAGTACGCCATCGGTCACAAATGAGCCAGCTGAATTCCGGGTGTTTGTGAGAGATGTCGAGAGGAGAATTCGGATGGAATATCCTGACGAAGTTGCGAAGCATGAGCTGGATCCATAATCATCATCGGTACCCGCGGGCCGAGTCGTACCATGACCTCGCAGTGCGCCTTGAGCCGATTATTCTCGAACTTGAACGGGAGCGGAATGACCTGCTCATCATTGCGCATGAGAGTGTCTTGCGTGTGTTATATGGATATCTGATGGCGTGTAATGCGGCCGACATTCCGTTTCTGTCATTTCCGCGCGATGAGATTATTGAGGTATGTGCAACAACTTGCTCTTTTTCTAAACCATTCTGACAATACTATAAACAAATATTTCTATACGAGTACCATCTAAATGTTAAATATAGATCATCCCAGCAAGCTACAACAACAAGGCAAACCGAATTCATATTCCTGATCTCCCGCCAGAGATTATCCCCGCGTCACCAGAGGGTATCAAAATCCCTGTTCCACCGAGTGGAGTTGTATCACCGATGCCTGGCTGGTTAGATGGATGCGAAAATAGGAATAGTAATGTCGATGGCGGTGGTGCTGAAGGTAGTGGTCTCGGAACCGCAGGGCTGGGCATCCCGCGTGGAGCCACTCCATCAGCTGGGTTTAGGCCGTCGCGAGACGGAGAGAAGATTTTGCAACATCATGCGGAGGATGTTGTTTAGGGTTTAGAGCTTGTTGATATGGGTGTCCTTCTTTGTTATGATGAAAGTTATTGAGTTATGACATATGTCGACCTATATTGTGGCCGGCTTTTCCACGCTTTTGTTTTATGCCTGATGCCTCATGCCTGAAGTCTGATGTCTGACCTGGATATTCCTTCTCTTCTCTTCTCTTCTTTCTTTCTTGGACAGTTTGAACGACTATCCAACCCTCCGTCGTTTCGTTTCGTTTCATTTGGATTGGATTGGATTATTATAAAATAGGAATAAACAAAACAGCAATTCCCTCCTCTTACTCCAACAAATTGATATAAATTACCTCGCTCGCTACCCGCCGTGCAACGTAGAAACGAATAATATATTATCCCCCTGCTGAATCTGGTACTTCTCCTCCCCTTCTAATTCCCAGTCGGCATCGTTTATCAGGACGAGGATCCCGGGTCGTCTAAGTTGGCATATATATAAGGAATTTGATCCCGCCAATATATTAGCAAAAGTCCCAATATCAATAACAACCCTGACGCCTGCACCTGACAACTAACTTACACAGCCCCATCAACCACAAATAATTCCTGCCGTGTATCCTCCATGACATTTTCTATCAGGTAGTGGACGAGGGAGGCTACGGAAGTCGGCTCAGGCTCTCCGGTAGAGGGGGACGGATATGTGGCGGGAATGGAGAGTGTGTGTTTCCGTGTATTATTGAAGATGGATTCCAGGCCGCCGCTGTACGAGGATCACGTTTGGGTATATGTTAGCTTGTGGGTGAGGAGAGCAAGACTGGGGTAGAAACGTACGTGAATTCAACGGTGATGGTGAGGAGCTGGGAGGAAGAAGAGAGAGACGGGCTTGCTATGGAGCCCATGGCTTTGATGTATTTCAGGAGTATATCTATGAGAAATCTTAAGGTAAATATAGGTCTTAAGGTGGTAAGATTATTCGTTGATGTTGGTGCGGGGAAGTCAATATTTTTTTTGGGAAAATCTTATCTTATCAGCAAGGAGGTTTGGATCGAAATTCGCAACGCCCAATCGAGTCAAACGAACTACAATAGCTAATCAACAAACACATGGAAATATAAGTAGTAAATCATCATTTGCTAGGCAGCCAATATCCAGCTGGCAGTGCCATGGCGCCCTCGACCCTCACCGCCCGCACCGAATACATCTCCGTCGGCGGCAACAGACATCCCAGTGCCGCAGACTGGGACAAACACACGGGCATCCTCGCTTTCGGTGCTAATAACAATGTTGCCCTCTGGAATCCTACTGTATGCCCTTACTACCCGCTACTTGAGTCATTCGCAATGAATATAGTAATGTAGTAGATATTCTGGTGGTTAACTTTTTTTCCTTTTGGTGCGCGAATAGGATAAATATCAAACAGGAGTATATGAACTGTTGACCGGCCATACCGATGAAGTCAACGCGGTCAAATTTTACACACTTCAATCTTCAGATGGTGGTTCCTCTCACTTTCTCCTCACTGGCTCTACAGATCGGACGATACGGGTATGGCGGCGGCGGGACGATAAGTCTATTATAACCTCTACGCGACCCTCATTTTCTCAAGTTGCAACTGTCCACGACCACGAAGGCTCGATAAATTGTATCGCCGTCACCTGCGGGTCTGAGCTGTTTGTATCCGGTGCGGCGGATGGGACAGTGCGGGTGTGGAGACTTAGAGAGATTAAAGGGAACACTGATGATGATGCTGGTGCTGCTCCTCCTACAATAGACTGCCAATTGGTACAGACGATCACGCTGAGGCCGAGATATTTAGCGCTGACGCTTGCATTAAGGGTGCTTAATGGGAAGGAAGGGGGGAAGAAGAAGGGTGCTGAGTCTGCGCCATCTGTAGTCCTGGCTGTGGGTGGGACGAGGACCACCATACAGATATATGTTCTGCAGGAAGGGAGAGGCGATACAGAGGCGGAGGGACATCAGTTTGAACTTAAAGCTAACCTTACGGGCCATGAAGCATGGGTAAGGTCTCTTGCTTTTACGGATATTGATGCTGGGAAGAGTCAATCGCAATTGCCTGATTTATTTCTTGCGTCTGCAAGTCAGGATAAATACATTCGTCTCTGGCGCATTCATGCAGGCGATGATGTTGCCCCGGCTCGAAATGGAGTTGATGATGAAGGGGTAATATCGGCACGGAACCTGGAAAAGACTCTTTCTAACAAAGCGCATGAATTCGAGGCGAGCGGGTCGAAGTATTCGATTACTTTTGAAGCTCTCCTTTTCGGCCACGAGGACTGGATATACACTGTCGCGTGGAATTCAGACCCTAAAAACCCAAAGCTCCTCTCTGCCTCAGCGGATAACTCGCTCGTCATCTGGGAGCCTGACCCGGTATCTGGTGTCTGGTACTCCGCCGCACGGATGGGTGAGATCAGCGCTCAAAAGGGATCTACGACTGCCACAGGAAGCATCGGTGGATTCTGGATTGGCCTCTGGTCGCCCCGTGGTGAGAAGGTGGTCAGCCTAGGCCGCACAGGTTCCTGGCGGCTTTGGCAATATGAGAACGAAATGGATTTGTGGGTACAGAATATCGCTGTTACCGGCCATGTACGGTCAGTTAATGGGATTGAATGGGAGCCCACGGATGGGGGATACCTGCTCTCGACTAGTTCAGATCAGACTACGAGGCTACATTCGAGATGGAAACATGGCGATAAAGATGGCGGTTGTTACTCTTGGCATGAATTTTCCCGCCCGCAGATCCATGGCTATGATCTTAACTGCATCGCTTCATTGGGGCCATGGCGCTTCGTTTCCGGCGCTGATGAAAAGCTGCTCCGAGTCTTCAACCAGACGAAGGCAATCGCAAACCTCCTCGAGAGGCTAACCGGCTTCACCGGCGGAGAGAAGCCAGCCGACATGCCTGAAGCCGCCAACATACCAGTCCTCGGTCTCTCCAACAAAGCCGCTGACGACGACGTAGATCTCGATGACGACGTGGAAGGAGACGTTATCCAATCCGACTCAGACCCAAAACCAAGCACAGAAACCTCTGCCCTTTCACCTCCCCCACCCACCTCTTGAAGACCATCTCTCAAAATACACACTTTGGCCGGAGCACGAAAAACTCTATGGCCACGGCTACGAAATATCTGCTGTGGCTACTAGCCACGACGGCACACTCATCGCTTCAGCTTGCAAGGCCAGCTCGCTGGACCATGCCGTGATACGCTTGTATGACGCGGCGGCGACGACATGGCATGAGATCAAGCCACCGTTGGCGGCACATTCATTGACCGTTACTTGTTTGAGGTTTTCGGCGGATGATAGGTTTCTTGTTAGCGTGGGAAGGGATAGGCAGTGGGCGGTTTGGAGGCGGGAAGGCAGTGGGGATGGGAAGAGAGATGATTTTAGATTGTTGTGTGCAAACCCGCGAGCTCACGCGAGGATGATTTTGAGTGCAAGTTGGGCGCCAATTATGGAGAGGAGTGTACCTAGGGCATTCGCGACGGCGGGACGGGATAAGACTGTGAAATTGTGGATGCAGGAACAGGGTCAGGATCAGAGAGGGTCTTTTACGTGTAAAGGTACCATTTCGCTTCCCAGTCCCGTCACGGCTATTGATATTCTACCGATGGTTATTGGTGGAGATCGGATTTATCTTGCCGTTGGTTTGGACACAGGGCGGATTAGCGTACATGCATTTGCGATTGATGGGCTTGGGGAGGCTCGGGAGGTGATGGCATTACCAGCGTTAGAGTGTCCGTCGAAGGCAATCACACAGGTGGCATGGAGGCCGGTTGGTGTGGAAGGAAAAGAAGTGAATGAAGTATACGAGCTTGCCCTTGCGAGTGAGGATAGTTCTCTGAGGGTGATTCGGATTTCGGATCTGTGACCATAGTCAAGGGGGACATGTTGGGGTAAATATATGAATAAATGAATGTGTTGTTATGTACTGTACCACGCAAAATAGACTATAGAGATATGAAGAATATGAATCTTTTGCGTGTATCCTTTGGCGTTGAGGCCCCGCTTGATAAAGCTGCAGACAAACGCCTCACCGGTTATCAGAACCCAAAACCCCAAATATATCATCATCATATCATGAATTGATGGTGGTTGAACTCGCTCCGCAAAACGTTCCGAATGCAAATAAAACATGGTATGCGCCATGATACATAAATGAAATGACGAAGTGCAATGCACATGTCCTCTATGCTGCACATTCAGAATTCAACCGCGATCTTCTTTCCCTCTCCTGGTAGACCTGGGCGCGGTCCTCGCTCCCTCAAATCCCTCTTCAACCACTCCAACACCACCTCCCCCAACCGACTATCCTCCGACGGCGAAGCCAGCCTGCCCACCTGAAATTTCTCAACGGGACCCCAATCTATCACCCGACCTAAATGCATGTGTACCAAGTGCGTCGGCCACCTGGAAAGATTATCCAAGATATGCGTAGCATACACAATCGTACACTCCCTCTCCTCCGTCTCCCGCTTCAGAAATCCCAGAAACTCACTCCGGCTCAACAGATCCAGATCCATCGTGATTTCATCCAGTAAGAGGAGGGTCCAGGGCCGCAAAAGACCCATGGCAAGTTGCACACGGCGGCGTTCCCCATCTGAGACTGCGTGCATGTGCCAGTTGAGGTCTATATCGAGGATTTGAATGAGTTGGTCGCGGCGATCTGGGTAGGCGTCACCGCCAACGGAGGCTAGGAGAGTGGGCACATCTATGTCCGTGTGGACTATTGGGTTTAGAACCCATTCCACGCCCAGGTAGGTTACGCTTTCGAGACCTGTGGTGAAAGGGTCTACCCCGCCGATTTGGACGGTGCCGTGGGGTGCGAGACGTTTGCCGGAGAGGACTCGGAGAAGGGTAGATTTTCCGGCACCGTTGGCTGTGTTATGGATGTCCGCCGGAGTGGGGTCGTTAGCAAATAATTGAAGTCCAATGGCTAGTTTATATAATGTATTTATGGCATTGTAGTTATGTATATGAGGCCGAAGGGGGGGGTTGCGTGGGGGGGCGCGTGCGGGATCGGGAAGAGACAACAGTATGAACCAGGGGGGATATTTACCGCCAATTAATAGGGTTCGACTGCCGCTAGGGAGATCGAAAGAGACATCAGTCAGGCCAACAGCGCCATCTGCGAAGTTGTAACTGAGGTTGCGGACCTGGATAGAGGTATTAGGAACGGATGGCGTCATGAGAGGAGAGGAGCGGGTGGGGCGGGCGCGGCGCGAGGAGTATTATCTTCAATGCTGATGCTGAGTTTTAGGATTGTTGAGGGTCCAGGGTTAGTGAAGTTTCTTTCTATTTAGATTGATGCTCTTGCACAAGGAATCGAGGGGGATGAGGGCTTTGCATGTCCGTAAAATGAGAGAATATAGGTAGGATATCAGAGATATGGCGGGGTATTTCACATACTGAAGGATGGCCTGATCTATTGCTCTGTTCGGAATGCCTAAATTGCGTCGTATTGTCTTGCGAAGTCCGCCTAGCTATTTTAATTAACTTATATATTATAGAAACAGATATTATATGAAAGGCGAAGCTCTTCCAAGTTGTTATGCACGTATTTTTGCTGTAATCGAAGTACAGTCAAATACATCATTAATTACGGCCGACTATCTTTTTTCTTTTCTTTAAGTTGACCCGACCTCAACACAGAGAATACCTCCTGATCGATCTCAAGAACTGAAACATGAGCGATCTCGAATCCGATGCTCAGGCTCGTCCGATCTCTGGGCATGTCTTCTAGCGTCCCCGTGGAACCCCTCATAGCCGTCATCGGCGCGACAGGCACGGGCAAATCTCAGGTATGGATCAGGATAGTATTCATTCCATAAACTCAGCAATCGTACTTTTAGGTCTAACAATGTGATTCTATTTTGAAAAAAATCAGTATACTAATTGGGTCTTACAGCTTGCTGTCGACCTCGCCACCCGCTTCAATGGCGAGATCATCAATGGTGATGCCATGCAGCTGTACAAAGGTCTGCCTATTATCACCAACCAGATTCCCACTGAGGAACGTAAAGGCATCCCACATCATCTTCTTGGGTGCATAGGTTTTGACCAGGAGCCGTGGCACGTAAGCCATTTCAAAAAGGAGTGTCTTCGTACTATTAAGGAGATCAGGGGCAGGGGAAAACTACCCGTTCTTGTTGGTGGGACACATTATTACACGCAGGCCGTGCTATTTAAGGAAGCTATCCTGGGAGATGGGGAGAATGATGAAGAAAGTGGTAATGCTGACAAGGAGAGGATGGTGGCGGATGGTAACAGTACTCCACAGTCTGAAAAATTTCCTATGCTGAATGCGGCTCCGGAAGTGATACTACAGAAACTACGAGAAGTGGATCCGGTAATGGCGAGTCGTTGGCATCCTAATGACACTCGCAGGATATACCGCTCCCTGGAGATATATCTACAGACTGGCAGACCTGCGTCAGAGATATACCAGGAACAGCAAAGGCTCAAAGACGCTGCTAGCATCCTTGACAACCAATCCCTTCACGACTTATCATATGTAGAGAAAAATACCTCCACTAGACCATCGCCAGCCAGCGTGGGACCTTCCCATTTGCGTTTTCCAACACTCCTATTTTGGGTCCACACCGAAGACGGCGAGCTAACTCGTCGCCTCTCCCAGCGAGTTGACAACATGGCTGAACAGGGCCTTGTTGCAGAGGCGGAGTCTCTTTTCAACTACCTTAACGAGAAGCATGCACAAGGAGTTGAGATTGACCGCACGCGTGGCGTCTGGGTATCTATAGGCTTTAAGGAGTTGGAGCCATATTTCCAGGCACTTTTGTCTTCCGCCTCCACATCAGCCGCCAACGCCAACGGAGCCGGCTCGGTGGATATTGTCAGCGATGCTGCTAGTATTATCACAAGTACTAGCATTCTAAACCCCGAACAACTTTCCAACTTAAAACAATCCTGTCTCAGCTCCATAAAGTCTGCGACGCGGCATTATTATCGCCAGCAGATACGATGGATAAGAGGCCGGTTATGGAATGCGCTAACAGACGCGCATGCTACACGGCAGCTATACGTTATCGACTCGACAGACGCTTGTAGCAATCCCAGCGCATGGCAGAGCGCCGTGCGCGAGCCAGCTGAACGTGTCGTGGAGTCGTTTTTATCCCGTGGTGTTGCAGAGTGCCCGGATCCCCGGGAGCTTTCGGAAGCTGCGAAAAGAGTGTTTGAGACGCAATTACAGAGCTCCGTGGCGGCTGGGGCGGTGGAGGGGGAAGAACGGGCCCGACAGAGGACTGTGTTCAAATGTTCGACATGTGACGTATGTGGGATTACAGTGCAGTCGGATGAGCAATGGGAGGTGCATGTCAGGGGGAGGAGACACAGGAGGGCTGTTAAGAGTGCGGAGAAGAGGAGGGCGAGAGGTGAGTATCTTGAGTCGAGGAGGGAGAGGGGGGTTATGGAAAAAGGGGTTGTGAATCCTGATTGCAAACCTGGATGAACGGTTAGTTGATGAGCTGGTTCAGGGCCAGGGCAAACGTGAAGGCGAGGGTGAAAGGGTAGACCACTAGTTTTTCGTGTTTAGTTTTTGGACATAATCGGCAGTTTTTGATTTTATCCTGATGCATATGCATGGGCGGGTGTTCACTCTCCTTTTTTTTTTTTTTCTCTTTTTCTTTCTTCTTTTCTTTTTCTCCTTCTCTTTCGTTATGTATATATTTATCAATGTAGTAGCTAGTGGTTTGGTTTAGGTTTAGGGCCCCAATAAACTAGATACCATTGCGGACTGCAGAGGGATAGCTATGTAATAGGAGAATATTCGCATCCAAGGACCTGTTTTAAAAAATGATATTTTGACTATGTAAAGTGAGATACAAACGCATTGGTATATTTACAGGTTATTTTTGTGTATAGAATTACCAGGTTTTGAGAAGCTTTCTGGGACCAACAATCAATATAGACAGCTCTGAACAGTACATATCCCCTATGTCGACGACACTGTAATATAAAAAGTAGAGGAAACGGGAAGTTTGACGTATATTCGGCAACCTACCCGCATGAATGCCGACGTGTCGGTAACCATGATTTGCACTTGAACGGAGGGAGCTTTCTAACCATGTTTCAATCCGCTAGGCTCCCCTTGTATAAGGAGAAAGGTCGCCGGGAGTATATAGACGACCAGAGGGGCCACCCAAAGTCCTCACCCTCACCGACATAGTTAATTCACTCGTTTTTCCATTTGGGCATGTTCGGTGGGCAAAGATCGAAGAAGAGCCCGTAGCTTTTAATCTGAGTTTGTGCCATTATTCGGAATCCCTCTCAACTCCTGGGGGATACAGATAAACGGGGAGAAAACTACGTGGCGCGACGCTGAAATATGGCTCGATTGAGTGTTCATTTCGAAGACCGCCAGTCAACAAAGGCTTGGGAAAGAATTCCCCCATGTCCCGAATCCTCCAACTTGAAGACCTCAATAACAGAAGATCTCTCCTGTCTGCGGATCCTCCATAGTCCCTCGTCTTTAATGACGAGTTTGAGCCCTTTCCTCAAATTAGTCAGTCTATACCCAGTAAATAGTATGTCGTTGAAAACGAAATAACGATAGTTTTAGCATTGGTCCAAGAAACTCACATTCTAAAAACTTCGCTGTGAAATTGATGCAAATATTCCCATCCCAAGTGCCCTTGCCCTGTCTGGCAACTAGACCTGGTATATCACGGGTTACCATCTCTTCCAGCCGGCGCAGTATGCCGTGTTCGTCGCGGAAACCAACGATGATTTTAGGCACACCGAGAAGAAAGGATTGGGCCCAAAACTTCAGCAACTTGCGTTCGTACTTAAACATATCTCGATCGTTACGGATTTCAGCAGAAGTTTTCAGCTCGACCCAGTTAATGGGATCTTCTTTTCTGTCGGGTTTACTGTCCCATACTGGCAAATTTTTATTGTGTGTTTTCAACGGTTAGTTTTTCATGAGGAGTTCATTTTCGTTTATTTCTTTCGATTCGGTTTGTATATATTTATTTATTGAATGGGGATTTGGAAACGATCTCTTACCGGCATCAACTTCACCACCAATAACAAGCTTGCAGCCGCCGATCCCCGTCCGGACGATGGAGCAATATTGTGCTTTATTGTTGACAACCTGGTCTTCACGACCCTCGATTTTTTCACGAGGAGAAGCATCCCAAGGCTGATCTAGAAGAGAAAGAGTTTCAAATTTATAACCTGGAAGGATGCCGCAGAGTTGGTCAGATCAAGATGCCATCCGGACTCGAATGCAATGTCAAAAGAAAGTGTAAGATGTTGCGCACCCCAAAACGCCATCATGTCCTGTGAAGGAGCGCCAGGAGGCATCTTCTGGTTCTGCTGTGATTGCTTCTGGGCAAGCTTATATGCGTTGTTTTCCTCGATGAAACTGGAGCGATTTGGGCAATCCTGAATGAGGAAACGGCTTACGAAAAGTAGTACTCAGAATAACAAATTGAGTACTCACATTGAGCCCTTTCGACATCGCGATCAGAAAAATTGATATTGCTTCATTCGATCTCCAATCGTATTTTGACATAACAAAACGAAAAAGGGATAGAAAGATGAAACTTACCTGATAACAGGTCGCATTCATCTCAAACCTAGTGAAGACAGCCAACTTCAGCCTCAGAATTTAGACCCCTTAACCCTCAATTTTTTCCAATTTTAGAGACACGCAGTGCATGGAAAATCAAATACCCATTCATATTATCAAACGGTGCTGTCATTAACTTTGCTGAGCCCATCAGTCCATGTAATCAGCGTCCAGGGATGTGGAATTGAGAACAATAGCCTAAACCATCGAATGCCCTCTAGAAATATGCGCGCAATATATATAAAAGGAAAATTCAAAGAGAAAGAATAAAAAAGGAAGAGATATAAAAACACACCTTCGTCATCATCCCCCTCCACGTAATGAGATCCGCTTCGCATTTCGCGCCCGTCCTCTTCTCCAAATCAATTATCGTTTCCAGAAGCGCATCTAGGTGCTCATCGCCGGTGTCATCCAGCTTTTCGAACGTGTCGAAGCCCTTATTTAGATCAACCGGTAAGCGCGGAGGATAGTAATAGCGCAAAGAGGACTCGTCGAGGTGGAAGTTGTGTTGATCATCGTAGGAGAAGTAGGCGATTTCCTGGTGTATGCGCATTAGATCAGGCGATTGTATTTTATTTTCTGTATTGAAGGGAAGCTCAGATAACATGCCTTTGGCCTGCGAATGGCTGTATTGGAGCCGGCAAAGCGGGCGACGGGCTGGATATCGAAGATTTGGGAGTTCATGGTGGTCCGTTGCAAATGCCGGGCTATAGGGGTTTGAATGTGGGTGGAATTTGGAATTGGTTTAATTCTCTATATAATATCAGGCGCATATCAAGTTTGGAGTGTGAGCAAGGCAAATAAAACAGTGTTTGTGGTGAGATAAATACGAGTACATGGCGAGGATTGATTGTTGATGTTGCTGGACGAGCTTGAAGATCTTCCTTTTTTCCATCTTCAACCTCCACTCTCTTTCGTACTGATATTTGACTAGATCTTCAGTATTCGATAATCCGACTAATACCCGCCGAACCAACTTCCTTTCCTCCAATGATGGATGCTCTGCTATAGTACTGCTCTCATTCTTCTCATTTAGGGGTGCCTACATAAATATATTACCTCCCGTCAAAACCCCACCATCCCACCACCGACGAAGCACCGCCATCCTTCCTCAAGCAAGCGACCATGACCTCCCGAATCGAGAAAACTATAGCCCGCCAACAAGAGAAGTATATAGCTACATGGCCCTTAAAGTGCAAGGAGGAAAAAGACCAGATCTAACCCCATACCACCCCAGAATTGCTGCAGGCGCCTACTATGAAGCTCACCAGCAACTCCGTGTCATCGCCGCCCGTTACCTCAAACAGCAGAACTACGATGCCGCCGCGGATATCTTAGCAGGCGGCGCAAAGGCTCTTCTGAGAGTTCCTGCTGCGTCCGCGTCCGGTGGGGACTTGGCGATCATGTTGATTATTGATGTGTATAACAAGGCGGAGTGGGACGTTGGCGGGGATGAGGTGGGGAGGGCGAGAAAGAGTATGTGTTTTTCCATTGCTTTTTTGGTTTTGGGGATGGGATAGGGTCTCTGTCCATGTGGGTGTGTGTCTTTATTTTTACTGACGGTTTGGATTTCAACGATAGAGCGGTTGATTGAGCTGCTGCGCGAGTTTCCGCCTGAGGAGCCTACGAGGAGGAGATATATGAATGAGCTGATCTCGTGGAGCGCGCGGTTTGGGAAGCTGGAGAGAGGAGATCCTGAGATACATCATGAGATTGGGGTGTTATTTGCGCAGGGTGAGTGAATTTATTTTAACCAGTCCCCCATTCTTCTTGACTTATAAGTTACCTGGTAAAACAAAGCTATGGATTGGTTTTTGTGATAACCTATTTACCTTTGCCGACCATTTGCTGCCCCCTCCAGAGAACGAACCCTACGACGCAGAACGACACCTGGCCATTGGCACCCCCGCCTCTGCCGAAATCCTCGCCGACCTCGAATACGACTGGTACACGAACGACGAACCCCACACGGCAGGCACCTACGCTTCCCGCGCAGTTTTTCCCTTCCTCCTCACTGGCAACCTACGTGACGCCAATAAAGCTTTCTCAGTCTTCACCAGTCGCCTGTTGTCCTCAGAATCCAGTAAAGTCCTAAATGTCCAGCAAGTCAGCAGCCAGAGCGCAGATGTGCGCGTCTTCCCTTCCCTGCCCATTTTAAATTTCACAAGCCTCCTGCTGCTGGCTATCCAGCGCGGCACGACAGATTTATTCAGGCAATTGACCAGACAGTATGCGATTCATATAAGGGAGGTGGACGGATTGGAGAGTGCGTTGGCGCATATCGGTGAGTTGTATTTCGGAATTAAGATTCCGAAACAGTCTAACCCGCTCATGGATATGATGGGGATGATGTTTGGAGGTGGTGGTGCCGGAGCAAAACCAGCTCGACAGCAGAGGACCGCAGGGAAAGCTGAGACGCAGCCTCTGGCGATGGATTTGGATTAAAGGGGGTCTGTAATTGTTTGCTCGTCGGAAGGGATTTTATGGTATTAAGCTACCACAGGCAGAAGCCCATGGCTCGCGGACAGATTACAAGTAACGCACGGCAATGACCTAGACATGAATTTCATCCTCAACTTCGTACATCCAAGCGTCCTCGTCCAGCGAGGAGACTTTGTTTCGTAGGCTCTGTTGGACCAGGAGGAATATTTCTGTGATATGATCCGTTAGTATGGGATCTTCCGCGAGATATATCATGCTCTGTTTGTGGCTAATGTATATATGAAAGTAGAGGCGAAAGAATATATATATAAATCTTACCAGGCGAATCACTGTGCAGCTGCCTACTGCGATTTCGACACATCATCTCCACAATCCCCGCTTCGATTTCTGTTAAATACCACAGTAACAAGCGATCAGCCAGAGTGCTCACAGCAGGTCCGAAATCAAACAAAATAATCAAAGAGAAGAGTAACCACGCCTTGAGAAAAACATACTTTCCTTCTCCCTGCCTCCAATACCCCCCGTCCCTCCCACGCCGCCCACTCCTCCCGCACCAATGCCACCACCACCCCCTTGGCCCTCCCCAATCTCAACATCCATCCCGCCCCCACCACCCTCTTCGCAATCATCATCCCACATTCCCACCGGCAACACCGGCACGTCAACCTTGTAGCCCCCATTTTTATCACGTGCGACGATCTCTCCATTATCCAAAGATGAGGACGAGGAGGAGCGGGCTATTTGTTGTTGTGCGTGGGCGTGCGGGACACTGAGAGAGATCGCAGGGACAGGGTTGAGGGTGTTCGCAGCAGCTCCGGCGCTGGCTGCAACGGGGCGCGAGGTGTTGGTGTTTACACTGGCACTGGCACTGGCAGTAGTAGCGGTAGCGGTACTGGCGTTGGCACTGATGCTAGAGGGATGCACCGTCGATGCGGAGCTATGCGTCGCGGTGGAGGTAGAGGAGGCGGGGCGACGGCTTAGGTGGTGATGGTGGTGGAAGAGGTTGCGGCGGATGGAGGGCATGGCTGTAGGCGCGGTGTTGGTGGTGCTGTTGCTGCTAGCGGCGTGAGTGTGTGGAGGGGCGGAAGAGGTCGAGGCGGAGCGGCGTGATGTTGTTGTTGCTGCGGCGGCGGCGGCGGCGGCGGTTGTGCTGGATGCAGATGTGGAAGGGATGCGGGATTGGTGTGGAGGGCGAGTGTGGTGGTGGCGGGAGGAGGCCATTGTTGCTTTACCTGTTGTTGTTAAACAACATGTAGCGATGAAGTGAATCGGGATACCCGTTGTGAATGCATTGTTAGTTCATGATTTACGTAGCTTGCTACGAGATTGAATGGGAGAAAGGCTTATTAAAAAAGTAAATAGGGATTGAACAAAAAGGACTAATTATAAATAGAGAACGAGAAGAGAGGAGGTGGAAGCTCTGTATGTATAGGAGGTGCTTGAGGATAGGGATTTTGGAGGTTTAAAAAAGTTGAAGCTGAATATTTAAGTTAACTAACCGTGCCAAGCGCACTCACTACCTCCCATTAGTGAGTGCGCCCCACCGCAAAAGGTAATATCACCGCAACGGTAATATTTTTAATTCTCATCATTCTTCAACTTCAAATATTTATTAATCATCACAACCATGCCTAAATCATCTGAATACACTGAAGATCAGCTTCAAAAGGCCATTGACATGTTAAAATTGAATCCAAAATTGAAAATCACAAATGTGGCGCGAGAATTTGAAAATTCCATATACAACCTTGGTTGAGTGGATTAAAGGAAGGAAATCAAGGACAACAAGGATTCCAATCAATTGAATATTGAATGACAGTCAGGAGGAGGCTCTTAAGAAGTGGATAATACAGTTGAATAGTAATTTTTGTCCTCTCATCATCAAGCATATTGAAGCTGCTTTGAATTGAATGTTGAAGCTTCATCATCTCAATTCTGACATCTCTCCTTCTACTGTGGGCAAGATGTGGGCATATTGATTTGCAAAATGTCTGCCAGGGTATAATAGAGTGAAGCAGAAGCCAATGAATTTAAAATAGATGTTTAATGAGAGCTTCATCATCAACTACACCTCAAACACAGCTGAGTGATGCTCGGATCAAGATCACAGACTCTCAGCTGGAGCCCTTTGCAGATCTTGTCAGAGGTCTCATGGTGGACATGCCTTGCCCAGAGGGGGTTGGAAATGTGGCACAGCTTGATGATCTGGCCCAGCACTTCACTCAGAGTCTTCTGGCTGCAGCTCAGGCAGTCAGTAAGCCAGCTCAACAAGGGCGGACCACAGCCCCCTGGTGGACAGCAGACTGCCGAAGAGCGCACCGAGAGCTCACCACTCACCAGACAGAGGCCGCGAAGCACCAGTTCAAGGATGCAGTGCGCAAGGCCAAGCGTGCATACTGGAGGCAGGTGATCAATGGCGCCAGAGATGGTAGAGACCTGTACCGGGTGGTGGCATGGCATAAGCTGGAACCCAACCTCAGAGCACCCCCTCTGGTGATTGGGGATCAGGTCATAGAAGAGACAGCCGCCAAAGCTGAGGCACTTCAACAAGCAATTCTGAAGCGATACAACTCAGCTGATGATCTGGAGTATGACCCACTGGATGATGAGCACTGGAGCGGCATGGGGAACCTGCCCTGGAACCCCCGGATTGAGATGGAGGAGATGGAGCGCAACACCATTGGGGTACAGAGCACCTCCCCAGGCACGGATGGAATCACAGTGCAGATGCTCAAAGCATGCTGACAGCATGTGTCCCTCTTTATACAGCAGCTATACAACTGCTGCCTCCGGCTCTGCCACTTCCCACGAGCCTGAAAACTGGCAGAGGTGGCAATGATACCCAAGGTGGGTAAGAGAGATAGAAGCTCAGTCCGCTCCTGGAGGCCCATTGCCCTGCTTTCAGTAATCTCCAAAGGGCTGGAACGCATCATTGCAAGGCGACTGGCGTACACGGCACTCATTCACGGCATAGTCAGCCCACAGCATGGGGGGGCGCTGCCCAGACGATCTGCAATGGACCTGGTAGCTGCTTTCACTCATGAGGTGGAGGCAGCCTTCGCACAAAACAAAGAAGTGTCCATGGTCACAATGGATGTGCAGGGTGCCTTTGATGCTGTGCTGCGCAGGCGGCTGCTTCAGCGGATGGCGCAGCAGGGGTGGCCACGCGAGCTGCTGCAGCTCATTGACAGTTTCCTCGCTGAACGCAGAGCTCAGGTCCGGCTGGAGGGGACCACCACAGCAGCACATCAGATGCAATGTGGCACGCCACAGGGGTCTCCTTTGTCACCAATACTGTTCCTTCTGTACCTGGCAGAGCTGCTGTGGCAAAACTCGGAGTTGCGCTTTGGCTATGCGGATGATCTGAACATCTGGCGGGCGACCCACTCACTTGACAACAATGCCACCCTTCTCAGACAGGATATACAGAGTATTCTGAGGTGGGGGGAGATAAACAAGGTGGCCTTCGCACCAGAGAAACTTGAGATGATCCATCTTACAAGAAAGCGACACAATGAGGCACCAGCAGTAGTTGTGTCTGAGGATCTCACTGTTCACCCTGTTACTGCCCCAGCTGGACAGGAGCCAGCACTTCGCTGGCTGGGTGTACACTTCGACAGAAGGCTCACCTGGAGACCACATGTCTCCACCCGGGCAAAGAAGGCAAGGGCCGTGGCCCAGCACATCCGAAGTCTGGGAAAGACCAGAGACGGGCCCCCAGCAGACGCTCTGCAGAAGGCGGTCACCACCTGCGTGGTTCCCTCACTGCTCTATGGCACAGAGGCCTGGTACGGCAGCCGCACGCAGCCAGCAAGGCACACGGGCAGGAGTGGGGAGGTTAGCTCCCGCCTGGGATGGCATGTGGGGACAGTTGAGAAGGTGCTTACTATGGCAGCCAGAGGGGTCCTCCCAGTTTTCCGTACAACGCCCATCGCTACCCTATACCGGGATGCTGGGCTCCCATCAGCAATGGTAGCTCTGGAGGAGGCCAAAATTCGATTCGCGACAAGGTTTCAGGTGGTGGATGAGAAGCACCCACTTGCTTCACGGATAGCACCTCCAATGATCACACGAGGAAGAGGGGCTGGAACCCGGCAGCGCTCAAAGACCAAGATCCAGCGGTTGAGGGCGCTGCTACCTGCAGTCAATAGACCCACACTTGCCATCCCACACTACTCAGAGGGATGCGGGACAGACCCCACAGAGGGTGTAGACAAAAAGAGTGCTGCTCAGGCATTCAAGAAATGGTGGAGAAGTCAACCCTCAACAGATCTATATGTTTTCTCAGATGGATCAGAACGGAGCCTTGACAACAGCAGGCAGGTGGGCTATGGCTTCATAGTCTATCAGGGAAATAAACAGCTGGCCAGCTTCTCAGCTGCGCTGAGCCCTATGTCACATGTCTTCGACGCTGAGGCAGTTGGTGCCTGCCGGGCATTAGAGTGCGCTGTGAAGCTCCTACCTTGTGTCACAGAGGACAGCAGCAACCCTCAGATCTGGCTCTGCCTCGACAACACCTCAGTCATCTGGGGCATACGGGGCAGTGCAGCAGCCTCCTCAAACTGGGCCTACAACCGCTGCCATGAGCTCCTCAGACAGCACAATGTCGGCCTGAAATGGGCTCCTGGGCATATGGGGATAGAGGGCAATGAGGAAGCAGACCGTTTGGCTAAGCGGGCAGTCTCATCCACTGCAGCCCCAGCCTATGGTCTCGAGGCCACACCCACAGTCAGTGGGGTCCGCACAGTGGCCAAGCAGCTCAGCCAAGAGGCAAGGCGAAAGTGGTGGAGTGGAGCCTGTGGCAAGCTCTCTGACTGGTACCGGGGCTGGAGTTTCAGCAGGCCGACTGTGGAATACCAAGTGAAGGCCCCTCCGGAGCTCACCATGCCACGGCATGCCCTTCACCGCTGGCTCGCACTCCGCTCCTCTCATGGGGACTTCTCCTGGTACCACAGGCGTTTCCAGCATGCAGATGCGAGGCTCACCTGTGTCTGTGGACACAACAAGAGCCCAGAACATTTGGTGCTCTGTCGACACTCACAGAGGCACTTTCTTCACTGGCCCAAGAGGCCAGCAGCACGGCCACACAACCGGGCGACAGCTGTTGCCTATCTAGGGTCTCTGACCCCTACAGACTTTGTAGAACTGCTGGACTGCACGCAGTTCTACACACGGTACTGCACAAGGTAACGCAGCCGGCTGGCTGCAAACCATCTGACAACCCCCGCAGCAGTTCCACGAGGCCGGCCTGCTGAGTACACCCACGGTAGCTAGTGCAATTGCCAGGGACATCACAGTCTATGCAGACAGTACAGATAGCACAACTAGGCTCATCTGTCTCAATTAGCTGTGGTGTAATCAGTACAGTCTACGTGTCTGACTCAGCTGATATGGTTTTGACTGCCGGCATTGTATCTACGCGTGCTCTGCTTTGTTTTCCTCTCGTTTGCCCTTGTCTCTATCGGCTCAAATGCTTCTTCTTCCTTCTTTTCTTTGCTCTCTCTGTCATTCTCTGCTCTTTTCCTGTCACAACCTTCTTCAGTGCTCTCTCCTTCATTATTTATCTTGTCTGTCTTTCTTCTGATGTTAGAAGCACAGACAGCTTTCTGATCAACTGAGAGAGGTATCCCTCTCTGCTCACTATAAAGCCTTCCAGGCACGGCAGCGGCGGTCCCCTCAGGGAACCACACTATAGCCCCACCATGAATGGCCATACGTCGGGCCAGAAGTGGATGCGCAGCTCAGAAAAATCCTTTGCAATGAGCTGAGTCTTCTCAAGAGTTGCCACCTGGATTCTGTTTTCTCTCTCTGTGTATGTAGAAATCTCTCCAGCGTAGCACGTCTCCATGCCCTTCGGGAGGCTTCTGAAACACGGGCGCTGCCCGTGTTTTCTCCGGGACGTTAAACCTATACATACATACATACAAACAAAGCTGTCTGGCATATGAATTGTAGACAGTAGTAATACTATATTATTGTCTTTCCATCCAAGACAGAGAACCTCATTTTGAGGTATTATACACAGAGTATTGAAGGGAATATGAGCGGATAGTCCGGAGTTCTTTAGTTCTTGTAGAAGAGGAGGCAGATTGGCAGGACGGGTGGTTCCACAAGCTCCAATTCCTTGCTTTCGAAGATAATGGAATAGAGCAACAGAGGTGAAGTAGTTGTCCATGGAAATTGAGTAGCCAGCAACCTCTTTGCTGTTATTCAACTCTAGATGCTGCTCAGAGTGCTGTAGAGAGCTTAGAGCCGCGGAGCTCTGAGCTGCAGGAGCCGCGGAGCTCTGTATAAATACTGGCAACCGTTCAATCAATTCCACCACAAGAGATCCAGTCTTGGTTAATCCTGGAGTACGGAACATCGTACTTATGCGGAGATTATCATTAGACATGGAGAAAGTCCAAAGATAGCCCTGTTCTCCTAGTCCAAAGACCTTATATCCCTGCTTGATTGGTTTCTGAGGCATCTTAACTGTGTATTTGGACCGTCCAAAGAACCGAATCATCATCTCATCAATGGAGAGATTTGAACCTGGGTTGTAGTATTTCCGGCATGCTGCATGGAAGTTGGAGTATAAAGGCTCTAGCTTCTATATAAAGGAGGAGGATTCCGGCCTGCGAGGGTTGGATATATGAATATATCTCTTGATCTGCTCGAATCGCTTTTGTCCCATATGAAGTCTTGATGAATGAACTGGCCCCTGAACATCATTCCTGTTCCAATAATCTCCAATTGCCGGAGATCTATGTACTCCTATATAGATAATCTGCCCAAGAAATACCTTGATTTCTGTAGAAGTAGTTGGCTGCCATTCCCGTGGATTGATGGCTGAATTCCTTGATATCTGTATCTCCGCGTAGGCATTGGTGGAACAGGCAATATTCTGAATATCAGACTCTGAGATATAGAGAGAGAATAGGGTGTATGGATTCCGCGGATCAATATTGGGCAGATTGGCAGTTGGAGAGCGATGAGGAGATTCCATGGATTTGAATCTAATACTCTTCAGAGGTGGAATGTCTGCTAGAAATGCACTGACAGATCGCTTTCGCTTTACACCTGTTTTTGTACTGTCTAATAAATAAATCAGTCAATCTGATTAAAAGAAGCATTGAAGAATTGGAAATCACCTGTAGAGGTCATATTTCTATCCCAGGGTGGGCAGGGGGTGATCGCATCCACGGTGGATATGAATATGGATCAAGATGAGAAGATTCCAAGGTTGTAGAACGCGTAGAGCAGAAAACGCGAGATAGTGGAGTGGTATCAACAAATCAGATTACATAGAATTTAGTATGAGAAATTATTGGTTGGTACTTCAGAGCTAACAGCTTGGTTGTTACACTAATAGTAATACGCTAATTGTGTCCTCGCGGCCAGACGAGGGGATAGGGGTAATCACGTGCGGTGGAGGGCCGCCTGGGCAACTAGTGCCCAACACCCCCCCACGCGCCAATGTGCGTGATGTGTTCCTACGAATCTTCTATGCTAGCTATCTCAACTTGGATCATCCCAAAATCATGCTACATACAGAAATTTAATCATTCTCACTGTTACCAGTGAAAAGTCCTAATAAATCAATGAAACATCTAAATGCCACTGTGCTCAGAGGTTTGGTTAATCCGTCTGCTATCATATCCTCAGTGGGAATGTGTTTAATAGATATAATGCCTTTATTCAATTGTGTATGAGAATAGTGGAAGCGAGTGTCAATATGCTTGCTGCGTGCTGTGATCGCGGCAATGATAGTTAGATTAATTGAATCTTTGTTATCTGCTCTGATAGCCAAGAGGTTCTTTGCTATAATGAATTCTAGTTTCATCATCATATTGTGCAATCATGTTGCTTCATGTACTGCTTCACTAAATGCCATGTTGTAATAGGCGCAACGGAGATATCTATATTAGGAAATAGATACGTGGCGATAGATACGTGGCGATGGCAATATTATCTATATAATGCTCGCTGATATCCGTGGATTTTAGGAGATCAGCGATTAGCTTTGAACAATAGAGATTGCTACCTTTCTAATATCCTTTGTGCGTACTTCACACTACTCTTGTAATTACTCTTGTAGCCCATCTCTTACACATGTATTCTGCCTCATTTGAACTTAAAGAAACACAAGATTGTTAGAATGAATGTCATGAAATTGATGCATCTGCTAATTTGAATATGAAGTCTGAAGTAGATTTGCATTCACTGTTCAACAATTCTGCCCAATCTGAATTTGTATAATCTATCAGTAGATATGATGTGTTGAGGAATTCATTGATCTCATTCTTGAGGCCTTTGTATAAGATGTCAAGATCACTCATTTTTTTTAGATATTGTATGATGTGGAGAAAAGCTCTTCATATTTTAGATGTAGACACAGTATTCTTCTGTGCTAATAGAAATGCTGCTCATATAATATCTGAGTGTAATTTGACTGTCAAATACTGCAAGCACTTTACTCTGTATTGATATTGCTTTTTAATAAACCCTTCTTTTCATTCTGATACAGGGGTATTGTCTATCTTCAACCCTTCAAATATTGATGTAGAGACAGAGACAGTGTCATCTAGGTGGAAATTTTGCATTAAATGATTGATATAACTGTAACGGGCGTACATCGATTAACGATCTAGCACTATCCTAAATACAGATTACGAATTGATTAAGGAAAGAAAGAGAAAAGAGATCAAAAGGAAAGGTTGTACGAAGGGGGTTCTTATAGAAGGGAGATCGGGGCGGAAGAATATCAGAAGCCGCCCCGCAGTGGAGCACGGAGCGGAAGAACATTGAGGGTTACGCGGAAGAATCGTTAGAACTACGCGACTACGCGAGCGCGGAGTGTGAGGCAGAAGGGGTTGGTTGCGTAAGTTAACCACTAACGGGTGCTAACCCGTCATAATAACATCTCAATGTTAATTTTATAGCATCATCAGAGTGACATTCAACTTTCATATCTAAGTATTTTAAAGGTTCTTTTAAATCTTTTATTTCTAATTTATTGATGAGAATGTCAACTAGTCAATCAGCATCTGCCAGATTCTCTGCTATAATATAAAGGTTGTTTATGTAGATTGTCATATAAAGATGATTGCAGGATGTGTGATGCTATAGAGCAGAGTTGTAGAGATTAAATTTGAAGCTATTTTTATAAAGTAATGCTGTAAAAAATTCATATCAAATCTTAGCAGCAGGGTCTAATCTGTATAGAGAGTCTCTGACAGTGCAAATCATTATATGTAAAGTCCTCATCTCAAATCTGATAAATTGCTGTATATAAATTGTTTTATCAAATCAGTTGTGTAAATAAACCATCACTATATTGATCTGATGCAAGGTCCAACCTCACTTCACTACTATTGCAAACATCATACAATTAGTAGTGTCATTAATGATGAGTGTGTATGTTTCTTTATATGCACTTTTCTTTAACCAATTATTGCACACTACTCATTGAGATTTTTATAATATACCATCAGAATCCATGTTGAGATTTTGAGAGTGATCTTTTTCAACATAAATTCAGCAGCTGAGAGTCACTGATTCATCAGAAGAAATGTCAGAATGTGAAATCATTGTTCAAATATTTCTTTATTTCAAATCTGCAATCGTATATTTTATTAATTTCTATCAATATTCATCAACCTCTTTAGATCTACTAATGGCATTTTTATATTTTTTCAAAATGAAATCAGTGAAAGGAGAAGAAATGTAAATGATAAATGTTTTTGCTGATCTTATTCATTCAACATCAACTAATTCAAAGATAATAGTATCATGAATGAAATAAATCACTAAACTTGCAAATTTGAATATTGTGTGATTAATATCATTCTGTAAAATTGTAGATTTCTTTGCAGAGAAAATGACATCACTGATGACAATTATTTTATCAGTTATAGAATTTCAGAGATAATAGATTGAGTTATTATAAAATTCTATAAGTTTAAAAATTTCTGCTCTAATGAACAGCTTGTCAGTAGATTTTTGAGATTTATGAAGATGTGCATAAACATCAACATCTAACTTTCTAAAATGATGAAGTTGAAGTGAGATGTTGATTAGTGCTGAGAATGAGACTGTATAGAGGCATCATATAGATGCTTCATCAACATTGTTGATAAATCAATATTTTTCATTATACAGAGTGATAGATGTTGATGTGTTGTTGATAATTGCAATCATTGTTTTGAGTCTTCAGTATATTCATGTTTATAAATACTGCTCTTGCACATGTCATTATCATACAGATTTCTCTCTCAGAAACATCATTTTGATGAGAAGATTGAAATGTAGTAGATTTTCAGATAGTGCCATCTTTGATCATCATTATTATCATTTTGTTATATTGAAAGACATCATCAATATCAGTTCTAATTAGTACTGATGGTGTGAAGCCGAGATTTTTCATGAATTAAACTCAGTGAGTGTAAATTTTGACAGCTTGATTTTTGATATGTAAAAAATAGATTCATCTGTAACAGATGATGTCATCAATGATGAGCATATAATATTTGATCTTTTGATGAAATTTGATAGAGTAATCAGACATGTCATTCAGTGTACAATCACTGCCAGCAAGATTGATATGAACATGTTGCATTGCTTGCAACACTCATAGTATGAGAGTTTGTGAGAACTTGTGTGTCATGTCTGCTTTAATGCAATTATCACAGAAGAAGTCTGTTTTAGATTCTTTGATGTAAATATTGAATGACAGATTCTTCATTAATGCAATAATTACATCAATGTGAATATATTTTAATGTGACATACCACTTCATGAGTGTTCTTATCAGGGGGTTGCGATTGCTAGATTGATTGTTAGATTTCCTTGTAGTTGTTGACATTGCATCCCTGTAATTGTAAGATTTGACCATAAAATAAATGGTCTGAAATGAATGATGAACATCTATTTAGAATTCTCATTCTAGTATCTTGTAAACTGATTCTTTGAATGTGTGAACAGTGGTGAAGTTGGCACTGTTCAGAGCTTTTATTGTAAATAGAAAGAGATGATATCTGATAATTGATATCTGAAACCTTGATCTTTCTAACTTCATGAAGAATAAAAGGTTGACAGTTAAATTGAGAATTTAATGAATATAACTCACTGAAATATCCCCTTTTTTTCTGATTTTAAAAGAATATCATCTATTTTCTCAATCTGTTCTAACATTATGATTTGCTGTAGTAATTTCTAAATCACATTCAAATGACTTTGCACACACCAAACAAGTGCCTTTCACCCATCATATTGTAAGGTTGCACAGATGTTGAGATATCAAGGTTTGAATGTTATAGTGAATGACGTAGATAAAGCAATTGCTGTGTTGACATTAAATTGTGATACAAAGAGATCTGACACTCTGATGTCAGTAAATTTGTTGTCATTCTTATTCTTCTTTTTATTCCTTCTCTTCTTTTTGACATCTTCAATGTTTTTTCTTCACTACTCAGATGCTTTGTCAGAGTTCAGATGATAGCAATTAACTTTTATATACTTTGAAATCTTGCAATATCTACACTGTGAGATTGTGGTAGTGATTGTGTTGTTGTTATTGTTATCATTGATGACTGTGTTAATCTTTAAAGCTTTAAAGTGTTCAGTACCCTTTGATTTATTCATTCAATAAGCAATTTGTTTTGTGAGATTGTTGATATTTAGATGTGAGGGGTGATGACAGTGTGAAGAGTGAATAGTAGAAGATAGTATATAGTGTAGTGGAAGATAATAATAATTATAGTAGTAGTATAGTTGAAGTTGTAGTTGTAGTTGTAGCTAATCGCTGAAGAGGAAAAGAAAGAGAAAGAAGATGTGCGAAATACATGCATCCATATATATATACATACAGAAATAGTGGTAGCGAGAGTATAATGGAAAGAGGTAAGAACGAAGATATAAACAAAGATAATATAATAATAAGGAAATAATAAACGAGTGCATTACATTAGATTGACAATTGAACTTTGATTTGTTCTGTAGAATGTATTAAAATATAATTTAACATAGATTCTCTGATAATCTCAGAGGTTGATAATAAAGAAATCATAAAGGTAGTTCTCACCACAGTCCTTTATTAGTTGTCGCATGTGAGCAAACAGGTATTGATATCAGTGTATGTACATCAGATAATCACTGTTCTTAATATATAAGTGAGTAAATTTTTTAAGAATGTTAATTCTTTCTTTTTTTAAAGATATTGTATATACTGTGCTTACCTTGTTTCATAGAGCTACTGCGTTGTCGGGTTGAATGAATTCCATGATCAAATGAACAGAACCTACTAGAGATTGCAATATATGATGAAAGAAAAGTTTTGAATATATCACTCAATATTACTGATTGAGTGATGATAAATCTTTAGATGATTTTTATTGATTTCTATTAAAAATATCTGCATCACTGATCATTTCTGCATCTGACAAGAACACCATCTTCCACATCTGATAGTTGATGTCATCAAATGTGGTGACAGATTTTGTATTCAATGAGATCTACACTTTTTTCTGATATTCACAAACTAGCATGTTCTGATCTCCTTCTGGTATAGAGTTCAGAGAAGGTGAAGGTGGTGGAGGAGATGAAGAAGATGATGATGTGTGTGTTGATATCAATCACTTGCAGAGTGCAATGAGATCTGCTGCTGTCATGATCACTATGCTGTTAGAATTCAATGTAGATATCAGTATAGAACTGAGTGTGTCATTCTCAGATTTCTCACATTTTGACATCTTATCAGTATTGTGTATGGAGTCAGAGGTTGTCATATCTTCCTCTGTCATTGTGTATTCAGTTTGATCACCCTCCGCTTCTGAGTCGGATTCTTGCTCAATAACAAAGGGGAAGGATTGGAGAACTTTTGATTATGAATATAGTGTTTTTTTACATTCTGATATGAGGGTTGCAGATAATTGAGAACCACGCATAATCAATCTGATTTAAAGAGGTTCTGAATGAAAATAAATAAATAAATTTTTGATCTCTTCAAGATAGTAATGAAATCTCTGCAGCAGTTTTGACAGCAATTCTGTCAATTACACCACTTTTAAAAGCAAAGAGCTCTCTTTTCAGAGGAATAATGTCTAACTCATTCAATATAACATCAATCACAGTGTATTCTAAATCAAAATGTCAGTTTTTCTTAAAAATCTGCAATTTAAATCATAATCTGTGGGATGGTTGATCTTCTCATTGTGCAATCGCTAGCTAACTATATATAGAGGTAATCACGTGCGGTAGAGGGCCGCCTGAGCAGCTAGTGCTCAACATTTTGTGCATACTTCACATTACTTTTATAATTATTTTTATAACTCATCTCTTACAGTCAATCTCCACAGCATTCATCAGTAAACTTTCAAATCTGTCATTATTAGAGCTGGCTTTGCAGACTGCAGAATTTACTCTATTAATTGTGAAGTAATACTCAATTGATTGAAATCTCATACTTTACAGAATGGCTTAGATCTGCTTGTGTATGATGAAAATGATGAGAAATGTGATTAATTTACTTCATCATTTATAAATTGATTATCAACTGCTTCTTCTCAGTTAACATTCTCTGACACAGTTGCAAAATTACATCATTAAATTGATGCTGCAGAGAAGGCTATACAGAATGTGAAGAACACTCTTACACTTGGTTTAATCAAGCAGTTGGGTAAGATATTCAAGAGTAGTATGATGCAGGCAGAATTGAACGCGCATTGAAAGAAGAAGTTAGCTGGTCATTGTCAAGCAAATAAATGTTAAGAAATCAGAAGGCAGAGGAGTTGAAAAAGGAGTATAATAAGGCTCTTTGAGTGGTTGGGATCAAGCCCACTAGAACTGCTGCAAATCAACCACAATGTGATAAATCTAATGAATCTCAACCTGCTGCGGATTCTACTGCTTCTACTGAGTATGTAGATGATCTTTATATTATAGATAGATGTGGTGTTGAATAATAATGATATTTTGAAGTTCAAATGATTCAAAAATATTACCGTTGCGGTGATATTACCTTTGCGGTGGGGCGCACTCACTAATGGGAGGTAGTGAGTGCGCTTGGCACGGTTAGTGAGTTAGTTATTTAGAGGGACGGCAACACACATCAACGACAACTATCTATATCTATATCTATATATCCCCAACTAAGGAAACTATCTTCAATGGAAAAACAAAAATAGTTCCTAGCAAATCCTCTTCATCTAGCCAGTTTCCGTTGGGACTGGAATTCTCCGTCCTTTTCACTGCGGGTTGGACCTCGAACCTAAACAAACCCTTGAAGATATTCGCCCTGAAGTAAGTCAAAAATATCCACATTTTGACTATGGGAGAAATTGACAATAAAATCGCAGGTTATCCAAAAACTCCAGACCGCATACTTCTAACGAGCGTGCAGACTAGTGGGCAGGATCCGGAGGCACAGCTATCTGATGAGGTGCAGGTACACATGTCATGGAAGACTTCATCCATCCTCAACATGATCTAGAGCCTTTGGTGTCTTTGCCGCAGAGGCCATCATTAGAATAAGGGCTGAGCCTTGTGGCTACCGGGGCGAGTTTAAGGCGTTGTGAATCTACTGCGTATTCCCTCCGCTGCCTTGTAGCACATTATATGGAAAGGGGTATGTTCACCGATAAGATAAGCCGCTCCTGCAAACGGGATCCTTTTGAGGGCAGGGTTTTTCAGTCATGACCTTCAACAAGAGTCCCAGTGCCATTTACCTGCTGAGGAACTAGACCCATTGGTGTGGGCTGGGATATGGCGTAGCTGAGATTTTGGTCTCTGGAGTTGCTGAAAGAGCACGAGCAGAGACCAGACTGCCTGTTCATAGATGTGTGAATAGCGCAGCCAGAAACAACATCGCCTTGTAGGGAAGTATTTACGTGTTGAAGTCCAAAGACGCAGAACCCTTTTTGGCCTCTCCTTCCCCAAACCCCCCTTCGTTTCCTGCTGTTGTTTCTCGTCCTTGACCTTTCGTTTTGAGTTCTCGTCTTCTCTGGATAGTTCATATCCACCCCATAAAACCCACGATCGTAAGGCGCCCAGCCCGCAAAAAGAAAAGAAAAGAAAAGGAAAGGAAAGGAAAAAAAAACATTCCGGACATATGTTGGGGTAAAAATAAGCTTTCCATTCAAATTCTCCGAGACGACCTGCAAAAATTGGCCGACTCGCTGGTCGAAACGACCTTAGGAATTGACGCCCCAGTTGACATAAAAGGGCATGTGGCCTGACGCTGCACTTCACCTCCAACGTTTTTGTCTCCAAAATCCTTTCCGTACTGCGTGGAACAAGCCAGCGGTGCAACATGCTCTCTGTATTGGGTATCTACGAGTATGTACTTGGATGAATGGTGGTGATCAGGAGTGGGGGCGTTGTTCAGAACTTGGATGCAAGAATGGGGGTTGGTGTGGAATTCACAAGTTACAACTTCAACAAACCGAACCCAGTTTTGCATCCATGGCCAGAGAACTCGGTAAGGCCAAAGCATGCTGCCATGGTCCGTTAGATGGATTGATGGAATAGAGCTATTGGTGAAACGGTCAGTTTTCTATATTTCAAATCCATCCTCGTTGTTGACAGCATATCAATTGCCCACTCGCTGCAGCTAATGACGGCTGCATCGCAGTTTGTAGTCTCACCGAGCAGCATGCATAAATATGGCGTATTGCATATTGCATACCCGGCCAGTCTCCACAGCTTCTGACTGTGGGGAATTCGGAGGGGGTCCGGCTCTGCTCAAAGCTCGTATGCTTTGGAATACGATCTGTGCTTCTGCTGGCTCAGTCTCGTCTGGGTCATCTGGAGGTTGAACTTTTCCAGAAGGGATGAAAACTAAGAATCGTGGCTCACTAGACGACATTGATCAGGCCCAAGAGCCCGCGTGGACTTCATGAGTGGAAGATCCTGGGCCAGCAGTTCGATGCTTCGTTCTAGCACCGAAGGATTAATAAAAACCCTTCGTGGATTGGACGTGATGGGGTGTGGTTTGGCTGAGCGGAGTAGTTCGGCGGCAGGGGAAGAAGGCTGTGTAATCTCCATACGCGGAGGTTAGTTACGGGGATATACCGGAGAGGTACCGGGTTACCTGATGTGGGGCCCTCCTGACGCTTGTTTGTACCCAGTTTTGCGGAAAGTTACGTCCAACTGTTGGAAACAATACATTGTGATACGCTGGTTTGCAATCATGTGACGCCAGGATCCTGCCCACAATACAAGGCCCATACATCCATACAGGCGCACATATTCATACTTCAACCGGCCCGCATAAGAGACGTTGAACCGCAGAATGCCAGAAGGAATCCTGACGTTGGCGACAGGGGATCAAGCCATCATTAACTTCGTCTAGTAACTCAACCTAACGAGCTTTCAGTTCTTGAAAGTTGTCTGTTCCAGCTTTTTGTTCTTCCTCCCCTCTGCTCCTTCGTCTGCGCTCGCTCCCTCCCTCTCCCTCTCCCTCTCCCTCTCCCTCTCCCTCGCTCCCCCATGTTGCCCGCCTCCCTGGTCTTCCCCATCTGTTATCGGATGCTCGTTTGCAAGCAAGGTGGGAGACTTGAGACCTCTCGTGTTGAATGGGAATCAATAGCGTAGTTCTCATTCCCCTTTTAATAACCCGGTTTTTCTCTCTTCACAAAAGTTGCAATGTCTCAAGTTGGCGCAGTGCCGCAATCATGCTCGATTTTGCCCGAGAAACCACCGGCAGAGAAAGCCCATGTCTGCTCGCATCCGGGCTGTAACAAGCGCTTCACACGTGCAGAGCATCTTCGCCGGCATGCGCTGAACCACAAGAACGAGGACAACACCTGCGAAAGGTGTGGTGTCCATTTTAACAGACCTGACTTGCTAGGTAGGTATTTCGTCTTGCTTTTTCGCCGCTCTGGCTGCTTTTTCTACCTTACCTTAAATCATTTTGCTTGGTTTAGTCTGGTTGGTGTTGCTGAACATTAATCCTCCTGCCGAAAACCCCCCGCAAAAATATAGGAAGACATATGGCTCGTCATGCAAAGAGAGACGAGGAGGCAGGTGGCCCAGGCCTGGGTGTGCTTGAAACTCGCAAACGGACGCGGCGTGGGCCTGATGGGACTATTATCACCAAACCGACCAAAAAGCAAGCTCGTGCGGCAATGTTAATGAGGCCCACGGCGTTGGCAGCGTCATCCATTCAAGTCACTGAGGCTGTACATTCCTCTTCCACGTCGTCGTCCGCTTCTATCCGGAGTTTTAATGACAAGGCTGCTACCCCGGGCAGCCACAATCAAGATAGCAGTTCAAATCTAACCTCGCCGCCTTCGATTGCAGAGCTGAACTATCACGGCCAGGACCATGGCACTGTCTCTGTAGCTCCCATCTCCCCGCCAACATCTGTGCATCCCTCATGCTCGAGTGTCAATTTAGACAGTGGCGCGCTGGATAATTGCCAGCCGGTTCATCACTCTGATCCTCTCATAGCCCCTATGGTGCCTGGGGGCCCTTACGAGCCGTACGCAGAGCCAATCCCGGGCCAGTTCGATGCTGCAGACGGTTCATGGAGGAGCCAGGATTTAGGACCTGGTATGGACTATGAGGATTTTTTTGACTTGGATACTGGTATGTATCTGTCGTTCGTCTTTCGTACAAAGTGGATGGCGCTATCCGCTATCCGCTGTCCATGTCCCAATAGCATGCTCTCGGACATATCCCCCTCCAAAAGGGGCAAAAGGGGCAAATCAGGGGGAGAATGAATTATAAATTCTTGGTGTTTGCTGAAGTCTAATATGGTTATTTTCTGATATATAGCAACATCCTTTAACATGCCATTTGCCGCTACACATAATTACAACTGGCTTTTCGATGTGACATCATTGGATGACGCCTTTAACCATAGTGACATGTCGCTGGCTATGGACATGGTCAACTTTGCAGAACCGGTGCCTGATATGTGGTCACAGACTCAACAGCGTCATAACGAATTTTTCAGCCAACCCATTTCCTCGGCATCAGAATCAGCAAGGAACCCTAGCAGTATCTCATCAGATCCACCCATTCAACCTTCCGGAGACACTTCTTCTAGTGTGGAATTTCCTGTGGATAGGAGCCAGACCTCCCCGTCGTCGCCTGGGCCAGACCTCCACGGCGACTCTTGATGCTTCCAACCAGCTTACACTGTCTACCTTTTCCAACATGGACTGGATGGATCAAACACCTTCTACAAATGTTGTACTAAGAAAATTACCTCAAATAAGCGAGGCCTGCAAGAACAAGGTTATTGCGGCTTGTCTCCCAATTACAACCTATGACTGTAGAAGGAAACCGAATTGAGCTCTCGTCCCCTCTTCTCTCCATCAACGCTCTTCAAACGTACTGTGACCTCTTCTTCACAAAATTTAATGTATCGTATCCACTAATCCATCAACCAACATTTGATCCAGACCGAATCGACACATTGCTACTTGCTGCCATGGTATCAATGGGCGCCTCATACAGCACTATGGAAGCCCACCAATTGGCCGTCGGAATGCATGACTCGCTACGCAATCAGCTCTTTTCCCATCAATCATTCTCCCCACAGCCTGACCTTTGGGTCCTCCAGGCAATGATGTTGATCGATTGCTTTGGGAAACAACGAGCCGGCCTAAAACAGCGTGAGATGTCTCAGCTATTCCACTGTGTCCTCATCAAACTTATTCGGCGAAGCAATTGTCAACTCATTCGGACCTCTCCCGTAGCGGAACGGCCGGATAATCTTGAATCAGCATGGAGGCAGGCAATGGACCTAGAACAGAGGAAGCGGCTCGCCATGCTTTGCTTCATGTGGGACACTCAGCATGCGGTGCTCTTCTCACAATCTCTTTGCATGTCAGCATTTGAAATCAGAGCCTCCTTGCCATGTGACGAGGCTACGTGGGAGGCAAGGACTGCCGAAGAATGGTTCGAGTGCTCACACGCAGAGAAACCACATGGTGCTTTCCTACTCGTTCTGAAAGCATACATAACCCCCAACACCACCAACCGTCCACGATACCTCAATGCTCTGTCAAGGATCTTCCTCTTACACGGCCTGATGTCCATATCTTCCGACCTCAAACGCCGAGACCAAACCACCCTACGATCAGAAACACCAAACCTAGTAGGCGCCTGGAAGGCCCGCATCGGTCGCTCCTACGACTTGTGGAAAAACGACTTCGACGCAGATTGCATGGACATGAAATTAAACCGGACGTCCGACCCGCGAAAATTCGTCGGCCTCAAAACAGCAACCAACGTCATGTACCACGCTGCGCACATCACACTGAATGTCGAAGTGCTCGATTTACAGATATATGCAGGCGCACCACATATTCTCGGACGGTTGGTAACAGCCAGTGACTTTGACCGGTCCGAACGGGTCGTCACGCGCTGGCCGAACGAGGACCCGCACTCAGCAGCCAAGGCGACCAGGCATGCCTCGTACATCCTGCAGGATGCGATCATGAATCTTAACGACTGGGACGAGACGGATGTCTTCCATTACCCCTGGTGCCTGTATCTGGCGACACTGACGTGCTGGGCCTTCCATCTCCCGACGTCATCAAGCTCCCCTTGCTCTTCCTCGACAGCGTTGGTCAGACGGACGGAGATTAGCAATGATAATAACAGCGAGCAGCAGGGGCAACAACAGCCAATACAGCATCCGAGTCCCGCGCCGCGCATACCTGGCTCTATCTCCCTCAACCCCCGCAATGAAGTGGCCACCCTAGTAATCGCCATGACGACCTGTAACACGCTGGAGGATCTCTCCTCGTTGGCGGGCAAGTTCGACACGACGGGATTGACGTGCATCATGAGCCAGCAGCTGGCCAGTGTACGCTGGGCGGTGGTGCATGATGCAATGAAGGTTTTGGTGACTTTATCGAGCAGGTAGGGTGGCTGGAAGATTGAATTCTGGAGTTGTTAGTTGTCTTTTTCTGGACTTTTTCTTTTCATTCATTTGTTCTATTGCGTTGTATCCTCGAGAAAAAAAATGGCTTCGTTCATTATAATATAGGGCGGAGATCAATCGGGGATGGCGGGGGTGTTTTGTGTATTGATATATCCTTTGAAAGTTTTTTTTTCCTCTTTCCTTCTTTTTCTTTCTTGGTTTTGTATTTGTAGAGGTTTTGCACTTTTCTTTTCCCTATCATTGGATATACGACCTGGTTTCTGGGGCGAAACATATAATTCTGCAATAATGACGAAATTTTTGTCTCTGGCTTCTTTGTATTTAACAACAGCTGGCATCTGAGCGTGGTAGGATGGCGCGGTATTTATTATTTGTTCTTTATTACATTCCCATCAATTATGGGCGGATAAAGCGAAAGTTATTATGTAGACTTTTTATACTTATTATTACCTACCATCCATGGCATAAAATAGACATATTTCGTGTACCCCAACGATAGAGAGAGAGAGAGAGAGCTCAGTGCGTACTGTAGCTATATCGTTAACGATCGATCCATTTTATCAAATTTATCTATCACCAATGGAGCCAACATCACCCTCCCCGCCTTCCCATTCCCGCCTTCCGCTCCCCACCTATTCAACAGCAATACCGCGGGCCTGTGGGTGTCGCGATCTGCATGCACAGCCTGACCAGGGCTACATTGGGCACTGGCAGTTTGAGCCGCAGGTATCTTGGGAAGTAGTGGTAGGGAGACAGGCGGGCGCCGATGGCCACTGGGAGCGTCACCAAGGATGTTGACGTTGTCGGGGAGGGGTTAGTGGGGAGGGGGCAATTTTTGGGGAATGGGATGGGGGATTTTCTGCAAATTGTGTGGGCGGTCGAATGTGCAGTTTTAAAAAAGAGATAAAAGAGAAGGGAATGGGAATGGAGAAAAAAAAAAAAAAAAAAAAAAAAAAAAAACAACAATAACCAAAGAGCAGGATTGAAGGGGGAAGCAAAAGCTAAGCATGAATCTCCACGCCGTCGAAGCCGGCTTCTACCGTCCTCTTGACTGTCGTTGAGTATTTTACCACGAGCTCCTGGATCTCCTCAATGGTCTGGGGGTGCATCGGGGAGTTGTTGTCTAGGTCTAATGGATAGTGGACATGGCTGCTGCCTGTGTGTTGGGGGTGGGTCTGGAAGAATTTTTTTGTTTTTTTATTAGATCTTCTTTCTCTGCAGAATTTGTCTTCCTTTTCTCTATTTCAAAAGGCCACTTCTCTCTCCTATCCTGATATCGCCAGGTTATAGTACTGTACATATCGGCTGATGGGTGTAGTAGCTTCTGTCAATCGAAAGCCATGGTTCCCTGTGGATAATATTGCCCATTTAGACCATTAAGGATGTAGACATTCTTGAACTCTTTTGACAGCTCGATGCTCAATCCGGAGTGCACTGAGCTGGAGCGCGGCCTGAACAGCGCAGAATCTGTTAGGGGTGCGCAGGAGGCCACTGTTAAAGCATACTGTGTATGCATGATACGGTAGCGAAGCGGCAAGGGAGAAAGACGAAAATATTTTCCTTCTTCTTTTAGCTGTCCCTTTCTTTCTTCCGGGGGTGGGAATATGAAGGGAAGGAGAAAGAAAGCAACCTTGAGTCCAAGGTTGCGCAACGATCGTAGAACAGACAAAAACGCAAAGACATCATATCAACCAAGTCTTGATATTTTTTGTTGATCTGTTTCATTTTCCCTTTATTACCAGCAACCCCCTGCGCTGACCCAACTGGAAGCCAATCTTGATGCCTCTGCGCCTCAAAAATAAAGCTGCCCATTTGAAGTTACTGGACGAGCAATGTTGGAGGCCATACTACGCCTCTCTTCCTTTGTATCTTTGGCGCCTTGGGGGCTTGCTGGCAAGAAAACTGGCCATCATGACACCCGACAGCGCTCCATGAGCGGGTTTTGAGGCATGAATTAAATGGCTACCAATGCCAACGCTCCATTTTCGGCCGGACGAGAGCATTCAACCACGGGTGAAGCGGAAATGACTCCTTGTCAGAAACAGGGGCGGCAATGGTGGATAGGAACGTGATGAGAATGTCTGTTAAGATCCTGCCACCAAACAAGTGTTTGGAAGAGCAGTCATCTTTCCAGCAGAACAGCTCTTCACGTCCGATCCAATGCAGGTCCCTTTGAGGGCTGTTTTCGGTAGAAATTCTATCTCAAACGGTCAAGGCTTGCCCTAAGCCCTAGCCCCAAACCCTAACGAGCTCAGTTGGGACAACCCCCACCTTTGGACATACCCCGTATGGTACGATGCTGGACACAGCCCGTATCAAATACGTGGGTATAAGTGCGTATTGTTACCGACCACCCCACGTCTTGGCCAAACACCCGGGACAGGGGTGGGGGTGCGGGGAAGGAGTAGAGGGGTTTAGATTGACAATTAATTGCACGCCATAGGATGGTTAATTCCACCACCGCTAAAATACATCTGGCGTAGTGTATTTACGCAACTGCATAGGTATTTGAAAATAAGTTAAAGGCAAGATTCATGGTAGCTTCTGGGGCATTTCCCCCCTTTAGCTCAGTAGTAAGGCTGATGTTATATTTTAATCTTTGAGATTAGGATAGAGAAAATGATACAAACTTTAATATATCTGAAAACTGTTGTTAAAACTAAGAATGAGTCAACTGAATATTGAATAAGTGTATTTAGATTATTTCTTAGCTATCTAAATCATATGAATATTGATATATTTCAGTACTCGATAGAGATTTTTTTTTTATATATATATAAAGAGTTGGTACGTAGAATTGATATTCCCTACACGGGCCTGCTAGTACATTGGCTTATTAGACACGACAGATCTATATATAGGTAAGCAGGTTTACGAACTAAATATCGTGGGTGCTAACATAACCCCTATTAATCAATGTTGAGCTCTCTATATTTTCCTTTTCGCTCTTGTCGCTTTCTGATAGAGTAAAAGAGTAGGGTAAAAGCATGTATGTAAAAAGTACATTATGCATTGGTCGGTGCAGTACTCCGTACGTTCTCCGTAGATGTGAAGGCAAGTTAGAGTTTGATATCGTTGTGGATAGTTACAGATTTATTTAGTAACTTACGGTGGATACTTTCCAACTTTAGCGGTGGTGGAATTAAACCAGCCCGCAGTGTAATTATCACTCCGAATAGTTAACTACTTCCCGTTCTTATGATTGCGTCGGTTATACACATTTCTGGCGGCGGTGACAAAACCGTGCCGGTGCGCCCTGCTGGCCACATCTATCAGGGTCATGCTATGCTATTTTTATTGACACCATTCATGCACGTACATTACCAGAACTCCTTGCCCACTCTGCTTTTGTAGGCGTTGTTTGCGTCTCTCTTGATTTGTATATCATCCTCCATTCACAATGGGGCTTCCTGTATCAAACTCGGAGGTGGATTCCATCCCCGCCAATGCAGCACTGCGTGCAATTATCAAGTCCACATATACCAGTTCGGTTCTTCAGTTCTACCTGAATGGCCGCAGGGTTGAGCTTCAAAACCCTAATCCGCACTGGACTTTGTTGGACTTTATCAGGTCGCAGCGTGGTTTGAAAGGAACGAAGTTAGGATGTGGTGAGGGTGGTTGCGGCGCCTGCACCGTGGTGCTGCAGGTGAGAGACAGGAGCAACTCGAGGAGAATCAAGCACTTGTCTGTAAATGCTTGTCTGTATCCGCTCGTTGGGGGTGAGTTCGTGGCTTTTCTTGCATATTTTAATTCCTGCACCATTGACGGGGGAGGGGGTTACTTTTCTGTTTTCTTCGTCTTTTAGCTAACTAGAGGTTATCCTGTAGTCGTCGGGAAACATGTCATTACCGTTGAAGGGCTTGGGAGTGTTGACAAGCCTCACCCGTTACAGGAACGGATGGGTAAGCTTCATGGGTCACAGTAAGTCGTATCCTAACAATTCCGGCAGGAATTATGCTCTTTGGGACTAAATGTTCTGTTTGTCGCAGGTGTGGATTTTGTACACCAGGCATCGTCATGTCCCTATACTCCATTATCAGAAATGCCTATGACCCGGAAACCGGCAAATTCTCTCTATCTGATAACGACATTGAAATGAAAGGTCATCTGGATGGGAATTTGTGTCGTTGTACAGGCTACAAGCCTATTCTCCAAGCTGCTAAAACTTTCATTGTTGAGGACCTAAAAGGGCAGCTGGATGAAGTGAAGAATTCTATTCCAGTAGATGCTAACACGGAGAGCGAAAATGAGGCAGCGATGTATCTACAAGGGCAGTTTACCAACGCGCCCAAATCCTCCACTGGCTCATGCGGCAGATCCGGAGGATGTTGCCGCGATAAGATCAACAACGAATCCCGTCCATCGGATTCTTCGACATCAACGGGCTCCAATTCGGCAGAAGAACATAGTTCCCAGACCAGCCTTTCAGAAGAAATCACGCTTCAACCGTCCAAAAAAGCTCCCCAAGTTGAGCTTGCAGAGTATTCCCCTTCATCAGAGTTAATTTACCCACCTTCGCTGTCGAAGTTTGTCGATAACCCCGTATGCTACGGTGATAAAGAGAAAATATGGCTCCGACCGACGAATTTACAGCAATTAGTCGACATCATGGCTGCGTTCCCATCCGCGACTATTGTCAGCGGTGCAAGCGAAATCCAGGTTGAGATCCGATTTAAAGGCTCGGAATTTGCAGTTTCAGTCTTTGTTTCGGACATCGAAGAGCTTAACAAAATTTCAGTACCCACTGATCTGTCTACCTCGAGTGAACTTGTGATTGGTGGAAATGCACCTTTGACAGATATTGAAAATGTTTGCTATGGCCTATCGTCAAAGCTGGGTCAAAGAGGATCTGTGTTCGGGGCGATGGCTAAAGTTCTCAGATATTTCGCCGGGCGCCAGATTCGAAATGTGGCATCCCTAGCTGGAAATATTGCCACGGCGTCCCCAATATCAGACATGAATCCTGTTCTTTTGGCTATTAACGCGACTATAGTTTCTAGAACTGCTGAGAAGGAGCACTTGATTCCAATGGTAACGATGTTCCGTGGGTACAGGAAAACAGCGCTGCCGCAGGGAGGTATCATTACTCAGATTCGCATTCCTATCCCCCCGGCGGATGCACGCGAGGTCACAAAATCATACAAACAGGCCAAGCGAAAGGATGATGACATTGCTATTGTCACGGCAGGTTTCCGAGTTCGATTTGACGAACAAGATATCGTTAAGGATGTCTCATTGGCATATGGCGGGATGGCACCAATAACTGTTTTGGCAACTCAAACCATAAAGTACCTGATGGGAAAGAAATGGTCCGCGCCGGAAACTCTTGACGGTGCTCTTGAAACCTTAGCTGAGGAGTTCCCACTTGCCTATGACGTCCCAGGCAGTATGGCTACTTATCGAAGGACGCTGGCTTTGTCTCTTTTCGTCCGTTTTTGGAACGAAGTTATTGCGCATTTCGAGCTGGGAGAGGTGGACCAGAGCCTTGTTGAGGAAATACACCGAAAAATATCTACTGGGACAAGAGACAACTATAACCCGCACGAACAACGAATCGTTGGCAAGCAAATACCTCATCTTTCTGGTTTGAAACACGCTACAGGGGAGGCGGAATATGTCGACGACATGCCTCATCAAGATAATGAGCTATATGGAGCACTTGTCCTTTCGGAAAGAGCCCACGCAAAGATTGTGTCAGTGGACTGGACTCCGGCTCTTGCTCCAGGTTTAGCTGTAGGGTACGTGGACAAACAAAGCATCGACCCCGAAATGAACTTTTGGGGATCTATTGTTAAAGATGAACCTTTTTTTGCGCTCGACGAGGTTCACTCCCATGGCCAGCCAATTGGAATGGTATACGCAGAAACTTCCCTTAAAGCACAGGCCGCGGCACGGGCTGTTAAAGTCGTTTATGAGGACTTGCCAGCTATTTTGACCATTGATGAAGCCATCGAAGCGAAGAGCTTCTTCAAACATGGAAAGGAACTTCGAAAAGGGGCACCCCCTGAGAAAATGGCTGAGGTGTTTGCCAAATGTGACAGAATTTTCGAAGGAACTATTCGATGCGGTGGCCAGGAGCACTTCTACCTGGAGACGAATGCTGCCTTGGTTATCCCCCATTCTGAGGATGGCACAATGGATGTTTGGTCATCCACTCAAAATACGTGAGTGATGTTGCTCTGTAATGCATGATATTCTAGCCACTAACGGTTTCGTAGGATGGAGACACAGGAATTTGTCAGTCGTGTGATTGGAGTCCCTAGCAACCGTATCAATGCAAGAGTAAAACGGATGGGAGGAGCGTTTGGTGGCAAAGAGTCTCGAAGCGTCCAGCTAGCTGTTATTCTTGCAGTAGCCGCGAAGAAAGAACGACGACCAATGAGAGCCATGTTGAACCGCGACGAAGATATGATGACGACCGGACAGCGAAATCCCATTATGTGCCGCTGGAAGATTGGCGTCATGAATGATGGAAAACTTGTCGCCATTGATGCGGACTGCTACGCCAATGCTGGGTTCTCCTTGGATATGAGCGGAGCTGTCATGGACCGCTGTTGCACTCATCTTGACAACTGCTATTATTTCCCCAATGCACATATTCGTGCCTGGGTATGCAAAACCAACACAGTTACAAATACCGCTTTTAGAGGTTTTGGTGGACCGCAAGCCATGTTCATCGCCGAAAGTTTCATGTATGCCATCGCCGAGGGCCTGAATATCCCAATCGACGAGCTTCGCTGGAAGAACCTGTACGAGCAGGGTCAACGGACGCCCTTCCATCAATTGATCGATGAAGATTGGCATATTCCGATGCTGCTCGAGCAAGTCCGAAAGGAAGCGAAGTATGATGAGCGCAAGGCCCAAATCGCCAAGTACAATGCCCAAAACAAGTGGAAGAAGCGCGGCATTTGCCTTGTACCAACAAAATTCGGTCTCTCATTCGCGACAGCAATTCATCTGAACCAGGCTGGTGCATCCGTTAAAATATATGCGGATGGCTCGATCCTTCTCAGCCACGGGGGAACGGAAATGGGTCAGGGTCTGTATACCAAGATGTGCCAGGTCGCCGCTCAGGAACTAAACGCTCCCCTGGAATCCATTTACACCCAGGACACGGCAACATATCAAATCGCTAACGCTTCGCCTACGGCTGCCTCGTCTGGAAGTGACCTTAATGGTATGGCCGTGAAGAATGCATGTGATCAACTTAACGAGCGTCTCAAGCCGTACTGGGAAAAGTTCGGCAGGGATGCTCCGCTCTCGAAAATTGCACATGCAGCGTATAGAGATCGGGTGAATCTCGCAGCGACTGGATATTGGAAGATGCCCAAGATCGGTCATGTATGGGGCGATTATAATCCGGAAACTGTCAAGCCAATGTATTATTATTTTACCCAGGTATGCGCCACATCATATACCCTCCCCTCGTCACGAATGGTGAGTGACTGACTTCATTTTGTTATCTAGGGCGTTGCTTGCACTGAAGTTGAACTTGACGTCCTCACGGGAGATCATACCGTCCTCCGTACTGACATAAAGATGGACGTGGGCCGTTCAATCAATCCAGCTATTGATTACGGTCAGGTAGAAGGAGCCTTTGTTCAGGGGCAGGGTCTCTTCACCATCGAAGAATCTCTCTGGCACAGCAAGACCGGCCAGCTAGCCACACGTGGCCCTGGCACATATAAGATCCCTGGGTTTAGTGATATCCCACAGGAGTTCAATGTTAGTTTCTTGCAGGGGGTGTCGTGGAAACACCTTCGGTCTATCCAGAGTAGTAAGGGTGTTGGTGAGCCACCACTGTTTTTGGGCGCGACAGTCCTATTCGCACTGAGAGATGCGCTGCTCAGTGCTCGAGAGGATAATGGAGTGAAGGAGAAGCTGATACTGGATAGTCCGGCGACGGCGGAAAGGTTGAGGTTGGCAGTTGGAGATCGATTAGTGAAGATGGGGAATGTCGCGAAGGGGGAGGGGCAGAAGTCTTTTTTTGTTGCCATTTCTTAAGATATCTATCTCACGGTACGATCATATATTTTATTTCATTTCGTTGTGTTATTACATGTGGAAGGATTTTGTTCTTGTTTGATAGTTTTGGTTATGGAAAGTGGTCTCAGTGCAGAAATGAGGTTAAGGGATATACATCCAAATTGAGATACTGTAATCCGCCATTGGTGAACGCTTCTAAGGTTATGAACAAAGCTATAGCCCAGCCAGTCCTCAGCAACGTGGTCCACCTTGTGATGTTGGTATTATATTATAATTCTTGAAACCAGAGAAGTACTTACTAACGCTTCATCACAACTAGAAGCCGGATTGAAATTCGAACCAGGGTGAAAAAGTTAAGACGAAATGGGATATATGTATGTATATCCATATAGATGAAAATTCGCTTACAATCCAATTTCCTGGTCGATCAGAACTGTAAAAATAGCCCAAGAAAGCCAGATCGAGACACTGGTCCCTAATCCAACTGGGGGTAAGACCCTCCACTCCGCCAGAATACCGCCAGAATACCACATTATTCGCACGCTCTGAGCACCAAGCTCTTGCCGGGACTTCACCTTCTCCGCCACTACCAATATTAATGATTGCGACATCATCCTTTATACTGGAGCGATCAGCATTAGAACTGCTTCTGAAGCCAGGAATCAGTGAGCGTCTCGAAGGGCCGCCTATATGAATACTGAGCTTGGTTAGCAAGTTAGATTGCTAGGTATATCGGAAACACCCCGACACATTCTTCAATCCTTTCTTTTCAGGATATTTCTCTTGAGATGTTTCAAGCTATTTATTATTATCTGAAAACGCCTCTCTATCGTATGAACATCCTGTAGCGAGCCGAAATGGCTAGAAAAGCTGCGGATAAATTAGTAGAGAGTTGAATCAAAGCTCCCAATATCAATTTTATTCGCTCCACGGCTAGTACTCTAAAAATTCTCTCATACATATCGTGAGCCAGCGAATTCCCGCACATAGACAACCTCCCATACTAAAAGGCATATATGTGGTTCATGATGCTCGTGATATCCAAGGGGTGGATATCCACCGCAATGCTGCACCGTGACCCCTTTCTACTCTAGCCTAACTCAGGGGGAAAAGGCGCAAGAATGGGGCCACAAAACATAGATGATGCTGGGTCATCGCTAGAATATTACGATCGGAGAAGCTGCAGGTACTGCCGCATCCCAAACAAATTGGGGCCTGCCTTTCACCATTGTGGCATGGCTAGGATCAACCAGGTATCCAATGTCATTTACATGGAGACAAGCGTTGTCGTTTCGACCTGCCCCAATCAAGCGACCATTTTAGGGACCCAATCCGCTTCTCCTTCGGCCGGTAGTCTATGTGAGACCGGCGAAAGTCTATAATCAGAACCCGGCCCAGTTCATCATTCCATAACTTGTTGGCATTCCGTAAGTCATCGTGCAACGACTCCCAATATACGGATTTCCTTTTTCGGCCGAGAGATCTCACGGTACAGTGTTGAGCTGCGATTGGCATTCCTTAAATCCCCCCCGCCCCAGCCCATGAGCAGCATATGATATGACGGATCTCTCCGGCACCGTGGAGAAAGTATACTAATTCCAGGTTGATAGTTCCGAGGAACACAGGGACCGCCGAACCCTGTGCTTTCTGAAGAATTCGGTATATCTCTGCTTCACGTGAGACAAGTTTCCAAAGCCGGGATGTTGTCCCCTTTCCAACCACAGTGTAGCCGTATGTACGGAGTAGCACAAGTGATTTTGAATGGCGCACCATACGATCCGCATTCTCCGAACGGAGTACAATTATGATCTAAGTCATGATCGAGCTGCTGTTTCAATAGATGCACTAGCTTCCCTGCATCAATACGATGTCGATCGCCATTCTGCCCCTGTTGGTGAAGATGGACATTTGGGCAACGGCGATCCAATAGACCTTCTTTTTGCTGCAAACCCAATAAACAATCCTGCGTACAGAACTTTTCTGTGTGCTGACGGTATTCGCCACTTGAGGGGCTATTATTGTCTGCTGGATGCTCTGATGAGCGATTAGATAGAACTGCTCTATCCATGGGTAAACAGCCAGCTTGGGATCGGGTAGAGACTCGGCGGCCTTGCTGCGGAGGAGACTGCAATGGAGAAGATGGCAGATATTCAGAGGCTGTTTCCTCTGAACTTGCATATTCTGAGCCTGGAGGGACTTGCTTCAGCTCTTCATTGGGAATCGTTGAATGGATATAATCAAAACTTGTCTCCCAGAGATGTAGCTGAGATCTTGCCGCATTTCCGCCATGTTTGACTACGGATTTGGGAAGAAAAGCTCATCAGACAGAGACACAACACCCTGGAGATAGCTGTTTTTGGCCGGAGGAAAGCATCAGAGTCATCTGGATTCACATCCATATTTGGTTCAAAGAGATAGTAATAGAGTGTACTGGGATCATCATACGGAACATGAAGAATTAGGGCAAATCCATTGGTGATATAGGAGTATTCTAGTCCTTGTTGAATTATAATATGATACTCTTGAGCCAAAACTGCTCCAGTCAGCTGTTCTGCGTTGTACTTCAGCTTTTCGTTTGTATCAGGAGGTATCGTGGCCTGAACAACTTCTTCCCAAAACTTCATTGGCCGAAGACCTACTCGGAGGTTCTCAACAGAGAGCTTTATGTGGAGGCTTATACTCAACCGTGGTAAGCAAGGCACGAGTGGTGCTGTCCACTCGATGGATACAAAATTGGTCCGGCCTGGGATGCAGCGTACTGGACTCATCCATCGGCTCTGCATCATCATCTGGGTCTTCTAGGGTATTCGTATGGCTGTCGAACATGACCCCTTCGCCAAGCTGAAATCTCTTCTGAGCATCTGGTATTTTTTGCATAGCTCTGCTATGATATCATGGACATGGTCTTCGACCGCAACCCGTTCATAGATCTCTAGATCTCTTTCACTCCGCAACTGTCGACGGGAAAAACGCCGACTGATGCCATGCAGCTCGACAAGGGAGGCGAATAATTGAGGCGCTTCTCCTTCAGCTGGTTGCAGATAAGTGGATACAACATTGTAGATTTCTTGCTGTTGTGTAGGACAATCTGACCACAGACAAAGTTTTGTTGGGCAGTATTTCCCAGTGGGTGGTGGAATGTTCCCTTTAGTGGAGTGAGAGAGCGTTCCGACTTTTATTAGAGGCCGAGAGAGTACATCATGACAAGCCTTCATGAATTCCCAGAGAGTTGTAGGTTGATTGCGCGCCCTCTCCTGTCTCGCTTGGTCCTCTGCCTCCCTTTGGAGCTTCTCTGCCTCTCCCCGCAGCTCCTCTGCTGAGTGGAAGAGAGCTTTGTAATCTGGTAAACCGTTGTCAGTCATCGTAGTAAAGTAATATAGGTCCGAGAAACTTCCGCTAAGTCTGAAGGCGTACGATGGGCAATGCTGAAGGTGGAGTACCCCAAATCAAGAGATTTGTGCATGCATTTCTCACTCTGACGGAGGCCACGGCGCAGGATCCCCACGATGCTGACTTCCCACGCTCGCTCGACTTGCAACGAAAAGCTATCGGCAAAATTAATTTTCAGACCAAGGCAGACTCTGGACGGTTCTTATGCAAACTGCAAATGTAAATAGAAGCAGGAGATAGTTGTAATCACCAATCTGGGATGGCTGTGGACTCTTGTGCTAACCTCTTCTTCAAAGCTCGATCCCTGTCAACATGCCTAGCCTCTATGCACAACTCTTATTACTAGAAATGAGGGTGCTATGAAAGTAGTGATATATCTATCAGGCACGAGCCCAACTGCATATACATTCTTTCAAAACTTAGCAACATTTTTCTGGTTTAAAATCTTTTTGATTTTATTTTAGTATTTCTTGATTTTTTTTTCTTTGTTCACGGTTTAAATCTCTGAAGGAAAGGCTGTTGGCATACGAGAAAAATACGAAAGTTCAAGGACGTTATATTCAAGGATGAAAACTAGTTTAGGGAGCAAAGAGACACAAAATCCTGTCTAGTTATGCTCAAAATTTTGCAAAAGTGGGAAAATAAGTAAAAACAGCGTTACCAACCAACTCGTTCACCCTTTCAAGAAACCCCCATAATACTCATCTAACCACTTACCCGCCTTCCTCCCCAGATCTGACCCCGCTTCCCCATTCTGTCCAACACCTCCACACCTCCAAATACTCCCTACATAGCCATCCGGTCGAACATTGACAATCGCAACCTCATCTCCTGGCACATTACCCAGCCACTTCTCCGTGCAGCCGCCACCAGGAATGACATCATCAAGATAGAAAGTCCACCGGCTCGCCTGTAACAACGCGGGCAGCGAGGAAATTTCCGCATCGCATTTCGCCGTCCGCGTCACAAGCGCGTACGTGAATAGTTTGGACACGGGCGTGTATCTGTCTAACTGAGCGAATTCATCCAGCGGGCCGACGGAGGGTGGATTAGCAGCGTAGGATTTGTTAGCACGCATGCTGGCGCGCGAGAGGAAGGATGTCGGTGATTGGATGTAGTTGCACAGACTTTCCAAGAACGCTGTGCCTGCCTGCAGGCTCGGGGTGAACATGTAGATGCGGAACTGGCTGAGGAGTGGGATGTCGAGCTCGATGTCGACGGGGTTTGCGTCGATGAAGCGGGTGACTCGTGCGGGCGTTAGGAGGGCGCCGGGCTTCAGGGTGTTGATGGATGAGCCTGGCAGCTGTGGCGCGGAGCTCACCTGGTTGAGGATGTTGGGCGCATATTCTGCTCCGACACCGGAAATGAAGCGGATGTTCTCGTCGAAGTTGCGCGTCAGGGCCTCGTCGCCTTCGCTGAATGCCTTGACGTGTCCGACATCGAAATCGATGAGGTCTTGGGCGATTTTCTTCCTTTCCGCCTCGTATGTGGCAAGGAGGGAGCGGGGGGCTAGGTCTCGTGCTACCAGGTTGAGCTTCCATGCAAGATTGAAGCTGTCGTGCATGCTAGTGTTGGCGCCTTGGGCCGCAAGGGCAGAATGACAGTGGCCGGCCTAGTTGGGTATGTTAGTACAGTGGAAGGTAATGACGTATCGGGGACAGAGGAATTTACATCTCCAGCGATAAAGATCTGTAGTTCTGCATCTGCGAAGTGATTGGCAACTCGCTGGCTGACGACGTAATTACCAAACCATTCTATTTTCTTGGAGTTAGCTTTTGATCTTTGGGTTGCTGGGGACCGAAAACCTAACCAATGCTCTTCCATTCCAAAGTATACGGTGCCATCGCTTGCCTGGCTCTGCTGATGACATATTCTGGCGTGGCAAGAGATTTATCCATCCGATTACCCTCTGTCGAGCTGAGCTCGACATACAGGCGGGTCATATTCCGCTCCCTTGGAATCCAGAGAATGGAACCAGCATGATGTGTACGGACAGCAACTTTGCTCCACAGGTCTGGAAAATCCGTGTTAATGACACCTAATTGACACCATTTTCGGTTAGAAGAAAGACAATAAAAGGAGTTATTCACGGATATCAGACAGGTCACATACCGTCCAACACTCCCCAAGACGCATTGGTCATTTCGCCAATCAGCTTGGCTTCGGGTATGAAGGGTCTAACTTTCGAATGTGCACCGTCACATCCTATGAGGTAATCTGCCTCCATAGTCTTGGGTGCCTTGGTCGTGGCGTCTTCATAGATAACATGCATTTTCCCGTCTGCAGCTGATCTTGAACATTCGATGAACGGACTGCTGCGCGAAACAAAAACGCCGCGCTGCTCTATGTCTTGGATCAGAACATCCTCTACCATCCCCTGATGCGCCAGAAGGACAAATGGATTTGACGCCCCGACATGGTCTGGGTAATGGCTCTGACGACTAGTCCGGTGAAGAGGCTTGTCCACCGTAGATTCCTAGGGGAAATGTTAAGAAATGAAATGTCCCTTGGTTTCTTGGAGGGTGTCGAAGCTATATGAAACCTACCCAGAAAGATATATCGTAGACTTTCACTCCTTTTCTCAGAAGGTCATCAGCAAGTCTAAGCTGCTTGAAAGTCTCGATGGTTTTTGGTTGCATTCCATCAGCCTTGCCCGTCGATGTTTTGTCTGGCCTGTCATCCAATATAGTAGTTTTGATTCCATATCGGACTAGGTTTGATCTGTCTTCCTCCCGTCAGTGTCAAGACCGTGAATAATCTAGACCTCCAACGGTATAAAAAGTTGAAGAGAGGGTGGCCTAAAACGAATGATAAATTTTCACATACGCAAGCATCAGTCCTGACGGACCTGCACCCACAACTGCTACCGTTGTGGTTGGTGGCGGCGTGTGCAGGCCGCCATGATCGTCCATGAATCCTACACCATCAGCGCTGGGTCCCATCTTGAGTTTTCTTGGGGGAGTTACTGAATGCGCTCTTTTCATGATAGAAGAACGCAAGCAACTGGTCGGAATATATTCAAGCGAATAATCCTCCAGAGATGATCACGCCACATGCTATACTATTGGGTTTCAGCACTCCAACTTGCCTCAACAGGAACGAAGGTCATGGTCTCCCCACTTCCAGTTTGCCGTTGTCCGGGAAGATTGCAGTGAATCACTGCAATTGCCAGCAGCTGTTCCGTAAATTCGGGTCCACGATCCACGACAGCAGTGGCGGTTGGCGCTAAGAGGCGCCGGAAGCAGGGAACGATTTAGTTAAACCCTTTCGTTGTCACGAAGCTAAATCTAATCTAAGAAACCACCCCCATTTTTGGATACGGCAATACCAGGCCATTACTCGGTCATAGCCGTAACGATATGCAGCGGTATCATTACATACCATACGCGGCTAACAGTAACATGATCCTTCGGGTTCACGCTGCCTCGGCAATTTCGCCCATCTCGTATCGTATCTTTGGAGTAGATATGGAAATATGAGTTCCCGCACGCGCTCGAGATTGGGACGGGTATCCCAGTGCTGGAGCTCAGATGAATCTGGTCCTCATAGCATGGGTTATGGGGCCCTGATGCCAAACTTGAAATAAATCAGACTACAGGAAACTAGTGGCAGTCAAGACACAATGGGTGCTCTGGAACCGTGGCAGGAGATCGTTACGCAAAAAAGGCGGCTCAGGGATGCAGCATTGAAGCCCTATCTCGTCGAAGATATTCACCTAAGGTCCGAGAGAGTGGCCAATGTTGCAGATAGATCTCGCATTGAACCTCAGGCTGCTCAGGCCATCACTGAAATCGACAGCATTGAGAAACTGCATGAATCCATTTGCCGGGGAGAATTCACTGCTGAGGATGTCACGCTGGCATACATCAAAAGGTTCGGCTTGCTCTTCTTATCCGAAGCCCATCGCGCTTAACTTTTACGTTAAAGAGGGATGTGTTATCATTCTCTTCCGTATTTCATCTCTGACTCGGACTCACAGAGCAACGGTCGCACATCAACTGGTTAGTACCTGCGATGGTATATCACATTTGGAATTAGCTGCCGTCGCTGATAGAAATTCTCCCAACGAGCCGGGGAATATCGTATGCATGTAGACGAATGCTCTCACCGAAATAGTATTCGAAGAGGCACTAGAGCAAGCCAGGGAACTCGACAGATCATTCAGAACAACAGGGAAAGTCAAGGGACCGCTTCATGGAGTACCCGTCACGTTAAAGGACCAGTTTAACATCAAAGGTGTCGATACGACACTGGGATACGTAGGGCGTTCATTCTGCCCAGCGGCAGAAGATGCCGTTCTGGTGCAGATTCTGAAAAGCCTGGGAGCTATCATCATCGCAAAGACAAATCTAAGCCAGAGTATCATGGTATGTATGTGCTGTTAATAATAATGTTGATTTGCTATCAAACCAGAGTCCTGCTTTTAACACAAGGCTCTAGTGGTGCGAAACTGAAAACCCCCTTTTCGGCCTTACGGTGAATCCACGCAACTCTAAATTTACCTCTGGAGGCTCGACGGGAGGAGAGAATGCGTTACTGGCCCTCCATGGCTCAATTCTAGGAATAGGAACGGATATTGGCGGCAGTATTCGCATTCCTCAGAACATGGTAGGCTTATATGGGCTGAAGCCGAGTGTAAGTTCATCGATTCATACTCACCACCTAGCCCACCGCCTATATCTGCGTACTAACAACTCATAATTAACCAGAGCGGCCGCTTTCCCTACTATGGCGTCCCCGTCTCGACGGAGGGTCAAGAACACGTCCCATCCTCCGTAGGCCCCATGACACGCGATCTCCCCTCGATAATATACGTTACCAAACACCTCGCCAACTCGCAGCCATGGACGCTCGACCCACGCTGCGCCCCCTTCCCCTGGCGCAACGAGATATTTACCGAAATCCAGTCCCGCCCTCTCGTAATCGGCCTCATCATCGACGACGGCGTCGTAAAAGTCCACCCACCAATCCAGCGCGCTCTGCACGAACTATCCGCCAAACTCCAAGCCGCTGGCCACGAAGTCATCCCCTGGAACACAGACGGTCACCAAGAATGCGTCGATATTATGGACGCATATTACACCGTGGACGGCGGCGAAGATATCCGCAACGACGTCATGGCCGCAGGCGAGCCGTTCCTCCCGCACGTCGAGAAGCTCGTGAACAAGGGCAAGGCAATCTCCGTCTACCAGTACTGGCAGCTGAACAGGCGCAAGGTCGCGGTGCAGAAGGGGTATTTGGATAAATGGAACCGGACACGTGCGCCCTCGTCGAATCGGACGGTGGATGTACTGCTTACGCCGACCATGCCGCATGTTGTTGTGCCGCATCGTTGTTGTCGCTGGGTTGGGTATACGAAAGTGTGGAACTTTTTGGATTACACGGCGCTGACTTTTCCTGCTGGCGAGGTTTGCAAGGAGAAGGACAAACTTCCCGTGACCCCTTATGAGCCGCGGAACGAGCTTGATGAGTGGAATTGGAGATTGTATAATGTTGACTCGATGGCGGGATATCCAGTTAATCTGCAGATTGTGGGGAAGAAATTGGAGGAGGAGAAGGTCTTGGGTGCTGCGGTGGTGATTGAAAAGGTTTTGCGGGGGTTGTAGAGTTGACTTTTGACTATGTATTAGACTATGCTAAGGGAAGGGGATGGATGTGAGTTAGGAGTTGGAAGAGCCTGTTTCATCGTAGAGTGGCTATATGGAGAAATTAGAAAGAAAGCAAAGCAATTAAAAGCAAAACAGCAAACCAGGCTGAAGAATAAGTCTTCAATCATCCGTGGTCTAGCCATAACTTCTACCTGAATCCATACGCATGTCATCTTTCCCTTTTGCTACCACTTCGTGACGCCGCCATCCACGCAAATATCTTGCCCGGTCATATATGAACTAGCATCACTTGCCAGGAACACACAAGCACCTCTAATATCATCAGGCTCCGCTAACCGATGGTTCATGATGTCGGTCTTCCATTTTTCAGTGAGATGAGAGAACTATCAAAAATACGTTAGATCCAGCATATGCTGATTGAGGAAACGATCCGTTGAATCGACTTACTGCCGCTGTCATCTCTGTCCGAACATATCCAGGAGATACCGAGTTAACTCTGATACCCTGCGTGAGTAGTAAGCAGTTAAACGAAATCAGTTCCCATTGTCCCAAAATCGAGCATAAAAGAGAAGGGGGAAAAGAAAGAAAATAAAAAGGAAAAGGGGAGGATTACATACATAAGGCACCAACTCCTTCGCAATAGCCGGACACATAGCCTTTACCGCACCCTTGCTCCCACAGTACGCTGAGCTATTCTGATCTTTAATCGCCATGTAGCTCGCAATGCTCGCCACCAGCACGATACTGCCGCACTTGGTCCCGTTGGCAATCATCTGCTTCGCCGCCAACTGCGCCGTGAAGAACAGCCCCATGACATTTGTGTCCAGCAGCTCCCTGTGCGCTTCGTACGTGTATTCTAGGAACGGCAGATGTCTGTTTATGCCCGCGCAGGGCACGCAGATGTCCAGCTTGTTGTCGAAGTCTGCGCTGAACTGGGCGAAGCCGGCTTCTAAGGACTCTTTGGAGCTGACATCGACTCTGTGTTTTAGTTGAAATTGGCAAGACGGGATGTGAATTCTCGTTAGTTATTCCGGTTTGTTCATTTGACTTTTTTTTTTTTTTTTTGGACATCATTGGGGGAATTAGTAGATTTCCAATGGTTTTTTAGGGATATGTCTCACTTGTAGAACGCAGTTTTGACGCCATAGTTACTGGCGATACTATGGAAGCCTTCGGTCTGATCTATTATGTCGAAGACAGCAACGTCTGCTCCAGCTTCCGCGAGGCCCTCAGCAAAGGACAGCCCGCAGCCTCGTGCACCACCTGTTACCAGAGCCGTGCGACCTTTAAGGGAGAACTGGATGAATTATTTTGAATTACATTAGTTAGGCATGGTAGTGTCTTTGCGGATGAGGTGGACACGGCCGGTGAAGGGGAGAATTCAAGAAGTTGGTGGGCTCTTACTCTAGACATAATTGAGGTGGTTGAAGCAGAAAGGGCAGCGGGAAAAAACAGCGATTGTATAAGATTAAGGTGCAAACAGGCGTGGTTTTTGTTGTCTGTTGTCCAGCACAGTGATAACTACTAAGTTAATTACTAGTATCTAGAAGCATTCAAAGACCGGGAAGCTAGCTCTCGTCGCGCCGTCATCAAATACTATGTCCAGCAAGTCTCACAGGAGGCTTCATCCCTTCCGCAATGCAATCCCTGGTGCTACGGAGGAGGAGCTGCAACGGATAAGGAATTGTAGGAATTGTCCATCGACATCTCGCAGTATGCCGTGGACGTAACTATTTGACAAATGATGTACCGATTGCGGGACGTTTCAGCCATCGAACCATACCCCCACTTCTCGACCGTTTCAATCCCAAGCCCTGGTCAATTATCGTCGCCGCAGAAGGCCTCAGTGTTCCCCTTCCTCTTGAAACTGATCCTCAAACAGCGACATCTGGATGGCCCGCTAGGGGTGTATTCAAAGTGTGCTGTTTGTTCCAAGAGTTGGCACAGAGTGATTGGTTTTTGCAGCCAAGGATTCTTTCTACTAATACTGCGTGATAAGGATCTTATATCTAGCTCTGGGTTCATCCTTGAAGGAAATTATACATTCGTTTGCGTCAAACATATCTACAGTACCACGTGTATCTCCTACGAACCAGCGTGATGGGTAAAAAGCGAGTTCTCGTGGGCTACGGCGTTGACATCGATGCTGTCGCTGGCTGGCTTGGATCGTACGGCGGTGAAGATAGCACAAATGATATCAGTCGAGGTAAAACCAGAGAGATTACTTCCAACAGCCCCATTCCACCATTTGCATGTTGGCTACGTCCTTCTTCTAACAAATCTTCCCAGGCCTCTGGGCGGGCACAATCGGCGTCCGCCGTCTCCTGAAACTCTTCGACAAATATAATATCAAAGCCACCTGGTTCATCCCGGGACACTCCTTGGAAACATTCCCAGAAGAATGCGCCATGGTGCGCGATGCGGGACATGAAATCGGTCTCCACGGCTATTCCCACGAGAACCCGTCTGACATGACACCGGCACAGCAACGCGACGTCCTCGACAAGACCTACCGCCTCCTCACAGACTTTTGCGGCAAACCACCCAGGGGAACAGTTGCGCCCTGGTGGGAGACGAGCGCTGAAGGCACCGACCTGCTGCTCCGCTACGGCATTGAATATGACCATTCGATGGCGCATCATGATTGCCAGATGTACTGGCTGCGGACGGGAGACACATGGACAAAGATTGATTATACGAAGAAGGCAAAGGACTGGATGAAGCCGTTGGTAAAGGGCCAGGAGACGGGACTTGTGGAGATCCCGGGGAGCTGGTATATTGACGATTTGCCGCCGATGATGTTTATCAAAAACTCACCGAATAGTCATGGATGGACGAATCCGAGGGATATAGAGGATATTTGGAAGGTGGATTTCTCTTGCTTCCCCCTCCCCCCCTTCCGGTTCAGCACCGGTGGGGGAAATCTTGATCAGTATCTAACGCCTTGTTTGTGCAGGACCATTTCGACTATTTCTACCGTGAATACGATGAGTTCATCTTCCCTATGACAATTCACCCTGATGTCTCTGGACGGCCACATGTACTGCTCATGCATGAACGGTAATGTTTATTTTTATTTCATTTTATTTTTATGTTCCTCTCCCTGCTGGACGCTGACTACATGCATTTTTCCACAGCATTATCGAGCACATTAACAAGCACGAGGGGGTGGAATGGGTGACATTCGAACAAATGGCGGACGATTTCAAGAGCAAAAATCCCGCCCCAGCAGGAGCAAAGATGCCAGCGCCAAGAGGGGAGATTCTCAAGACGCCACCGTTGAATTGACCCTCCGCACAAAACAAACATACATAACTTGGACTGCGCTTGGAGCGATAGCGGTCTATCTTAGCAGAGTGTGATTAGTTAAGCAAGTCCGTAGATTAGTTTTTCTATTTTCTATTTATTCTATAGTGTTTTTTTGTTGTCCGGCTATCCTACTACTTCCTCCATTAACTTCCCCGCACCAGCAGCGACGTCATACAAGTTCAAGCTTAATTAGAGTTCGATTTTGCGGGGTTGGTATTCGGGTGTAAATTACATACAGACACCCCCACACCCCATTCTTGGACCTGTGCGTATCGGCGGCCGTATGCATGCAAACGCATTGCCAAAAGTGTAAGCTATGCACGTATGTATCGTATCGTATTGTATGATATTTGAGCGGGTCAACCTCCACTCTCTCATTGCCTGTCCGGGCTTGTTCATGGGCGAGCAGAACACCTGCATTAATTACCACGGATCATTGCCCGCACAGTTGTGGCTTGTCGCGATATAGCCACGGCGGGCTGTGAGCTGGCAAATCGAACAAGCTTGCCCAAAGGTTGGCGCGCGCGATCTTTGCGGAAGGCTTACGGAGTAGTTAGGGAAAAAAAAGCTGACAAGAGGAAGCAAAAGAGGGTTTTTGCTTTAAGATATTATCTTCCCTTAAGCGGCTTTAGGAGCTACAGTTTTGCCAAAGCAACGAATATAAAACTCTACTTGCCCTGTCAGCCTGTTTTGCTTGTCGTTGGAGGCCACAGGTATCGTGGCAAGTGTTTTTTTTTTTTTTTTTTTTTGTTTTTAAATTGGGGAATCTCACCCCTCCGATTACTGGTTTGTCGGATCTTCAGAAACGGATGATAGGAATAACGTGATATACTTGATTCGAACAGGAGTTTTTGAAAAAACATCTTTTCCAGGACCTGTAGCGCTCTAGCTCCGTGCAATCATGTCTCCCATACCTATCAAACATGTGCAACACCGCGAGGAATCCTGTAAACTAAAGGTTCGTTATCCCAACTCCCTCCTATCCTTCCCTCCCCTCGTTTTTCAACCCTCCAAGAAACCAAACAATATCGCCTTCTAACAAAAACCCGCTCAGGTCGTTATCGTCGGTGCCGGCCTCGGTGGCCTCGGTGCCGCCATCGCATGCCTCCTCGCCGGCCACAGCGTCAAAGTTCTCGAATCCGCCCACGAGATCGGCGAGGTGGGCGCCGGCATCCAAGTGCTTCCCAACAGCTCCCGCGTCCTGACCTCCTGGGGCCTGTCGGAGAGGCTATTTAAATACGCCACATGGCCGCGCCAGTGCAACTTCCGCCACTGGAAGGGTGAAATCATCTCCTCGATGAACTTCCACGAATCCCAGTCCCGGTTCCCTGGGACATGGTACGGCGATTTCCACCGCGCGTCGCTGCACAAGTGCCTCATGGAGCGGGCGATTGAGCTCGGCGGCGTGCTGCAGTGCAATTCCAAGGTCGTGGATGTAGTTGTGAGTGCGGATGGGACGACGGTGACGGCCGTTATGGAGGATGGGCGGAGGGAGGAGGGGGATTTGCTGATCGGTGCTGACGGGGTGTTTAGTCGGCTGTCAGAGATCCTGCTGGGGAGACCGAATCCGCCGATCAAGACGGGGGATTTGGCGTATCGGTTGCTACTATCGACGGAGGAGATGATGAAGGATCCGGAGCTGAGACCGTTTGTGGAGGAGCCGCAGGTCAATTATTGGTTGGGCCCCGACGCGCATGCCGGTAAGTCATGGCCCTTATGATTTGTATTGGCTTTAATGAGAATATATGATGGTGACTTTGCGGATAGTGAACTATGTCCTGCGAGGGGGTGAGCTCTTCAACATGGTTCTCCTAGTACCGGACGATATTCCCGACGACGGCGCTTCAACGGTAGAAGGCAACGTGGAAGAGATGTGTGCAGCATTCAAAGGCTGGGATCCAAGGTGCGTCAAAAGTTGCTTGCCGGAGATCTTCTCCTAAAAATTTTCCTCCTCATCATCCTAACTCGTAAACGCTATAGAATCGAGAAACTCCTTAAGCTTTGCAAATCCGTCTACAAATGGCGCCTCTGCTACCGCCTGGGTGAACATGACTGGTCTCATCCATCGGGCTCATGGACTCTGCTCGGGGACGCAGTGCACGCCACTCTCCCTTATCTTGCATCTGGGTAAATATGAGTTACTAATAGCACCTTATTCCCGAACAAAAACCACACACACACCTATATATAACCTAGAATATCCCTAACACTAATCCACCCCCCACAGCGCCGGCATGTCCTTCGAAGACGGCTGCGTTCTAGGAGAATGCTTATCCCGCCTCCCCAACTCGCCCAACATCGACAAAAAGTCCCCCGTCTTCCTCGCGCAAAAACGCCATGCGCTAGCGGTGTACGAAACGTGTCGCAAGTCGCGGACGCAGATGATCGTCTCACGCAGCAACTTGCAGCAGTATTTGTATCACCTGCACGACGGGCCGGAGCAGGAGGAGCGGGATCGCAGGATGCGCATGCAGCCCACCGAGGAAGGGGAGGCGTTGGCGTGGAGAGATCCTGGGCTCGCGCCGAAATTGTTGGGGTATGAATGTGAGAAGGATGTAAGTTCCTTTTTTTACCCTACAAACACAACGGAGATGTCCAATTCTGAGCCGGTGGCCCACTCTAACAAATCAAATTAAAATAGGTCGAAAAGCACTGGAACGTCGTATCCGTCCCATTGTCCAACGCGAAAACTCAAAGGTCCGAGGAGTCGCGTCTTTTGAAGTGATAGGAATTCGATGGGATGCTACATGTAAGGGGAAAGCGACCATCGGAGTGTGTATGTCAGAGAGAGGCCGGGGGCTTGTTCGGGACGATACATAGATTGCTGGACACATATGTAGATGATCTAGATTTTCTTAATAAGAACTGTATGGCTTCTAGACTTTCGGGCAACGTAGCGGTCATGTTCTGCTACGTTGGAGATATTGGGCGTAGATGGTAGTAGACAAGCAGTGTGTGCGCGGGCAAAGGCAAAAAGTAAAGAGAGACGAAGAGGCCCGGGGGAAGCCTATGGTCCTGACGATTTAAATACTTTTGCGGGGCGTCAATTACGTTTCGGAATTTTTAATATGTTGATATTCTCAAAGTGGAATTCTCTTTCTGGAAACAAAATATTGGCATTAGACCACCTAAGTGCTGGTTAGTATTGATTGGCATCGTTATTTTGCAACAGCACCAGAGTTGTGGCTCTGCGAGAGAAATAGGTGCCGTGATTGCATCATGAAGTGCTTCCAACAGTTCCACACCTGATGCGTATTGGTGGATCGGCCAGCGAGCTGAAAGAAATAACGAGACAGCGAAAAATGCAGTTAATCATATGGATCATTTCTGGAAGTTAGTGGACGGCCTCCTTTGGTTTCTTCAGCATCATACGAACCCCATTTTGTCAGACTCTCAATTAGCTGTTGGACCCGGGCCGGCATGGACGGGCCCCACTTCTTCGAGCACTCAGAGTTCTCTTCAATGCTTAGCCCATAGAGATCACTGAATGATTAAGAGCGGATTCTGGATGGTTGAGAGATGGATTGTGGAACAGACAACCCAACACGGAGTGCTAGATGTTCTATGGAGGGAGCGGGTGTTTCCGAAGACCATTCATGCTTCAGCGGATTTCAAATGCGCTTCTTAGCTTCTGGTTTCTTATCTGTGGAGAGTCCAAGAAAACCTGGTAATATGATCTCAGTCCTCGAAATCCGAACATTCCGTAAGATGATAGGAATGTCTGCGGACCGCGGCAGTCAATTGCCTTGTCCGTCGATGAGCGAAAATCGTGATTTGGCGTGTAGCTTCACCTTTGTCCCCTCCAACACGAGGTGTATGAAACGGCAGTTACCACCCCGCTCTACAATTGTACCCAGAGGCAGTCCCTCCCATTTGTCATTGTGTAGCCAGCGATTGCCACTATGAGTTGTTTTGGCTTCTCATGGATATTGACAAGTGACGTAGCATTCTGGGCGCGGGCAAAGAACACACATTGTCATCCAAGCCCCACAGATAGTTGAACACATGAAGCCAGCAGCATGCTTGATGCTGACTGACATGGCATACATATATCGCGCATACCAGGCGAGCTGCACCAGCGTCCCTTTGGACACAAGCATATCAGAATGACTAGAGTTCACTAACCGGCACAATGCCTCTCCAGTAGCTGTGCTTTTTGTCTGATCGGCCTCCACTCAGCTATTTGGCAATCAGACCAACTCTGCGCTGAGCAGGTGAGTTCTCTCAGGACCTTCATCGTGTAGTAGCTACGTCACTCCTTTGAGAGAAGACCGTCTGCAGTTGGACCAGCCAGAAAGCACTTTAGGCTGGTCGGTTGAGCGGCCAAGAGGCATCCGTTCCGTCCCAGTAAAGAAATTTTCAAAAGAATCTCAGTACTTCCCGATACGTGCAAAGCGGATCGCCTCAAATACTAGTTAGTACTCTTGCCTCGACTAGCAGTCCAGTCCATTCACCGCCTCTGCTGCGATGCGGAGACATGTGTGGTCGGAGAGCTGTCAATGCGAGAGAGACACTTGCCAGTGTAGAGTCCCCTCTTAAGGGCGTAGTAATTAGATCGAGAACGGCGCCGCGGATGTCAGAGTATTCCTAGTAGTATAGGAAGATGAGTTGCATCCGAGATCGAAAAGTAAATCGTTGGACGTTCCGTTTTATGTCTTGGCACAACTGTCTTGGCACAAATCCAAGCCCAACGTTGGAATCACACACGTGATTTACACGACGCGTCGAAGCAAATTGATTCCGCAGTTTCATCGAGACAACAGTGGGAGCATAATATCAGCACGCTGGAAGAATTATTCCACATTTCAAACGAGCTCATTATGGATAAGCCAGAGTCATCTTCAGCTCAGGCCAAAAGAGGCCTGCAAGAGAATCTCGCGGGGGCTCCCGCAGACTACGAGTTACCTTGGTAAAGCGAAGGTCCTCTTCAATCGAGAACGGCGAATTTGGTACTAATTAATTTCACACACGGATGTGTAGGGTAGAGAAGTACCGGCCTGTATTCCTCGATGACATCGTCGGAAACACAGAGACCATTGAGCGGCTGAAAATCATTGCGCGCAATGGCAACATGCCGCATGTTATCATCTCCGGCATGCCGGGGATCGGGAAGACGACTTCGATCCTGTGTCTAGCGCGACAGATGCTGGGAAATTCATATAAGGAGGCTGTTTTAGAATTGAATGCTAGTGACGAGAGAGGTGTGCTGCTCTTGTTTTTCGTCATTGTGGCTGTTGTTGCTACTGCTTCTGCATGATTTTTACTCGCTCTGCAATGATTCGATCGATCTGGTTTACTCACCGTGGCTTTCGCAGGCATCGATGTGGTTAGAAACAGAATAAAAGGCTTCGCGCAGAAAAAAGTCACACTCCCACAAGGGCGACATAAGTTGGTGATCCTCGACGAGGCAGACAGGTTGGTATACACACGCACAGTCCTCTCCCAATTCCACCTCCCCATCCACTCCCCCACCTGCTCACCCAAACGATATCCGCAGCATGACATCTGGTGCGCAGCAAGCCCTCCGACGAACCATGGAGATCTACTCCACAACGACGCGCTTCGCCTTCGCCTGCAACCAATCGAACAAAATCATCGAACCACTGCAATCCCGCTGCGCCATCCTGCGCTACGCGCGCCTGACGGATGGGCAGATCCTCAAGCGGCTCACACAGATCTGCGAGGCGGAGAAGGTAAAATACTCCGAAGACGGGCTGGAAGCATTGATATTCAGCGCGGAGGGCGATATGAGGCAGGCCATCAACAACCTGCAGAGCACCTGGGCTGGATTCGGGTTCGTGAGCGGCGAAAACGTCTTCCGCGTCGTCGACAGTCCGCACCCGGTCAAAGTGCAGGCGATGATCAAGGCGTGCTGGGAGGGGAAGATCGATGCGGCGTTGGATTCGTTGAATGAATTATGGTAAGTAGGACCTGAGTCATGTATGTATTATACATATGAACTGACGACAATCGTACTCACCCATGGGCGTGGTTTCGCAGGGATCTCGGCTACTCCTCTCACGACATAATCAGCACGATGTTCCGGGTGACGAAGACGATGCCGACGCTCTCTGAACATACCAGACTCGAATTCATCAAGGAGATAGGCTTTACACACATGCGGATATTGGAAGGGGTGCAGACGCTCGTGCAGCTCAGCGGGTGTCTGGCCAAGCTATGCCGGATCAACATGAAGCCGGAGAGCTTCCAGCTTCCGTCGTTGAAGCGGTGAAGAGGTGAAGGGGTGAAGGGGTGAAGGAGTAAAGTGACAACTCTGTTTTGAAGCAACAGCCCCGGGCTGCACGCCACAAATAAAAAGAAAAGAAAAGAAAAGAAAAGAAAAGAAAAGAAATATGTTCTTCCCCGTCCAGCCCGCACGCATCGAATTGAAAAAGAAAAGAGCAAACAAGAGCGTCTGGTAAATGAAACTGGGGGTTGGCATGGGACATACCACCCGCTTCCTCTTTCCCAAAAGGTAGTCCGTCGACGACGAATATGTCAGTCAGCTTTGTGGGTGGAACTGGGAACTAGGTTGGTTCTCGCACCGTTCCCACTTCCAAGGGTTTTCCGGGGGGCTGAATCTACATTGGGCACAGGAACGAGGTGGGAAACGGGAAACGAGAGAGAGAATGAACAGACAATTCATGACATTGATGACTGATAGACATGTATCCCTAACTACTCATATTCCTACAAGACCCAGTTCCCTCCAAGCATCTATTGTATGGTATCCTGATCTATAATCCCACCCCGTCTAGATAGATACACGCACAGGACGTGAGAAGCTTCGTGGCGCAGTATCCCGTCGTGGCTGGGTGAGGACGACGATTCTGGTATTGCCGAAACAGGGAATGAAGCATGACAAGTCTCTCTGGGCCAGCAGGCACTGTCACATATTACCACCACTTACTCTACTGTTCCTATTCCGATTCCTACATTACTATTGCTACTACAAAGTATTGTCTCTCTTGCAATGAGTTACACAGTCAAGTTAGCAACTCCTGCCAACGCAAGACGAAGCCTGCTTAGCTAATATCCTCATTCCCGGATGTAGTCAGTTAGTGATGTATCCAAACCAGGTATGGCCGTGTACACGCTATGTCGGATCCAGATTAGCGGCGATCCGATACCACGATCTGACCCGTCCCAGATCCAGGGGACGAATCAGATCGACCCGTGCGCGGTGGCGGATGCCGTTTCTGTGTTTTGCTGCTGTATCAGTGCTGCGCCTGTTGCTCGTCATAATCTGTACGGACCTGGAAATATTACGGAGCACCGATGTATCCGATGCAGACAGGCGACTGGCCAGTGGCTGACAAACGAGGCTCGTGTCATTGCGGCGGCTACAGACACAAACATCCACAGATACATCCTGAGAATAGCTGTAGAGACACTTGTAGATACATCGATATACACCTCCCAGCACGTAGAATACGCAGTACGGGTACACAGTTAGTGGACTGCGCAGGTACCTTCCTGCCTGAGCTACCTGACGCCGGCACCGTCAGCCTTCCCTTATATATTCGTCTCCGCCCGCCAACGGTCAACTCTACCTCCTCCTCAGCGATTCTCGTCGAATTCCCCCATTTCCTCCACTGGGCTGTCATTCTATCTATATCCTCTCCTTTCACTGTCCCCCACCGTGCATCCGCTAGTCGGCTTCCGGATTGCTCATCTCATTGCCGAATCCGGCGTCCAAGTCGATCTCGATCTGCACGACTTCAGCAGAAAACCCCCGACCAAGGAAAGAATCAACTTGATATGAGCGGGATAATCGCAATAGATCGATCGACATAGAACTCCAGCAAGCACCGTGCGCCATGCGCGGTGTCACCGCTCTCTGCACGCTGGGGACGGCGCTTCTGTTCTCCCTGTCCGCCCTGTCCACCCCCGTCAGCGCCATCCAGCTCCTCGCCAGGGACGCCCGGAACGTCGTCGGGTTCGATTTCCAGCGCAGACACGTCGCCAACCCGGTCGAGAGGGACAGGCTGAGGAAAAGGAAGGGCAATGTAGTTGAGCAGATGCTGAACAATGAGGTATGCATCTGCAATGTTATCTGTTGTTAATTTCGCTGTGCTTCCCCGATCCAGAACGCATATATATATACACGAGAATATATTTCTGATTCAACCGCACGTTGCCCATGCAATGCCAACAGGTGACGCTGTATTTCTGTAACATAACGCTGGGCACTCCGGAGCAGCCCCTGCGCATGCATCTCGACACCGGCAGCAGTGACCTCTGGAGTAACGCTCCCGACTCGACGCTGTGTACCCAGAATGGAGATCCCTGCAGCGCCGGAGGAACCTATGACCGCACTGCCTCGTCGACCTACGGGTTCGTCAATTCCCTGTTCAATATCTCCTACGTTGACGGCTCCAGCGCCAGTGGCGATTACGTGACGGATACAATGAGGATTGGGGGGGGTGTCGTTGAAAGACTTCCAGTTCGGGGTGGGGCATACGTCCTCTTCGTCGGGTACGTTAAACAGATAGGAGAAGACCGGAAAGGAGAATCATGAAAAAAAAAAAAAAAAAAAGAGAGAGAGGGAGGGAGGGAGGGAGAGGAAGAGAGGAAGAGGAAGGGACAAAAGAAGCTGGCTAACCTTTTGATAGAGGGTGTCCTCGGTATTGGATACCCTACGAACGAAGCCCTGATGGCCATGTCGGGCCAAAAGCCCTACGCAAACCTCCCCTTCGCCCTCGTGAAGCAAGGCTTGATCCACTGGCCGGCCTATAGCATCTGGCTCAACGACCTCGACGCCAGCACTGGCAGCATCCTCTTCGGCGGCGTCAACACGGAGAAGTTCCACGGCAATCTCCAAACACTCCCCATTCGGCAAAGGGAAGGCGGCATCTACGTAGACCTCGTTGTCGCCCTCACCGGCCTAACCCTGACAACCCGCGGTGTCACCCAAAGACTTGCCGCAGGCGCCGTCCCCGTCCTACTTGACACCGGTAGCAGCCTCAGCTACCTCCCCGACCCGCTCGTCGATACTATCTACACCGCCATCCAGGCCATATACGACCAGCCCAGCGGCGCCGCTTTCGTGCCCTGCCGCTACCGAGACGCGAGCGCCTCCTTCACCTTCCAATTCGGCAACAGCCGCAACGCCAGCATCACCGTTGGCATGGACGAGCTCGTCCTCGACCTCGCCTCCATCACCTCCAGCCCCGACCCCAACAGTAAGCCTCCCAACATCAAACCAACCTTCTCCAACGGCGAGCCCGCCTGCCTCTTCGGCATCTCCCCCGCCGGGGACAGCACCCCGATCCTCGGCGACACCTTTCTGCGCAGCGCCTACGTCGTCTACGACCTCGGCAACAACCAGATCTCCCTCGCGCAGACCAACTTCAACGCCTCCGCGGACCGCATCCTGGAAATCGGCGACGGCGCCGCGGCTGTACCGTCCGCGACCGGCTCGCCGCCCGCAACTTCGACGGCCGGCGCGGGACCCACGGCGCGCCCGTTGCAGGTGGGCCGCGTGGGCGCGTGGGCGGGGTTGGTGGGGTTCATGGCCGGCGCGGCGGTGTTGGGGGTCGTGTAAATCATTGATGGCGACACGGTGTGAGGAATTGGATTTTGGGGTGGGGGAGGGTTTCTGGGATTTCTTTGGTTTTGACTCCGTGGGTACCAAAAAAAAATAAAAATAAAAATAAAAAATAAAAAAAAATAAACCCAAAAAATAAACAAAAAAGCTCTTTTGGATGAATAAAAATCTCTGGCAGACTCTACATCGAGGGGGAGGGGGCGCGTTTCTTTTATCTGTATATTCTTGTTTTTTATTCTTGTTGATTTTCAATTTACCCCTTTTTCCTTTTTCCTTTTTCTTTTTCCCTCTCGCTCTGCATCGCATCTATCTCTCTATCTTTCTATCCATCTTTCGTTCAAAACCACATACCTAACACACCATACATATACGCTATACGCGCACATGTACTGTACATAACTATGTATAGCAGACCGTGTCTTTGGCCTTTGCCTTTGCCTTTGCCTCCGTCTTCGTCTTTCTGTACAGTACTTCCAAAACTCATATATATATTTTTCAGCATGGGAACTAACGGACTGCGCTGGGGTTGTTGGTTTGGTTTGGTTTTGTTTGGTTGGTTGGTTAGTTGGTTTGGCCGGGGAAGAGGTTTTGTTGGGAGGGAAGACAAAAACGGAAAAAAAGAATGAATTTTTTCTTTTTTTTTCTTTTCTTTTTTCTTTTTTCCTTTTTTTTTTTTTTTCTTTCACCGTTTTGCATTCTTTCTTCACGTAAAAGGGGAGGGGGAGTGGGTCGCGACCGCGATTGGAGACGAGGTATATACTCCCCTCTCTGTGCTGTTCGGATTTGCAGCTATTAGAGCCCGGGTTGGGCTGTGCATCGTGGTATATGTATTTAGTTCGCTGTGGGGAGGGGAAATGCGCTGCGGGCGGGCGGGGAAGGGGGGGTTGGTGGGTGGGTTCCAGGAGGGTTGAGATAAGAGACGTCGACTCGACATTTTGTATATACGTTAGTATGTAAGTATCTATGTACGGCACAAGACGCAGTCCGCTATGAATCAGAGAAAAGTAAAAAAAGTAACGCGCTTGACCATCATGCATGCATGCAATGCAATGCATGCATTCCGCCATCTAGCCACATCAAATATCTTGCTGCTTGTCTCGAAATATCCCGCGTCGAACCACTACCGCCCTGGCTCCTCCACCATCATCGTAACCACCATCAGCATCACTACCATCTTCACCCTCATCAGCCATCCCAAGCCTACATCCACCACCACGATCATCATCACATTTCCAAACCTCCACTTCCACCCCACCGCCATCGTTATCGTTATCGCCATCACCCAACCCGCCCAAGACCCTCCAAGCCATCTCCGCAACCCTCCCCGCCTGGCCCTTATCCCCACACTCAAGCACGACAAGGTCCGCATCCACCCACGACAGGGCCGCGGAGAGCACGTGCGGGTAGAACATATCCTCCCGCCGCGCATCAACGACTGCTGCGTCGCAGGCGCTCATCTCCAGCCTGCGTTCGGGTGCCGCTGGGGACGGGAGAGAAGATGTACCAGCGGCATCAGTGGTGGTGGTGGTGGTGGTGGTGGTATTATTATTATCGGCATTACCGTTCTGGGTATTATTGTTAGCGGTAGGCAATGGCGCGCGGTCCGCCGAGCGCGATTCCGCCCGAGGATGAGGATGTTCCTGTTGCTGCCGATGGATGGGGCCGCGGGCGGGCGGCACGAGGGCAAGTTTGGGCTCGTACCTGCGCACGCTGCGGGCTGTGGTGCCGTTGGCGAATTGGGCGGGGGAGATGTAGGGTGGGTTGGAGAGGAGGATGGTGATTACGGGGTTTATTTCTGGTTCCGCTGCTGCGGCTGCTGCGGCTGCTGCGGCTGCGGTCTTGGATGCCGGAGTCACGCTGCTGGTGTACAGTCCAGAGAGCTCCGATTGCCCAGAGAGCACATCGCCCTTGACGAACGACACCTCGTCCCTGGCCCTCTCGCTCAGCGTTCCAAGTGCGATGTTGTGCTTGAGATTCTCCCGTGCTAACCTGAGTGCGCGGGTGCTTATATCCACCCCACATATTTGCAGTTTTGGGAATACGGGGCTGAGAAGGGAGTGGAGGAGGAGTGGAATGCAGCCGGTGCCCGTGCAGAGGTCAACGATGCGAAGGGTCGGCAGGTGTTCACATTTACATTCGTCCCTGTGCGCGAGGCCCTTTCGCCTGGTGGGTGCGAGTTCCGAAAGCAACAAGTTGGCAACGCGAGCCGTATATGATTCCGTCTCCGGTCTTTTCAGAGGAAATTAAATTGATAGAAAAACAACGATGTGAAATTAGCTTATTATATATGGATATAAAATAGAAAACTTCACCCAGCATACGAAGCATACGACGAAAAGCGCCAGGGAAAACGCAAAAGACAGTTGTAGTGTATCTTTTTGTTGAAAAAAAAAAAAAAAAAAAAAAAAAAAACAAACAAACCTCGGAATCAACACCCCCCTCCGACACAGCATCTCCAAGTCGCCAAAGGGCTGGTCACCGAGGATATACTGCAACGGCACGCCACGCGCACGCCGGCGCACCATCTCCCGCAGCCTCGATTGCACCCTCACCGCATCGAAACCGCCATTACGATCGATTTCTTGAGCCATTGGCCCACTCCCTGCCTTCCCGCCATGGGAGTGCCTATGCCTATTTCCCCGGCGCTCACCCCGGCGCGCAGCAAGGGAATGCTCGCTCAGCCATCGCAGCTCATTCCGGGCGGATGGCAGATCCCGGCATTCGCGGAGGAGGAGAGGCAGGAGGGGGTGTACTGTGTATGCGTGGCGGAGGAGAGCGAGGGGGAGACGGGGCATCGACTGTTTACCACTGCATCCCACTCGGGCTGCCGGTATATCGCGATGTATGGTGTAGGAAGTGAGTCCTGCTACATCGCTGCCTTGCCTTAATAGGGAAAATCACAACGGTAATAACTAGCACAGTTTTATCACCATTATATAACAGAAAAATACTGAAATAGTCAACGTACTTCACGGGCATACAGTTGAACGTTGGCTAATTTTACGGACCGGAATAACCTTCGGCGTGGTTTTGACCATAAAACTACATACACTACACATCTCTCACACTGTCACACATCTTGAAAACAGTGATTTTATCTTATTTCTCAAAGCTCTATCTCTTAACTAAGCTGTATTCTAACTCTAGATCACTAATTCTAACTCATAACTGCTTTTCAGATGTCGAAGAGCCTCAGGTGTTGAAGTAGAAGGACTAAATAAGAACTGATTAGATTTTGAGCTGAGCATGGTTTATTTTATAGACTCATTTTTTTTAAAACCACGTCCAACTGGAACCCGAACTTTCACTTAATATCGAGTCCCTGGTGACATTGCTCCTCCACATCGCGCCGAAGTCTAAAATCTTGTTGACTGCTAGCTTAAGAAGGGGGTGGGTTGTTGAACGACGATCTGTAGCAGGACAATCTGTATGTTCAACGCACACCAGCTGAGGAACTTTATTAGAAGAGGGCGATCGCTAAGGGGTATATGACCGGATATGATTAATATGGTATTAATATGTCCTAAATCGAGACGTGACTTCAACTGGATATATATTTTCTACTGGATTCTGGATGTGCGGCCAGCGGCCTCATGTCGTTCCAATATGGCTTTTTAGTTCGGCTTTCTGGGTGAAGCCAGTCGACCTGCCCGCTTTCGGCACTTTGGGTCTCCAACTGGCATACCGTTCGGAACTGGTCGGCGCCAAAGGATCCTCCGTGTCGGGGGGGTGGCATTTTGTAGCGGTTGCTGTACCAATAACTGGCGTTGGGGTATGGCAAGATAGGATAAATTTGTACGAAGCACCTGTGAAGGGCGATGAATGAACTATGTACGGTACAAATAAACACTAAACATGTGGTTTCCACCAGCGCCCGAGCGCCGTAGCCTTCCTCGAATACTAACCAATGTGCTCGTATCAGAATGCTGTGTTGTATCCAGTCTTCCACCACAGCTTTTGGCGCTGGGGTTGCATGGCTCTTTGGTGGCTCATTCAGGGATGGTGATTCATTATCAGATTCACCAAGGTTACTTATTCCTTGTTTCTGTGGGGGATAGCCATCAATTCAGAGCCAGTCAAAGATATTTCATGTAGCATTTTCTGATGCCGATTCTTTCTCAAGATTCAGAGCTTTGTACTGTACTTGATGAGTGTATTTATTGCCAGATGCTGGGCTAGTGGACAGGGCAGATGTAGTGATTTTAACACACAATGCATATAATATTGAAGACTGTGACCAGTACACTGTGAATGACACTGTATGTAGACAGATCTCAAGTTCAGCATCTTCAAGATATCTATGAAGACATCAGTCACTGAGTGTGCTGAATCAGATAGAGAAGTCAGCACTCATAAATTTAAAGTGGTTGGATGGATCCGCGGCGGCCATAAATCCCACAACGGCGCCGTTGGCCGCAACCTGACTTGGCGTCGGTGGTCCAATGGTTACGATTCGACATTCCCATGGTCACTGCGGAAACTATCGATAGTGTCAGTCTTCTGACGATGTCGAGACCCGGGTTCGATTCCCGGCCGACGCAGCCATTATTTTTTCTATTTTTTCAATATATATTTTATTTGTATTACATGAACAGTACATATTGAGGAGGCTGCAGGTAAAATAGTCCTACGTGGTTGGCTGGTTGGCCTCAGTTATGCAGACGAGCCAATGTCGTCAGATTAGGAAACGATTCCCGGTGATGATAACCTCGTCATGTATTTCATATTTCTACACCCCCGCCCAAGTCTTCGAAAGGGACATCTCATCATTCCTCAAATGAAAAGCATTGGATAATGTCTATCTCGGATAACAGCCAATGGGTCTAAACAGAGTTCCCTTTTCATCCTTGGGACCTAAAGGGAAAGAAACCTCCAAAAAATTACTTACAGATGGTATGGTATACATATTCTAAGGAAAAATGGGGTGAAGTAAAGCAATAAAAACAGTCCTCACGAACTGGCCCACCTCTTCCAAAACTTCCACCAACCCGCTTCCACGCTGAGCAGATTCTTCCCATCTCTTTTTCTAATCCTCCAGAAATACACCGGAACTGCCGCGACGTTAAACCCAAGTACAAGGAGCGTCTGCAGCGGCTCCGCAAACACCGCCCGGCTCAGCAGAAACAAGCTCACGCAACAAAAGATAATCGGCGTCGTAATCCACGTCTTGTACGCCCGCTCCAGGTGCGGCTCCCGGATCCGCAGCACAATCAGCCCCAGCACCGTAAGGAAATAAAAGGTGTACCCCGCCACGCCATAGAAGGTGACCAGGGTCGCAAACTCGCCGACGGAGATGTAGATAGTTGTCAGCGTGAAGTTGAACATCATGGCGTAGATGGGCGTGTAGCCGATTCCGACGTCGTCGCCGAAGACGCGGATGAGGGCCTCGCGGAACCAGGAGCGATGGCGGAGCCGCAACCCTGCTGCACTGGCGGCGGAGCCTGCTATGCCGATCTTCCCGAAGATCGACGGCAGGTAGCCTTCGCGCCCTGCGGCGTAGACGAGTCTGCCGGAGGTAAAGGCGGTGGCGTTTAGGGCGCCGAAGCAGCTGGCGGAGACGACGAGAGCGAGAACTAGGGCGCCGATGGGACCGAAGACTTTCCCGCCGAATTGGACGGCAACGGTGTTGGTTGCGTTGATGGTTGACGAGGGTAGGACGAAGAAGTAGGAGATGTTCGCGAGCATGTAGCATAGGATGACGGCGGGCATGGCAGTGTGGATTGCTCGGGGGAGATCGCGGCTGGGATTCTTGAATTCTCCCGTCACGTAATTTGTCTAAATATCCATGGGTGAGTGAGTTTAACCCGTTAAAAAATATAAATCAGGCAGAAAAGGGGGGAGAGGCGGGAGGATTTCGGGGGAGATAAAGAAACAAGACATACGTTATCCCACCCGTCAAATGCCCACAAGCCCGCATACAACGCTACCGCCCAGCTTGAAACATCGGTGCTGGTACCCTCGAACCAGCCCGTCGTCCGCCATTCCCGCTCCGGCTCACCCTTATATGACAGTCCTGTAGTAGCGACAACGATCCCGATAATGGTAACCCCGAGGAGGGCCAAAAACTTGAAAAACATAAACACGTCCCCGATGCGCGTACCCAGGCGGGTAGATATACAGTTCAGACCCGTTATGATCAAAAGGCCCAGAATGGCCACCCCCTTGTTAACCCAAGGGCTAATAAATTCGACGTCCGCACCAACGATCGCCCGCACAACATATTCGCCAAATATGATCGAGATGATGGCCGCGGAGCCTGGTTTCAGCACAAACACCGCAGACCAGGTAAACAAGAAACCGATCAGCTCCCCAAATATCTTGGCCAGGTACACCTGCGCACCGCCATTCAGGGGTATCGCACCGCCTAGTTCCGCATAGCTCGCGCCGCCGGTCCAGGCCAACAGGCCCGCAACCGCCCACACAATCAACGAGGCACCGGGGGATCCTGCATTTGCGTTGACGCGGCCTGGGGACTAGTATATGCCCGATCCGATCACCAGTCCGATTATCAACGACAGGCCATTCAAATATGTCAGAGTCTTGCGTCTTTCCAGCGAGCCGTCGATGACGCCATTGTTACCGTCTAGAGAGAGGGCGGAGGGACCACCGAGCGGGACATAGCCGCCCACAGTCTGCGAGAGGGGAAAAAGGTTACTGCCAAAGTCAAAGGCAGAGGAGACGGAGTAGGATCGTGCATGTCTTGAGCGCGTAGGTTCGTAGATGGGGTCGGAGAAAGGGTCTTGGTTCTCGAGAGAGGCTTTGCGGGAGGAGGAGATGCCAGAGGGGGACGAGGAGCGGGAGTTGGAGCTGCCTGCCTCTCCTTCGTCGTCTTCGCCGTTATGCCGGCCGGACGAGGAGGCGAGGGAGGCGAGGGAGGCTAACTCAAGCGAATCTCTGGACGCGTTGCTGACGGGCCATCTTGATTCTCGGGGGCCCGCAGTCATTCTTTGTGGAGGACGTGGTGTTGCTCGTCGTTGTGTTTCTGGAGGCTTTCTCTCTGGGGCGCCTAGGAAAAAGAGTATACATTCGTCGCCATTCCAGGAGGGGGAGGACAGTTGTTCTAGTTTGGGATGTGGAGTTGTAATGCTACATTGGGTATCAAATCATAAAGCCGTGGACAGAGGAGTATGTATTTGAGGAGGAGGAGACAGAGGAAAAGGAAAAGGAGTCGCTGTCGTCGTTGAAGTTCCCTTGTCGCATCAGCAGGAAAAAGGAGCAGTCGGGCTGGCGGGAACCTGGATATACTTCGCGCTAGTGGATATTTGTAGGGAGATCGCTGTACCCCTAGGTACCATCCAGCCCGCAGCGCTCGGCAAGCTTTCTGCCCAAAAATTGAAACCAAAAATATTAATAAATAATAAATAAGTAAATAAATGAGTAAATAAATAACATCTCTTAACCTTCCCTTCCACCAGTTTCCGGCAAACCAGCTAGCCGTATAAATGTCCCTCCTCCATCCTGCTAAGCGTCTCCGGCTATCTCACCTCCAATCCACTCCCCGTCGTCGCCGTCATGCCTCCGCCGCCTTCTCGACCCAACCCTCACCCCAAAAGCAACGAACATGGCTGCGAGTTACAATAGTCACAGCGGTAGCCGCTGCCATTGGCGCCTACACTCGATATGAAGCGGACTCAGGCACCGCAACCCTAAACCCATACACTTTCACACAATATGAGCTGGTCTCCAAAATCCCCGTCTCCTCCAGCAGCAGCATCTTCACCCTGCGCCCAGTGAAGTTGGGGGACAATGACACGGTATGCAAAGAGGCGTGGCGGAAGGGTCTATGGAGTGTCCAGTTCAAGCAGCCACAGCTACAGATTGGAAGGGATTATACTCCTTTGCCTCCGCTTTCTCTTCCTCGGGCCGGGGAGGAAGGGGAAGGGCCAGGCCGCGGAGGAGGAGGAGGAGGAGGAGGAGGAGGAGGAGGAGGTACAGATTACGATGCCCTACAGTTTTTGATCCGGAAAGATCCCTATGGAGAGGTATCTGGATACCTGCACGGGCTGCCGGTGGGTGCGAAGCTGGATCTCCGTGGCCCCCGGCTGGATTACATCTTGCCTGCTGATGTGCAGGAGATCCTGTTCATTGCTGGTGGGACGGGGATTGCAACGGGTCTTCAGGCTGTACACGCGTTATTCAGAAACAACGACGGATCGGACTTGAAGAAGAAGAAGAAGAAAATGCATATACTGTGGGCTAATCGGCGGAGGGACGATTGCCTTGGAGGCGTCAGTGACAGTTCTTCCCGGCGGCCGACCACTGGTTCATCGTCGTGGTGGAAATGGGTTTTCCGCACGAGTAATGGGGCCCCTGAAAAAAGGCAAATTCAGCGGAACGACATTGAGAAGAGCGTTACGGTCCAGTATCTTGAAGAGCTAAAGGCTCAATATCCAGGCATGCTTACGGTTGATTACTTTGTGGATGAGGAAGGGACTCTCATTGGAAAGGATGCAATATTGGGGTTTACGGAACCTGAAAGAGCAACAAGGAGTCCTGGTGGTGGGACAAAATTGATTCTCATCTCTGGGCCGGACGGATTTATAAGTTACCTTGCCGGCCCTAAGATGTGGAGTGGAGGCAAAGAAATCCAAGGCCCGCTCGAAGGTCTTATACGTCAACTGGATTTAAAGGATTGGTCGGTCCGGAAGCTTTGAGATGGCTGACATCTGAAATGCAATTTGATTTTCTTTCAATGTAATCTTTCCTTCATCTGGTCACATATTGCATAGCCATGGAATTTGATTGAAATTTTCTCCAGAACGCCGGTATGCTTTTTCCCCTTTCTCTTTCTTGATATTCATCCTCCCCAAAGGCGAACACGTCTTGGTAAAGGGGGAATGTGGAATAGCAGGAAATATCATAATCACCTCACTCCCGCCCATTCGCATAGTCCTCTAGGTAAACTACCAACTTCTCCACATTCTCCACCGGCACGGCATTGTAATTACTGATCCGGATACCGCCTACGCTTCGGTGACCCTTTAGACCCTGCAGAAGCCTCCTCTCAGCCCCAGCCAGGAACGCCTTCTCCTTTTCTGCATCCCCATCGTAGACACGAAAGCAAAGATTCATCCTACTCCGCACGCTCTTATGCGGCACGATGTGGTATACCTGCGGATATTTATCCAACACGGCATATAACAGCTTCGCCTTGTGGTTCGAGACTGCTTCCTGCCCACTGATTTTTTCATCTCCGTACATCTGCACAAGCCTGGTAATAACCTCGCCAGCGATCCAGAGGTTGAAGATGGGCAATGTGTTATAGAGCGAGTTGTTTTTGGCGATGGTGGCGTAATCGAACATGATGGGCCCGGGCAAGCCGCCGATTTCTAGTTTGCGCAGCAGACCTGGGGACGGCGTTGCTGTTTGAGGGGGGAGAAGGGATTTGCGGATGATGACCAGCGTGATTCCAGCAACACCAACGTTCTTTTGGGCGCCAGCCTGTGTCATGTAGATCAGTAGAAGATACATAAAAAGATATTTAGAGAAGGAAACAAAACCCATCCCAGACTTACAAAAATAACCGCAAACTTCCGCACATCAATCTTTCGACTTAGAAAATTCGAGCTCATATCCGCAACAACCAACCTCTCATCCTCCTCCGCAACATCTCCCTCCGGTGCTTCCAAACACGCCGGAAACCCCTGAAACTCCACCCCATCCACTGTCTCATTATCGCAATAATACACAAAAGCCGGCGCATCCCCTTTCCCCCCCTCCCGCCTCGTCTTCGTAAGCCTCCACCCTTTCTCGTCCGGAATGGTCCCAAACTTCCCCCCATTCTCCTCACGCGCATCAGCAGCAACATTCACAAACCGCTCCCCACAGAGCCTCCGCGCCTCCTGCATCGCCTTCAACGACCACGAGCCCGTGACCAGGTAGTCCATCTTCAGCTCCTCATGCACGATCCGCTTCAACTCCGCCTCCACCTCCGGTCCCTCACCCTCCTTCCCATCGCGCTGGGCCTTGGCTACAAGTGCCCGCCTCCTCCGTTCAACCCACGCCCCCGACCATATTATACACGACGGCGCTAAACTCGCCGCTCCCGCCGCCCTGCATGAACAGAATCTCATAGTCATCTGCGGGAATATCCAGCAACGTGATCAGGCCCGCCTTGGCGTCGGCAAGGATCTTGTTCGCGACGGGAGAGCGGTGCGAGATCTCCGCTAGGCCCAGGCCGCAGTCGTGGTAGTTTATGAGGGTTGCGGCGGCGGATTCGATGACGGGGGTTGGGAGCGGGGCGGGGCCTGCGCCGAAGTAGGAGATGGAGGCGCGGGCAGGCATGGTAATTTTTTGGTTCTTCTTCTCTTGATGATCGTATTTTTATTACCCCCTCTTATTTAGACAAGAATATATGTATATATATTTTTCAATTGTATGATTTAGGGGGTTGAGGGGGTTGGATGGTACTGTCTCTGAGGCGGTTGTGGCGCATAGCAAAATTTGATTGTGATGATGGAGGGGCAGATCTGCCGTAAGTCGTATATCGATTGACCAATTCACTGGGGACTGACAGTTTGTTCAGCGGGATCTATGTGAACATGGAAGGCTTCTGAGACACTTGAGATATCCAGCTGTAGTCGATTTAAACGTCAATTGCTTGAGGATGAGGCGTTGAGTCATAAGGAACGGTTTATGAGGTAACTAGATGGCTTTGAATAGCTTCTGACAACAGGGCTGGAATTATCAAGACTTCTCTAGTTTTATAAAATGGAAGGGCAATCTACCGATGTAATCTCTTAGAGAAAGCAACTGATGTATACACTGAAGAAGAAAATAATGCAATCTATCATATACCAGATGATATCGCCTGCTGGATAGGGTTCCTATTATATTCAAGATATCAGAAAATTCCCTGATCAACATAAATTACTAGTTAAGAGTCAGAAAATATTATGTATTGCAGCAGTTCAATATAGACAACACTGAGATATTGCTTATTTCTATACCAAGGTTCTCAAAACTCATATTCTTCCCTTCTCTAATTTATATGATACCATAGAATAACCTGCTAACACTCAATGCCTATCCTATCCTCTTTGATAACCATTACTACGCGCCGAACTATTTCCCCCTTCCAAAGTGACCAGCCATATTCCTCACCCGTCTCCTCGTGTTTTGTGTATTGCCTCCGATTCAAATATATACATTGAAAATTGTGATATCCCTTAGAAAATAATAAGAATACCAAACTACCATGGTCCCTTCGCAGAAGTGATGGCTTTCCCTGGAGCTTCATGCTGAGGCAATTATCTCGACCAGCTCCACTCGTCTGCTAGTAAGTAGTACTTCATCGTGCAAATGTTCTCAAATTCTATACACTGTTGTTTGGATCGGATGGAATCTCTAGACCGGTGTGCTTTCGTCCTGAGATCGACATTTCTCTCTCTTCACGGCATGTCACCTGGTTGCTTTGCACGCAGTCACTCTTTGAAACAGATGGGTTTCGGACAACCGACGTCCCTAACGATGAAATCAACGAGCTCCCTCGTCCCCTTCAAGCCAATATAAGTGGCGTTGCTTGCGCCACATTCTTAGCATAAGATTATAGAGGAACTCCAACAGGCAAAATATGTTTTAACGGGAACTTTTTGGTAAACTCATGCCTGGGGTGCAAGCTGTTCACGGTGGCATTTCTTCAGGCGCATTGCTACCTGCCAACGTGAGCCCAATAACCAGAGGGGGGATGGCGCTAATGTCAACCGAAAGAAGAATAAATCTGATGATTCCCTTTGCTAGGTTCCCTTTTGGCGGGTTAGTGTTGGCATAACCGGTGAGGGAGTTAGCAGCCTCGGATGAGGTACATTCCTCCAAAGACGGTAATTCCTAGAATGGAAATGGTATGATGGACAAGGGCGCTGGTTATTTACCGCATTGCAACGCAACACGGGAAGAATTGCTTCTTTTAGTTACTCGGGATTTTCTGATCCCCGTGGTGGTAACTTGTGGAGGTGGATTCCGATACCTTGACTCCTGCCTCTTAGGCTTTCCCTTGGAATGGGATGTCCGATCCGTATGTGGAACCACATTCTGCATGATTCGGGATTGATTATTTTTCTTGGCTTCCAGGTCTTTAATTCGCTGGCTCCTATGCAATGGTGCCGGTTCAACTGAAGATGCCATATTTGCAGAGCTCTGAAACATCGCATCCCGCTGTGCTGTCGTCATCTGTTCTTCGGTGGTTTTCCTCACGCCATTGCGTCTGAGAATTACGGAAGATGTATCGGACAATGGCATGTCCTGAAGCCGGCGTTTGTCATGGACGAGTTTTTATGTCTTCCGGCCGGCTTTGGAAAGTCTCCGCGCATCGACTGGGTTGAGAATGGAGCGTGGAGCACTCAGTACACCGTTATTCGATATACAATTGCTCTTTTTGCTTAAGCGCGCAGAAACCGCCGTGTCTCGACTCATCGCTGTTTCAGACATCTCGGCCGAATTCGAAGCATCCAATACGCCCCCTGATTTGTCGTTGTCGAATTCTTCTTGTGCGATTTTCGGCAGTTGCTGTTCTATCCAATTCAGGAAAACGGTAAACTCGGGTAGTTCCGTTTCTGCCGCATTTCGATATATCCACGCTATGTTGGATGGCTCGTTAGGATCTATATTTCTCCCTGTTCCATTGGCTGCCTCCCATTCCTTCCGCTCTTGCTCCCGTGGCTGGCGACCCTGCTCTGCCTTTATCCTCATATCACCTAGTTTCCGGTGCTCGCAGAAATGGTACCCTTTCCACTCATCCAACATCACCCTTGATGTTTTCCTTCTGTCTGTATTCAGTCACGTCCCGCTGGTCCTGGGCGAATATTTCTTCGATTCTGCGGTTCCAACGCTGAGATTTTCGAAATCTAATCCATGCATTTTTCTGTTGAAGAAACTCGCCTGGAGCCGATCCCAAGCTGTTTATGATATCTGCGTGTTCTTTGTAAGCTCTTGGATGAGCGAATGCGAGCTCGAACGGATAGGCCGGTCTGCCGCCCATTTGTATGAGATCATTGTACCACTTCTCAACCTTGCGGCGGGATTCTTCGCTTACTTGGCGGGGAGATGGAGTATGGGTTGGAGAGCGATATATTGGCGTTTGACTTGCCGAGCGACTCTGGGAGCTTCGAGTGCTGGGTGTTGATGGGATATTTCTATAGCAACTTTAGATAGCATATCCAATGAGGCCGGGGCCGAACGACCCACGAGGAGTAGAAAGACCTGAAAACCGTCTTACTCAAGTTTGTGCTCCAGCGCTGCTAAATCTAACGGGTGGTGTAGATATCGCTTATTGACAATCTCCTTTGAGACGGAGAGATCTCAGCACCCATATCGCACTATGAAAAGATTCTAAAGAACAGGTTTATAGATACCTCAGCCTGAGAATATGCTCTTCGGTCCAATCTTGTTCATCTGGCCTATTGATCCATCTTCCTGGAGTCAGCAGGTTATCTCAAACATTAGACTCGATAGAAGACGATCGCCTACCTCACTCCTTCTAGGTCACTTGGCATTAGTGTTTCCAAATCAAGTATCGATATCGTAATACGTGAAGCCATGATGCCGAGCATGCAGGAAAGTGGAAGTCGGGGCTCAAAAGTTTGCTTCACGAGTTTGCAAAAGTGCGGAAGCGCAGATTTACACGCCGGAGGATGTGCGCGAGAAAAATATATGATCCCTAAGCGTCATTAAAGCTGTTGGGTACGGGATGAACCGTACGCCGTATATCGTCCGCAACAACAAACAAAACTGTTGGAGGTTACACAAGTGATGGCGCCCCTAGGCTTCCTATTGCAGACTAGTGCTCTACAATATGCATCATATTGGAACCCACTCCCAGAACGTATGGCCGTTCAACCTAGTTAATCTTATAGTAGGGATGCGCAAGTCGGAGTCTGTGGGCGGTAATCTGGATCGTAGATCGGACCTAACCCACCGCGAAGAACATAATCCTCCAAGTTCTCTATTATAACGGGTTTAACATTGTTATGGTCCACTCGCTCTCCCAGGCGACCAAAAGAGAGTGACCGTAGAGCAACGCATTCTCGCATGACATCTGCTACCTCTGGCCAACCCCCACCGTGAATAACGATAGAATAGAGATGGAGAACCTCGAGTGTCTTGCAATGGCGACGTATTAATTCAACCATTTCATTTTGGTACATTCTTTTGCGAAAGAGCTTAAGTGAATGAAGGCGATGCCAGGTATGATCGCCCCAAAAGTTATTTAATGTTATGCGATGCATGCTATCAGTAAAATCGATAGCCAACTCTTCCAAGTCGGTGGCTGCGGTGAATACTTTTACCACATTCTCTTCCATCAGCGCCAGCCACTCGTCAGTATGGTTATCCATATCATCACTCATATCACAATCATGGTCGAAACCGTTTAGGAAGAGACCGAAAGACATTTTCCGAAGATGTCTAAAGGCATTAATGAAATGGCTCAACATGCGTAATGTTACACAGAACGAGCCAACAGAAATGCCGGGTACCGCAGCCGTATCCATCATCACTGGATCAGTATAGTCGATCGAGAGCATTTGGACTGGTACTTGGGCGATAGACTGCGCTTGACACATAACCGTAAAACCGTGGTCGATGCGTATGTACCTGCTAATTTTCCCCGGGATTAACTGTTGCCATCCATCAGGTTTCTCAGCAAAACGAGGGTAACAACGAGATAATGGTCCACCGGATCTCGCATCCCCGTATGGACCCTCCCCGTATTGACCCTCCGGCCCATAAACCCTCGTTTCGTAATCGCAATGATTCAAAAGATCCCTTGTAGGAAGCCAGTGGTTTGTGAGCACAACCATTTGGATATTAGGCATCCTTGCAAGAGCCGTGGAGATAATCACGAGATCCTCTTTACTAGACATAGTTTCATTTTGCTCGTCAAGGCGGCTTTTATAGTATTGACGGCCGTTCTTCAAATCATCTTCCGGAATCGATTTGTTGTTTGTTTTTATGCCAGAGGAATGGAAGAACATTCCACAAAACACAATTTCCCGAACGTAGAGACTTAGAACTGGGTGTCGAGAGATTGAAGAGAGCACTTCCAGGTCATGAAGATGGGACGAAGCATATACCCTGCTGAAGAGGAGCGGCGAAGCCAGAGCACTCAGCTCTTTCGAAGTCAATCGAACGACCTTCAGGGTTTCTTTTGAAAGATTTTCAAGTATCGTTATGACTATCTCGACAGATAGGGTCTCCATCTTGATGTGTAAATATTCTTTGATAACCCGGTCGTTCACAAAGGATGGTTTTGCTAGGCACTGGTGAGCATGCTGACAGCTTGTTGAAGCTTATAATGTCAGATGTACAGTTCATATTGAGAGACATTTCACACCCGTTCACACCCACATATGACTGTTAAATGACTTGGAAAGGATTAGCAGCTTTTGCTTCATCAGGCAGCAACGTCAACCTTAGGATAATATAATACTAGGGTGCGTACTCATGTGCAACGACACACCTTTTTCCTCAATCAAAAACTGCGGATCCTCTATGTCGATTCATTGAACTAGCTTTCTAGGCCCAATATTCAAAAATTACCATGGAGTTTACAGATGTCAAAGTAGCTGAGATCATGTTCCAGAAGCAGCTAGCGAAACGAGACTATTCTGTGATATTCTTGGTGACTGTACTCCGTACCATGAAAGTGGTGGGTTAGACTTTGCGCTGGCTTGGCTCTCTCGCAGAAATATTTCCTGACGCTCTCTACAGCACCATGGCCATGGGACTCCAAGATCCGCGAAACAAACCTCTTTATCTGCGAAGCAACAGCGTATCGACGCCTGACACATGCTGGAGTTTGTGCCCGGGGTATACCTTCTCAGTTCCATGGAACAATTGAAAATATTGATCCAACGCAATGCCTACCACATCTTAAGTTCTTTGTCAAAGATGAATATCCGCCCACAGCCATTCTATTAGAATACATTCCCAACATGAAGGAGTTGAGATGGACCAATTACAATGAGAGCAGAATGAAAAACTTTGTTGATGGGTTGAATGCAATCCATAACGCACTGGTTTATCACGATGATGTTCATCCCAGAAATATGATGATTGTGGAAGAGGATCCAGAAAGGGCAATCTGGATAGATTTTGACCGGGCGCAAACATTTAATGGAGAGCTTACAGAGAGGCAGAAAGGATGGATTGCTGATGAGAAGGAGCTTATGGCTGAGATGGCTGATTTTATTGCCTGTCTCCTCTGCTTCCTTCACCGTTATGCTTGCTTTTGACTGACTTTTTTAAATCTCTTGAACTACAGAAATATGGCTTTGTCAATGGGGTATTCGATAAGACAAGTCAGTACTTTCGGTGACCTAGAAACCTAAGAATGGCAAAGGAAGGACTTAATCATGAGGGTTGTTTTGTGTGATGTATATTGCAAATTAATAATGAAATACATTGGACTCACTATAATCACTTCAATCACCAAGTTTGCATGTCTGAAATACCCTTTCACACTCTGTCCTCTGGCAGCTACAACATCAACACATCAATCCTCATCAGGGTTTAAATAAATCAGATGCATGTAATGAATTTGTAATTATCATACGTTTATAAGGTCGGACAGGTCAGCAGCACCTCTGAGTCTGAAAAAAACATATTAACCTGCTTCAAATCTACAGAGGAGGAATTATAAAAAGGGTCAGAAGTAAGCTAAAGTCTGCAACACTTCTTCTAGAAAACCAGGTCTGAAGTTTCTGAAGTGGTCTGAGGCAGCTGTTTTTTCAATTAAATTTCCTTGACATGTCTTTGATCAACCAAATTTATCTCAATATACTGTCACTGACTGATTCAACTTCTGCCACTTCAACTGATGCCATGAAATGTTGTATGAAACTTGCTCAGATAGGTGATGTTTGAAAGACAGATAATACAGCAACAAGCTATTTCCTTAATGTAACTAATTCAACTAACTATAACCAGTTAGTTAGTTATCGATGCCGGATTACGTTAACTGAGTAAGCACAAGGTTTCATTGGCTGTGCGAAAAAAATATATAAAAACGTCAACTCAATATCGCGGCGTCATATCAATGCTACATCCAACTACCAGCAGTGGGGTTTATCATATTACCCACTGCCATCATGATTGTACGTTGCCAATTTGTTTTCCAAGGCCGTAACTTGATTGCCCCCTCCTAACAAGTCTCCATAGATCCGGTCTTTCGCCGCAACCCATAGTCCTCGAATTCTCCCACGAACCCCATTGTCAGTCCAACGATGCTACCGTCCATTCTCCGCTTCAACATGGACTTTCCACCCAGACGTATTCCACTCCCAGCGGGAGGACCCTTCCACTGCCGCCATTCTCTCCTCTCTTGAATCCGCGACCGCCCCAGAACCACAGACCCTCGTCGAGAAAATCGTCCAAAAGTATTCCGTCGGCCTAGCGCCAGGCAAAAAGGTGCGGTCTGGCGACTATGTCACCATCTCGCCTTACAAATGCATGACCCATGACAATTCATGGCCCGTGGCCCTCAAATTCATGTCCATCGGTGCCTCCAAGCTTCAGGATCGCAAGCAGATCGTCATGACTCTCGACCATGATGTACAGAATAAGTCGGAGAAGAATTTGCTCAAGTATCAGCAGATTGAACAGTTTGCAAAGACTCATGGTGTGGATTTTTATCCTGCAGGGCGCGGCATTGGTCATCAGATCATGGTTGAAGAAGGGTATGCTTGGCCTGGCACCCTGGTGGTAGCGTCTGATAGCCACTCCAACATGTACGGAGGCGTGGGATGTCTCGGTACCCCTGTGGTGCGGACAGATGCGGCAAGTATCTGGGCTACGGGGAAGACTTGGTGGCAGATCCCTCCAGTCGCGAAAGTTAACTTTACTGGTGTTTTACCCAAGGGTGTTACGGGTAAAGATGTGATTGTTGCTCTATGTGGCCTGTTCGACAAGGACGATGTCCTTAATCACGCCATTGAATTCACGGGATCGGAGGAAACCATGAGAAGTTTAGCGATCGATGATAGACTCACAATTGCCAATATGACTACTGAGTGGGGTGCTCTTGCTGGCATCTTCCCTGTCGACAACATTTTGAAAGGTTGGCTGAGATCCAAAGCAACAGCCGCAGCTATGTGGGTCTCATCTGTGAACGGCCTTCCAAGCTCGGCAAATACACGCTTCACACATTCTCAACTGGATAAGGTGTTAGAGCGACCGCTGGCTGCGGACAAGGGTGCCAAGTACTCCAAAGAACTCTCTCTAGACCTCTCTACACTGGCTCCCTACGTCTCCGGCCCCAATTCAGTCAAAGTTGCTACTCCATTAGACAAGCTAGAAGCACAAGATATCAAAGTTAACAAAGCGTATCTTGTCTCTTGCACGAACTCCAGAGCGTCTGACCTGGCCGCTGCTGCGAAGGTCTTTAGGCAGGCGGCGGAGAAAAATGACGGAAAAATTCCAAAGCTAGCAGATGGCGTCAAATTTTACATTGCTGCCGCCTCTATCCCTGAACAGAACGCTGCAGAGGAGGCTGGAGACTGGCAAGTCCTTGTTGAAGCAGGGGCTCAACCACTCCCGGCCGGTTGCGGACCTTGCATCGGCCTAGGCACTGGTCTCCTGGAGCCAGGCGAAGTAGGCATCAGCGCCACAAATCGCAACTTCAAGGGCCGCATGGGCAGTACGGAAGCAAAGGCCTACCTTGCTAGTCCCGAAGTCGTCGCCGCCAGCGCGCTGCGCGGCACAATTAGCGGGCCGGGATGGTACGAAAAGCCAGAGGGTTGGGCTGGCGTTAGTCGCGGAGAGGGAGTTGGCATCAAGGAAGAGGATAGGATGCTTACCGCTGAAGAAGCCATTGCTAACGTCATCGGCCAGCTTGATAACATGGTCGAAGATGCGGAGAAGATCTACGGCAACGAAGCCATATCATCAACCTCAACATCTCAACCCTCCCAGCAATCAAAACAACAAGAAGAACCAGGAACTGACTCCAGCGCTCTCACTGAGCTCTTCCCAGGCTTCCCTGAATGCGTCTCTGGCGAAATCATCTTCTGCGACGCCGACAACATAAACACCGACGGCATCTACCCCGGCAAATACACCTACCAAGACAACATCTCCACCGACCAAATGGCCCAAGTCTGCATGTCCAACTACGACGCCGCCTTCTCCCAACTCACCCGCGCCGGCGACATCCTCGTCACAGGCTACAACTTCGGCTGCGGCAGCTCGCGCGAACAGGCCGCCACCGCCATCCTGGCCAAGCGCATCCCGCTCGTCGTTGCGGGGAGCTTTGGCAATATTTTCTCGCGCAATAGTATCAACAATGCGCTGATGGGGTTGGAGGTACCGAGGCTGATTCAGCGGTTGAGGGAGTCGTTTAGCAGTACCGGAGCTGGCAAAAAGGCGCTCACACGAAGAACCGGGTGGACGTTGACGTGGGATGTAAGGAGGAGTCGGATTGAAGTGCAGGAGGGTGAGGGCGGGGAAAAATGGACTCACAAGGTTGGCGAGTTGCCGCCAAATGTGCAGGAGATTATTGCGCGGGGTGGGTTGGAGAAGTGGGTTAAGAATGCGATTGCGGAGTCATAGTATTCATGGTCGTATGTCTGTTATCGCTTACGGATAGATGGTTTGCGGCGTACATCTCTTGCGACATTTTCGTTCCCTTTTGGTTTTCTTTTAATCTTCTAACTTTTTTTTTGGCTTTCCTCTGTGGGCATGTCATCAGCGATACCTCGGGCTCTCTGTCCCGTCTGTCCCCCTTTTCCTTTCTCCTCTTGATTTCCATAGATACTTGTGGTTCGTACCTCATATTTCGGCCCCTTGTCTTTTTATATTCCCTGGGATTTTTTACATCGGATGCTGGAGAGAAAATAAAAGAGATCGTGTATGAGTTAATCTTTTTTCAAATGCCCTTTTACTGGGCGGCCTTATGTGTCCGTCTAGATTCGACTATGTGTGAGTTGCCAAGTCAACCTTGGAATTAATCTGTACGGAGTAGTATTAGTAGCATTAATGAGAAAAGCAATAAAGGCCCAGCACTGAAAATTGGATGATAGCCTGTCCTTCTTTCTGGTACTGAGTGCCTCTCTCATATGGTTTTTGACCTTGTGTGTTGTCAAACATCAGATTAATGAGCCAACAACTGTGCTGTTGTTCATTCTGTAGGAGGTCAAATTGTACCGACTCATCAACTGCCAGTTAAAATAACTAGTTAGTTAGTTATCAAGACTCAATCAAAGCGGCCTATCGTATTTACAGGGAGACACCTTTGGGTAACTAACTATCTTCCGTACCTCCAACGTATGTAGCCCTGCCTTTCTCAGTAAAGAATGACAATCGGCGCTTTTCCCAGTTATGCATAACTAACAGTCGGTTGTAGGAAGCCCTGTCTTTTCTCAACGAGCTCAACTGCATCATACAAGTCTCTCTCGATGGCTGGTTTACTGACCTGAGCCCTAATTTGTTTTGTTTCCCATTTACCCCTGAATCCACGCCGGCAGCGAGGTCGTGAAACCCAAACGCCTCCCTTTTCCCCCTTCTTTTGTTCCTGCTGCTGCTGGTTTCTTGGCTGCACCACCTCAGGGCGAGCAGTTATGCTTTTGAGATGAGATGCCTCCATCACATCAAATTCAGGATGAACATCACCCGATGAATTTCCCACGTGCAGTCTCAACACTCCTTGAGCAAAACCACCAGCGGCAGAAAGGACGTTCCTAGTGTGGAATTCCAATGTTTCAAAAAATTATAAATATCATATGATGTACGTGCTGTACATGTACAAATTCGTCTATATTTCTTGTCTGGCATTGGTGACCCCGTTCATCCAGTCATAAAACTATCGAAACGACAAGGAGATACGGGGGAGTTGATGAGAAGGAAAGGTTAAGCACAGAAAGGGAAAACCCGAAAAAAAAAAAGGCAAAATTTGATCGATATTGAAATAAAAAGCAATTCCCATAAGTTTCTGTATAAACACACCCATAATAGTAACACCTTAGCAAAAACATGACAGGAAAACAAAAGAGATAAAACCCCGTTCTAGCATTAAGCCCATGCCCATTCTCCATCGGATACAACTGAGCGCCCCAACTACCACTTCCTCGGCGCAGGAGGAAGGTAAGTCCCGGCATCAAGTTCAGCAAAGTTGCCTGTCCCATCACCGCTCAACTCCTGTGCTACGTGTTCCGGAATATCCGCTGGTCTATTCGACTCCACAACGCCATTGATATTCCCACCGCCTTGCTTACCCCAGCCCCATGACTGCGGAGGGGAAGATGGGTTAAACCCAGCGGTCGATTGTCGGTTATTCAATGAACTGTCCGCGCTCATGTAGCTCATATGACCCGGTTGCGAACCCACGGCAGTTGTACCCATCTCGCTTGGCGGCGCGCCACCAACCTCGCTTTTCGCGCCTGTTGACCACCCGCCGCCGCTGGCCGATAACGCCCATCGCCGCGTGCGGTCAGCGCTGGTGCCATCTTCGGACCGGACCCATTTGCGGTAAATATCCAGGCGGCCTAGGAGGAAGAAGAGGGCGCCGAGTACGGCGAGGCCGACTACCGCACCGACAACGATGCCGGCAATGGCGCCGCCGCTTAGAGAGTGGTCGTGGGGGGATGGATCTTGGGGTGTGTCTGTGGAATGACCTCCTTCTCGACCTTCGGCTGGTGGGCTCTGGCCCGGTTCCAGTTGGAACGGCGCCCGCTTGGCTTTATTGTATTGCTTTTCCCAGGACATGGTTTCATTCTGTTTTTGCGTGGGAGGGCGGTTGAACGGGTCATGTTTGTTAGCTAGATGTTTGCCATGGAATGAGAGGATTTTTTTATTTCCTTTTTGCTTTTTTTTTTTTTTTTTTTTTTTTTTTTTGCATCGCGGACTATGAGAGTTTTTTACATACCGGATTGATCGCGCCAACCATTCCGTTGGTCATGCATGAACCAATCGCAGTACAGTAGAAGAAAGTCGGCTAAGGAGTTCTGTTAGTGAGGGACGACTTGCTTTACTTTCCTCCCTCAGGAAACTGAGATGAACCTCAGGAAACTGAGATGAAAGAAAGCGAAGCCCGGAAGACCAAAAGAAAAGGGAAAAGAAGGATATACCTCCGCAGTATCAACCGTCCAGGTCCATATTTTAGGCTAAGAAGAGAGAAACAGAGTCAGTAACATCTAGCCATATCGAATGGGGTAATGGAAGAGAAAGGAATGCGAGAAACAGGAAAGAAAACTGACTGTTGCATAACTATCTAATTCGAAATGCCCTGAAAAGAATACATCATGGGTTGCTGGCACACACGGAGCGTCGAAATCGGCCCTCACCACCGAATGGTTCGACGGATAGAACTCGAAGACAATTTCATCTCCTACATCTGCTTCAATGGAGTTTGGCTCGTACCCGTGTGGACTCTGCTTTGGCGCAACTGAAATGGTATGGGTGGCCGGGCCTGTTTTTATTGACGGTGAAGGTGTCGCTATTGGGCCCGTTCCGCCGGTGAAATCTCCTGGCCCTCCGCTCATGATGCTCTTGCCGGTCAACAATTCCTCACTGTTCGCTTCCAGTTGCTTGGGAGTTTCGATTGATGTATATCGAAGAACTCAAGCAACGATATAAAAAATCGAGATTCAGTGATTCAGTGATTCAAAGTTCACAAGAGGATCAACCAAGCACAATGGGAAAGAGGAGAGGTAGCAGTGAGTGAGGAAATAATGGAGAAGGCTGGGGCGAAAGGACAAACGAGGAGGCTCTCAGAGAACCGAGGGGTGGTACGGCTGAAGGTGAATGTTGGTGCTTTGTTGAGCGTTATTGGATGAAGTGTCAGCTCTGCACTGGGACGGGCTTGGTTATATCCCATTATTTGGACCAGGTATCAATGCAGTACTCTCTTGTCCCTGTCTCCTGAGACATGCTCCTTCCCTTTTCTGGCCATATTCAGTTTTCCCGAGTCATATCCTGGCGGATTCAAAAGTAACTATCCGATTGAGTCAAGGGTAAGAGTATCTTCTGTATTTCTCACGGACACGCAAGAAGTCCCCATCGAACCCTTTGGCCCTTTTTTTCACCCCCAGCGTCACAGGGTCTCGCCCGCTAGTGGGGAGAGCGGAGAGAGTGGAGAGTGTGGTGGTGAGAAACGTTTAAATGATCGAAGAAGTGGCCGTCAACCGTTGCTTAGGTGTAATTTTAAAATGAAGAGGCTGCAAAACTGTAATTCCTCCGAATCCTCATCCATCGCCGGCATTTCTTCCCGGACCAAAAATTGATGGATTTATCGACCCGCATTCATCTTCTTCAAACCCATGACACCGTGTCCGTTTGTAAACGGTTACCAACCAACAATTCGTGGCTGTCGCAGCGTCTATTGGACCGGCCGAAAACGACGCCGGCTAATGCTCATGCATGAAAGAACCAAAAATACCTTCCGCTTGCGAGGGTTCGACGCTTACTTTTGACCAGCATGCGTAGGTTCTGATTGGCCCAATATCAACATTTGGACCTGGCCACATTTTCTATGCTCTTTCCTCGCCTTCAGTTGCAGGACGGCAGCGCTGCGGAGTTGCTTGAAATCATAATGATGACAGAGGCTACGACAGAACGACAGATCAAGAGATCGACAGATCTTGAGGAGGCGTTCATGGGTGTCGAACTGGCTGTTCGCCTTGCACCTGATCATGGCACTCTCGACCTCTCGACCACGTCAGCCGTCTTATTCGTAGGGGAGTGCAATTTCAATTATTCAAGGTCCTGGCAAAGGCAAGAAGAAGTAAATGAAAATGTAACGCCAGGAAAATGTGGCTTTTCGGTGTGTATTGCACGGACGTTTTCCCCTCTCCTCTCGGAGGTTCCAATTTCTTTGCTTTTTTTTTTTTTTTTTTTTTTCATTTCCTTCTCTGCATTGTCTTGAAAACTTCAAAAACAAGTTGTTGGGAAATTGGCTGGTGGTATGAGCCAGTCTCTTCGATCTCTTCGATCGCAACTATCAAAGCCTTTAATCCTTTCTTTCAGGTATAATTACCCAGCTTCCGTACTCCGTGCAAGCAGACGAGGGCAAGGAGTAAGATCCTTCACAAGCATAATCTATGCACCCCGTATACTACTATGTCGAGCAGCTGTACCATATTTTCGCACCAAGGAACACTTAAAATAACTCTGCTCCAGCCGGAATGAGGAACTGTAAGCGCTGTCTGGCCCATGATTGGGGGAAATCTCTTCTAGAGCCTTTGAGCAGTTAGATTTTAATCGTTAGTTCTAGAAGTCGGGAAGTTAGCTAGTTATTAATATAAATCCCATGGTCGTTCAGTGACGGTACATCGTGCACACACAGCTTTTGTCAAGAAAAGGAGTTGTTTCAAGATCCTTCATATGTGGACGAAACATTCCTCACCTCTTCAAGGTTCAATCAGGGATTGCACTCCGTTACGTTATACCAGGCTCTGAATAAACGGATAGTTGCTCGGTTAACGAAGTGGATTGATGAATACTAGTACACAGCACAGCTCTTATAGGCACCCCTTGTGGTGGTGTTGAGGATTATGAAAACTCAACGTGCTTTAAAGGCGTGAGTGTCAACTACGAAGTTTAGAGTCTCATTTTCACTCAGTACTCGCTGAAAGGCAAAACACTTCACTGAGTATTTCTTACTCGAGTTAGCAGAATTCACCATCAAAGCTCTCCAGCGAAAGTTGCCACCAGTGAGGTACATAGTCTCCAGCTCAAGTGATTGGAGTTCAAGATACTCACCAGGTTTCAAAGACTGGAAAGCTTCTGCATGTAATCTATCACAGTGATGGATTGAATCCCCCAGCGCATGTTCATGGATGAAATCAAACATGTAGGGTAATGCCCAATTCCCAAAATCATCAATCTCGGAAAGGTAATTTTGGCGGAACACTGGATTCATCAATACTAAGCTAGAACATCGCATTGCCTGGGGAATTTTCTTACCTTATTGGTTGGATCGGACTCAAGCCACACACTCGAATGACTGCACTGAGATCTTTGCTGTCCGTGTCATGGTTAGGAAGCCTGAAAATTTGCAACCAAGTTACGCACTCGGCAGATTCTATTGCCTAAATACCTGCTCTCGCGTCCATATCAAGAACATACTGAGGATTATCCCCCACAGGAGGAAACGTCCTTGGGCAATTCAAAAGTGAATATCAGGTATAACCCCTTTACCATATCCATCCGATCCCACTCCGGCTCGTCATTCGGCTATCTCTTGACTCTTTTTGACCGTTGTCAAAACCTCCCTCTATCAGTCCGCCTTTCACGCCGTAAGCCAGTATATCGAGGATATCAATCCTGTACGATGCATAGCCAATTCCATCAAAGTTTTCGAATCGATTGAAGAAGTCAGAGACCTCAAGTACCACCAGGAGTCTATTGAACTTTAGAAGTCCGTAAAGATACCTACTATAAATAATGCTAGGCAGCATCATAGGGAAGGTTTATGACCACCTTCTGAAGGAAGAGTTCAACAGACAAACAACCCTTGAGACTGTATAAAAAAAATAAGCTCAAATCAACGTGCATCATTTTTTCCCTGAAATCCACTGCAATGAGAACCCTAGTGTAATGATCAACCAGGTACGGCAGGCAAGGGCATTACACAAGAACAGCCGCCGCTATTATTGGAGCCTGTATGTACCTTATGAATAGTTAAACCCCCTGGGGAGTGCCTAGGCCCCCAACCTAAGCATCACAATAACTATCAGTAAGCAGAGTCTTGCAAATTAAGCATTCATCACTAAAAGCTCTAAATATCTGTTAGTCTATCACCAGGCAATCTATCCATCCACGTCATGAAGCTCAGGGTTAAAGTGGTTTCAAATTTTGCTGCGCTTAATCGTTCTAATATTTCATCAGCAATATTTGTCAGTAATAGTATACTTCTAAGGCCGTGTTCGGTGGCACGTACAATCTCGCAAAACCTGCACGCAAAAAGTGGATATTAGCGTGCCGCTGGTGTTGATTTTTCAAACCTTGATTGCCACTCTAAAATCATAGTGGTTTTAACATAATAATCAAATACACACAGTGATGATCTGCTGACTTTCTTATTCCATTTCAATTTCATCTATTTTGTATGAGAGAGCTGTGCAAGATGCTGAACAGTCAGTTTTCAAATAATGATGAGTTTTTTGAATTGAAAGATGTTTCAATTTCATCAAGTCAATGATATAACTCATCTTCATCTGCTTCTGCCATCATTATGCCTGCCACATTGCCTCTGCTGCCAATAATAATTAAAGGAGATTTCACTCAGTTGATAATTTTAATTACTCTTCATCATCAATCTGTTCAATTCACTCAATTCACATTTCAATCTGCATTTCAATTTTTATTTCAATCTGCCTCTCAATCCATCTCTTGTGCATATATTTTATAAAATTCAACAATGAATGAAGTGCTGTTGCAGAGTCTGCTTGATGTGAAAAAGAATGGCTGAGAAACAGACAATGAAAACTTTAAAATTTATGAATGAAATATAATAGTTCTAACTGTTCAATGTGTCACTCATTAAAAAATCAATAAAAATAATCTTGATAATCAATGAAGAAGTTTTAAACATATATGATAATTGTGAATGAAATACAAGAATCAAATCTCTGATTGAATTTAATATATAAAATATGAAATATACATTAATGATTTAAAAATCATAAAAGAATATTTTCAATGTCATTCAGATTTGAGTTTATTTCAACATCACAAACTCATATTTTAAAAGTTGAATGAGTAATTGTTTTATGAGAAACTTGCTTCAGAACAATACATAATTGATTCTCAAATTATAAAATAATAATTGAATATAAATGATGATTTATACTTTTCATCATCATCTGTATGAAATGACTTTGTATTGAATGATTTGTCTCTTACTGCTGTGGATAGTTGTAATGCACTCGTTTATTATTTCTTTATTATTATATTATCTTTGTTTATATCTTCGTCTATTCTTACCTCTTTCCATTATACTCTCGCTACCACTATTTTTATATGTATATATATATAGATGCATGTATTTCGCATATCTTCTTTCTCTTTCTTTTCCTCTTCAGCGATTAGCTACAACTATAACTTCAACTATACTACTACTATAATTATTATTACTATTATCTTCTACTACACTACATACTATCTTCTACTATTCACTCTTCACACTGTCATCACCCCTCACAATAGTTCTGCTCTGAAATGAAAACAGTTGAGAAAGGGAAAAAAGAAGGTAAATACTAAATCAATTTCAGAGTTTAAATCAGTATTGTGAGAAATGAATATGAAAATGATTGTAATGTAACGGCGCCGAGGCGGTTGCTACTCAGCAGCGGCACAGAGAAGGATGATATATAATGAAATGTTTTATAAATGAGTTTAATTATCTCATTTAAACCACAAGCTTATAGAATACTATATAAATACTGAACTATCAGAGATACTCAGCACACTAAGAATATTGTATGAGAATGATGATAACTCTAATATTTTATTGATAAAAGATGAATCACTAACTTCTGAAATAGAGAGTCAGCATTTAGCTATTCTATATAGACAACAGCCATTCTCTCTTCACTCTATAAATAAGAGTAGTTAAAGCAGCTTCACTGCAGTGCTGTATAGATTTATCAGAAGAAATTTGCTGACTCTGTATAGAAATAAAATTCTCATATTCCATCAATCACATCCTCTTATATTACATCTGAATGATGTTATAAAGTGATTGGAAACCAGTTCAGACATCTGCATGATGTCATGAGATAGATGGAATTATCTGAAGGGAAGTGATAGGCCGTGTGGAGCTGCCACAAAGCCTTGACACAATTAAAAATGTGACAATGATTAATAATTTACAAAAGATTTTTGAACAGACTTCTGAGAAAGTTATTAAATTGTTTCTACAGAAAGTAAATAAATTACTTTTAGAGAATTGAAAGAATAGTAATGAAATGGTTTCATATTGACATTATACTGCAATTTCATATCTTTTTGCAAGCAATACTGCAATGATGCAGATTTATTTGAGATTTAGTGATAGTTTAATAGAGTAACAGTGTGCTTTTATAATGAATATTCTAGAGAATGCAGATTAAAAAGCAATAAAAAGCATGTTAAAAAGCATGTTAAAAATGTAGAATAATAATAGTAGAAATAGTAGTAGAAATAATAGTAGAAATAATAATGAAAATCACAGTGAAAAGTAAAGTGACTGATTTGATAAAATTTTATATCTAATTAATCATAATATAAATCTACATATTGCGATATTTTTTTGAATTTTATTAAAAATACTGTAAATACAACAGAAAAACACTGTTTTAAAACATCACCATTTTTTGTATGAAATGATTAGGTAAATTAAATGATTTGATTGACCAATAAATTACATCCCGGTAATATATACCGCAAATATATATAAAATACCATATTGTATTATTAAATAAATTAAAAGAATGTGGAAGAATATAGTAATATTTCTCATCTATTTACATTCAATATTAAAAATCATCAAAGATTCACTTATTCATCTACTGCTGTCATTAATTCTTTATAATTAATATAAATTTTCTACATCTGCTCTGCAACCTCATTTCACTTTTTCATCATATAAAATTCATTTTTCTGCTTATTATTTTATTTATTATTATACACTTCTTCTTTTTTTTTGCTCATTTTTCAGTGAGTCAACAGGCAATTCCTCTTCATCATATTCTTCATATTTATTCAAGAAATTATGAACAGCTGTAAAAGTAAAAATCAGATGAACTTGAGTTTTAATTAAATATTTTTCTTTCATTTTATTATAAATTTGAAATTGTTATTTAAAAATGTCAAAAACACATTCAATTACATTTTTTATATTTATATGATAAAAATTAAAAAGCTTTTGCTTATTGACAGATCTTCTATTGATTTGCATAAATTTTTTGAAATTATATCAAATCTCTGAATATAAAATCAAAATATTTTATAATCTCTTTAAATAATCAGCATCTGCAAGGAAATAGCATTCATTCATTGCACTCAAAAAATCATCATTATTTTGAGCGTGAGTAATAACACAACTATCATGAGAAGATTCTTCCATTTTAGAATAAATATATACAAAGTTCAATTTATGATTGCACATTGTCAGAATATTTTATAAGATTCAATCTTTTTAATTTCATTATGATGACTACTGCTTTGCTAAAATTGCAATTGAAAGATGAGTTTCATTCAAAGTTTCAATACACTTTTTAAAGAATGATCATGTTTGAAATTATTGCTCAGCATATCTCAGTTATATTTTATAAAACAAATAAACAGATGAACAACACAATCATACAATTTATATAATATTTTAAACATTTCATGAAATATTTTATATAAAAATAATGAGTATTTAATATATCTGCTAAAACTATTATGAATGATTTATATTTATTTTAATATTATATCAATGAAATGATGGAACATTTTTTCAATGATTTTATATGCTATTTTTTGAATAATTATATATAAAAAGATCAAGAGCTTCTGCTCAATTTGAAGAATGAGTGAATTTATTGATTCTTTTACATTTATATAATGTTAAAATCAATTAATAAAATTCAAGAAAGTGTCAGACTTTATCTGTGTTATATTTTTCAATTGTTGATGATGAGAATTCAATTCCAGAAAGTCAGTAGTAAGATTCATTTCATGAAAAGAATTTGTATATATGAATTGAATTTCAGAAAAAATGAATTGTATGCTCTAAATAATAGAATGCACAGTAATTTGAGTGATTAATTGATAATGCTGATATAGCAATATTTGTTTTGATTGTTCATTCTCATATTCATCATTGAAGTTCTCCATGGCATCAATTGTCATATCACTGATGGCAGTTTTCTTCAACTTAAAAAATCAACAAAAAAAGACATGATGATGAAGGAATTTAGCCCACCCCACTACTACACTTTTACATGAGATAAAATCATGTCAATGAAACAATCTGGCTGCATGCAGCTTACACAGCCTTACACAGCTCTAACCTTGTCTATTTCAGTTACAACCACTCTATAATCAGTCTAATTACACCATTGAACCTTAATACCATGTAAGCAGAGCAAAAAAAGGGATATAAGAATGGCAGACTGAACACAAAGCCTTTTTCATGCAGGTATTTTCAATACACCGTGCAAGGCTGTGTAAGTGGGTCTTTTATAAGAGGTTATAAGAGCTTACACGGACAGCCGAACACGCCCTTAGTTTTCAGCACTTCAGCGTGGTGTGAACTTGATTGACAGCACACATTCTTCTTGAGACAATTCTTTGCTGCAACCAACCCCAAGTGATTAGCATTAAAAGGGTTTTTTTTCCGAGCTATGACTTACCTCTTAATTCTACCATTGAAACTGACATGGCGGAATCGAATATGTTTTATAATAATGGAGGGGCGCAATTGCATTTTAAGGGACATGTAGCGCCAAAGATGGTTGTGGGAAAAGGATCCTCAAAGGACCAAGGGCGCTTGAAGCTTAAGTCTGAATGGTACACTAGTTTAACTACATATTGGCTTTGAATTGGTTTCAGAGCTAAGGGCACCGACTCACCGGAGAGTTGGTTTTAGTGCGACATTAGCCTCTTCCATTCAGAACTGCATGATCCAAGATAGATAGATCCTCATGGTTTTGTTGCATTTTGTTCATATTTCATATAGTTCTTTTTGTATTTTTCTTTCAGATTGAACACCATTGTGCAAATATTTTAACTCATAGATCATTGCTGCGCCATACCTTCAGTTTGAAGCCATTTTTGAAAGCTGAATGGGCCGCCAATTGGCCTACTCTGTGGCATGTTGTGGGGAAGCTAAGTTAATTAGCATGCTCATTAGTTATTTGTTTTTGAAGCTCTGTTAAATTTCTTCAACGGGATCAATTCAGCACCCTACAATCGTGTATCCCTCCCTTATCTCTACTTCATGTCTCTCCGCCGTATCTGCCGGCTAGGTTATTTGACAGCGAACAAAAATGGTGAATCTAGGACCATGTATCATCCGAAACAACTACGGCCGGACCGAATATGAATGTGCCTACTGTTACAAAACCACAACTTCGCTCACTGCCCTGGGCCAGCACTGTCGTGACTCCGCTGCCCATTCCTGGTGCTGCCGTTGCGAAAGGGTGTTCCCACATGCCAGGGCGCTGAATGACCATCTGAAGTATTCATCTTCGCATAACGTCTGCGAGAGAGATTATTGTGACGAGGATTTTGCAACATACGATGAATGGGCAAGGCATAATGTGGATCACCATAACTGGTGCCGACCTTGCAACTGGTTTGCGCGCGATCAGTATGCGCTCACACTGCATGATATCAACCAGCATTTCATGTGTGGCAAGTGTGGCAGCTTTTTCCAGAACGACAACAATCGGCGGATGGTATGTCCCTGGCACCCCGACATACACTCACTTGCACTTGCAGATGTGTTTGCCATACTCGTTGCTTATGCTATATTCTATGTACTCTCTACTAACCTTCGTAGCATATGATCACACACCAGGAGCGAGACCGAGAATGTTACGGATGCAGCAGAATGTTTTCATCCTTTTCTTCCATGCTAATCCATCTCGAATCCGGAACGTGTTTCACAGACAGAGGGCAGTTGAATTACGTAGCGACCGAATATATGGACAGCGACGAATATTTCAGAGGGTTTGGCGCAAGGAACCCATTCTTTTGCCCAGCCTGCCAAATTGGGTTTAATCGCCTCTCCTCGCTCTACCAGCATGTCGAGATGCGCCCGGACTGTGTTCACTTACTTTGTTATGGCGAGTGTCTTGATGGACTGGAATTCCACCTCCAAGATGAGTTGTAATCTTACACCTTCGTTTCTTGTTTCATGTAGTAGTTGGTTGATATTTTTGGCTTTACCTGTCCCGTTGTAAATATCACGTGATACAAGACTTGTCTAGAATTTGGTCCATATAAAAGCTCCTTTACCCCTTTGTATTCTTTTTCTTAGATTGTTCAAGACCTGCCTTCAAACAACTTATTTTTGTTTTCTCATTAATTTTCACTATTAGAATTGCTTTCTATTTCCTTGTTCTTCTTTAACTTTAGTTGTACAGTACATGTACATTGGGTATGTGTAGTGAGGGTCCAAAGCAGGATGGAGCAGGAGAACAGACTGACCTCAGATTTCCTTTTACAGTACATGTATACTATCATCAGTTAGCAAATTGTCAAAGCTTTGATAACAACCAGTGTGGATAAAAAAGGTATGAAATGGGTTTGGACTCTCTCTCCTCCCGCCCATTATAGTATCATATGTATGCTCCTTTTTTTTTTCTTTCCTTGCATAATTTTTCTCTTCTTTCTTTCCTTAAAACCCAGCATGGAGAAAAATGGCTTTAAGCTTCTCCTCTCTTTGTCTGCGAAGACTGGACACACTGGGCGCCTATAAAGATATACTAGTGTGCACTGTGCACTGCATGAATTCCTTTCTATGAAAGGCTACTACTACTATTTTCCATGCTGCTTCCTCGCGCTGCCAGCGGTTTGGCTGCGCTGGCAAAGGTGTTGGCTCGTGCATTGGCTTATATATTCTATGTGATACACAAGCTTCGACTTCACCAACAGCCTTTCCCACAACCTCACTATTCTATCCTCCTCTACCAGAAGGAAAGAACTGAGTATTACTCTTGTGGTAGGGATTTTTTCATCTATGCATCAACTCAAGACATCCAATTCTTTGAGTTCTGCTAGCCGCTTGGGGACACACAGTGTGCTCCCCAGCACGCAAGTTCTTCAACTGGCTACTCCTGATTGGCAATTTGGCAGCTGAATGTCGTCCTGCACAGAGTCCAGCCAGGACTGGCCAGGATGTTCACCATTGTGTCTGGCCAAGCTGGCTATTGGCTTGATTTGAGTGTGAAGGCTGGTCAGGACAGTGGAATCTCCCAGGAGCTCTTAAGCGCATGACAGAGTATGCTGCTCTGTTCCATTGTTCCCCAGACGAGTCTGTTTTGAAAAGTTTGTTCAAATAATGGGTCTTGAAGAAGCTAAGGGGGAAAAAGATATAGTGTTGTTAATGAGCTGATTTCCTTGTTTGAATGGGATTTCGTGGCCATTGTCAGCATCGTTTTACAGTTGGCTAATCTACCTTCCTCTAGGTTCCTGAAGATTCCTCCACCTCTTCGATTATACTCTATTCTTCGCAAGCTTGCCTACTCCTCCCTCCTCTTTCACAATCTTGTGGCGATCAGGCATGTTCCCAGAAGGAAATGATGTTTATTTAAAACCAGATTCTTCCGTTTCGCTTACAGTCCCCCCGAGGAACCCGAAAGCACTCAGCCAAAAATTTCCCCCTATATCCATTTCACGTCTTTCGCTTTTTTCCTTCGGTCTTCTGAGCTGGCTAATCTTCCTCTGGTCCTCCTTGCTGATGGCATCTGATCAGAACTCTGGCCAAAGCCTTGCCGTTGCGTTGGGGCGTATAAACACCCCAGAAGCAACACAGGTTACGTCCAAACTGGAGATATTGCCAATTGAACTTCAGCGCGCGATCTTGGAATATGTGAGTATTTCGTTGGGCTCTGCGTGTAATTTTTCATGTTAGAATATTCTACTAATCGATATTAATAGGTTTCAAGACGAGATGTTCTCAATTTGGCCCAGGTCAGAGCCATGTCTTATGCTGCTCGCCGAAACATATATACTTCGGTTTCCCTCCGCCTCGCCCAACACGAAGGCTTTATCCAGGACGTAAATCGGTTTATGTCCGCGGGTTCACGTAATATGTCTCTGGTACAAAACCTTTCGATCCTAAATTCGAAACGCAGAAGGATTCTAGGTGTATGTAGTATAGGAGCTCCTTACCGTTTTGGCCGCTCTGGAGAATGGAAGCAGAAACGCTTATTTACCGAACATTCCATTCTCTTCAACCGGATGATGCGAATTTTGTTTTCCAATACTTCCCATCTCCGAACTGTCCGGTAAGCTATAGGCGAAAATCTGCTTGTTTTTGAGGGGGCTTATCTAATTTCCCTCTCTCAGCTGGTTTCATTTATTTAAAATGGACCACTATACATTCGCTTCCCTTTTTAACACCCATGCCGATACATTGATGGGGATCGAAACATATACGCTTACGGGTGACGAAATCCCAATACTCCCCGGACACCCTAGCTTGGACCAATTCCCCAGGTTGAGGATAGGGTTCTCTGCGTTTCAGGCCTCTGCCTGTAATAAAATCCTTAGCCCATCGGTTATATCGTTGATTTCCCGTTTAACCCGGCGTCTCTCTCATTTCGTGCTTGGCGATGAACGTCTAGTCCTCATCGTGGACAGCAACGCCACTACTAGGTCGAATCCACCATATATTCAGATGCCTTTACATGAAGTTTTGCAGCCACTAGCCGAAGCGCAAGTCACCTTCGGCAATTTATCACAATTAGATGTCATTGGCATAGACATGACTCCGCTGCAAAACCAATTGGTCCCCTTGCGCCCCACATTCGACTTGTATAATCTCAGAAGACTCAGCCTTGTGTCCTGTGTCGGCACAGAGGGTCTTTTGAACGTGCTATCAATGCCCGCGCCTCATATGATGTTTCCATATGTGTTTAGTCGGATGCGACTGAAAGAGTTCTGTATCCGTTACGAAGGTCCAACGCTAGGATTGAAGATCGCCTTAGTACGGTTTCTAACTTCGTTTACTGGCCTAGAGCTGCTATCCGTGCTTCTTGACGATGAACCCGAAAATACGATGATCGACCACACAGGATTCATGTATGCACATGGCCCGACTTTAAAAGTTCTCGTCTGGGAAGTTCGGAAACAAAATCGACATGAGCGTCCCTTTGGGCTGGAGGACGATATTCGGGGGAAACCTGCTTTTCTTGAGCTGTTGAGTCAGACCTGCCCGAATCTCCAGGAACTTAGCGTCGTCCTTAACATGCGACTACTTTACGTGAGGGGTCGAGGCTTCGATAGGATCCACTCGCGTAGACCCTATGCGATGCTACGGCTCCCGCACCTGAAAACGCTTCACTGTCGTGATTTTCTTATGCCGAAAGGACGCTTATTGACAACAGCTTTTGTCGTCGACGCAACCAAAAGCATCGCAACCATGTTTCTCGATTGGGCATTTCACTTCCACGGGTTCTCTTCTCCACTGGAACTATTGGCTGTCGGTCCGTTAACCTTTCATGACCGTTGGATTCAGAATCATTATTCTCAGGATTACAGCGCAAACCCTGCCGATGGCCTGATGTTTTATGATGTCAGGACATGTCCGAATAACTTAATGGGTATTGCACATCAGTTGAACCCCCTCTTGACAGCGAGAGGGCCCTATGCAAGCATTGAATTGGACGATGTCGAAATGGTTCGGCAGCACTATAAGCACACCCGTGTTTTTGATTCTTACTGGCTGAAATAACCGGATGCGCCCTTTAGCCATCATGGATACCCATTGATACCCATAGGCTTACAATAACGGGATTGCTACTTCCTCCCGGTGCAGTGTTTTGCTGTAGGCGTGAGATTTGTATTCAAACTGCATTGGCCTCTACCGCCAAACTGAGGTACGGAAAAGCTCCAGGTTCAAGCGCAAGACTTATTGCTTCTTACTCCAGAGACCTCCTACGCTTTGATATTACCCTTCTTCTAGCTGTGGAACATTATCGTGTATTTTAGCGCATCCTCCGATCTCGGCCGTCATAGCTTCACTGGCTTTGCCTCGCAACTCTCTCCCATCCTCGTGCGAATTAATGTTCTGTGAGAATTGACTTTTGGGGAGCTACACCGCTCTAAAGAGCGAGGATTTGATTTCTGTTTCTTTTTTCGAGATTCAACCACACCGTCTTACATCGCTATCGTCACGAACCTCCCGGTTTCCTGGGAGCCATACACCATTAGATGACGTGATGTATTCGTAGGCTGCATCTGTTCCCGAAAGTGCAGCCTCTCCCGCTCCTGTAAGATTGGTGGCTGGCAACGGCCGCTGAGCCTGATTTGGGAAACGATTCACTTTCCCGCGACCCTGCAGCGCCATCTAGTCTTTTTGTCAGCTCCTTTTTGTTCAGGAAAGTCCGGTTTAACCAAATCGCAAATGGCTGCATCCTGACCTCCTGTATATTTATTTCCCTCTTTTCCCTTACTTTCCCCTCTTTCGTTAATAATGTACCTCCTGCGTCCCTTGCAGAGCTGGTTGGTTCTTGGGCTAGTACGGCTTTTTGCCATGATTAAAACGAAAGCCGCTGCACTCTGTTGTAACTTAATGTTGCAGTACTATGGAAATTTAATATTGATTTGGTTGATAACATAATTGAAGCTTTTCGGGAGGAGTACTATTGTACTTGTGTCGTGTTCGTAATTTCATTTCAAAGCATTTCCTGAACATTTCCTCGAAATTTCAACATAGATATATACGCAGCGTATGTTTATTGTCTTCGGTTGTAGTCTCTATGATCAAGCCTAACTGATCACTGGGCCTGGCTGAATCAGCAAACATGTGACCAGTTTCATCAACTTGGAACCACCTGGGCAACCTCGAATCAAATTGGCAACCCTCGACATCACAGGAAGCACAGCTGTGGTCCATCCATCTACGCATGCGTAGATATTTCTTGCAGCCTCTTCGTCGGGCATCCATCGCAGACCCACCATGGACCAGATCTCGTTGTCTGAGTTCCATTAACGGAAACCAGTCATGCAAGCCCTCCCTACCGAGAGTCCGGGGTCAGCCCGGAGACAAGCGCTGGCAGACCACAGGCTCTGTTGTTAGTGAGCCATCGTCGACCATTTATGCGTTGTCGACAGCCCCAGGTCGAGCGGCCATTGCGATTGTTCGAGTATCTGGGCCAGCTTGTGTTCAGGTCTGTTGCAGGAAAGGTCCCAATCAATCACTTGGTTGTATTTGCTCAATCTGTCTTGTTTCCATGGTAGATCTATGACGCTCTCTGCCCCAAAAGGCCGCTCCCAAACCCTCGAGTTGCAGCTCTTCGCACCCTTTTCGACCCTTCCGTTCCTCCCTCGGTCAACAGCATCCTCGACAGAGCGGTTGTGTTGCACTTCCCAGCCCCAAATACCGTGACGGGAGAGGACGTGCTTGAATTGCACATCCATGGCGGACCCGCCGTGGTAAAAGCAGTCCTCAATGCAATACCCCGATGCGCGGGGGCTTTCTCCAACGAAAAGATCGCCATGCCCTCCATCCGGTACGCGGAACCCGGTGAATTCACCCGTCGCGCATTCCTCAACGACCGTCTATCTTTACCCCAGATCGAAGCACTGGGGAATACGCTTTCTGCGGAAACCGAGCATCAGCGCCGTTTAGCGGTTCGAGGAACGAGCGGTTCTCTCGCATTTAGGTACGAGCGTTGGCGACAACAGCTGCTTTATGCCCGCGGAGAGATGGAGGCGCTGATCGATTTCTCGGAGGATCAGCATTTCGACGAGTCAATCGAGGAGTTCGTGTCTTCCATTACCGGCGAAGTTCGTAATTTGGTTCGACAAATTAACCTGCACATTGAGAACGCTTCCAAGGGCGAACTGTTACGGAGTGGCATTCGAGTCGCGCTTCTCGGGGCCCCTAACGCTGGTAAGAGCTCGCTGCTGAACAGAATTGTCGGGAGAGAAGCTGCTATTGTAAGCAGTGAGGAGGGGACTACAAGGGACATTGTGGATGTTGGTGTTGATATCGGTGGCTATTTCTGCAAGTTTGGGGATATGGCTGGGTTGCGATCTGGCCACATAGCCCGGTCTGGCTCGATGCCCATTGGTGCAGTGGAACAGGAAGGGATTCGAAGAGCCAAGGCACGCGCACTGGAATCGGACGTTGTGATTGTGGTTCTTTCATTGGAGGAATCTGATAACGGGACTGGCGTCAAGTTGGTCCTCGAACCGGAGGTTGTTGACGCCGTTCGCAGTTGTATAGCCCTCGAGAAGCACATGATTGTGGCAGTTAACAAGTTTGACAAATACTCTCCAACCACCTATACGGCTAGAACACAGCAAAAGTTTGTGGATAGCTTGACTGAAGAAATCTCATCCGTGGAACCCCGCCTTACCCAAGATCAGATTTTCCTAATTTCGTGCAGAGAGGCCGAGAACGAGGTATCCCAAGAGGCTGATCCCGGCAACATACAAAAATTTCTTGGGGAACTAATTCGGACTTTTAAAAGGATGTCGACGCCGTCTGAATTGGATAATGGAAATGAGCAATTTGATAAATTATACTGGGAAGACTCTCTGGGAGTCACCCATCGACAAAGTTCTAATTTACAAAAATGTGTCCAGCACTTAAACGACTTTCTATCCCAAACGTGCCAAACTCCTGATAATGCTGCAAACGCTGAACAAATTGAGGTGAATTTCGATATTGTAACAGCGGCGGAACATCTTAGGTTCGCGGCCGATTGTCTGGCGAAAATCACGGGTCGTGGGGAGAGCGGGGACGTGGAGGATGTTCTAGGAGTTGTATTCGAAAAGTATTCCCTCCCACCAATTGGCCCACACTTCCATTCGTGACAACAGCCGAGATACTGACGATGAAACCGCCCACAGATTCTGTGTCGGCAAATGAGTGTAGCAGGTTTCAGTTCCGTCAAAAAAAAAAAAAAAAAAAATCTAGGAACGGCAAAATAACCCGTAATCAAAAACTCCGTCGTCGCGTCGTAAAGCGAGCTTTAGAACGTCTATCCCGCCAATCTATCTATCTTGCCTTTCCTCCTCTTGACTTCCTGTCGCAAATTCAAGACTTGCCCCTCCGTCCACACTCCTCTCATTCACGCTTCGGCTATGAATCGTCGTTATCGCCATCGTTCACGTCATTGTAACCGCCCCGTCCTTGCAAATATAACTGTGTCATGGTGTTTGAGGATATAGATCGCTCGATAGGACAGTTGTAACCACCACGTCCCATCGGTGTTTGCATTCGGATAGAGCGCAGGCTGCGCGAAAGGTTGCGTCTGTGTTGCACGCGGGTATTGCTTTGATGGCTCTAATTTGCGCCCGATTGATTTGGAATTAGATTGAGACGATTTTGCCTCGTTCGTGGAATTCCCGGGCTGCTTTACGTTGTAGATTCTGCTTCAGTTGTAACCTCCACGGCCCATGTGGTGTATTCTCGTCGGTTGTCGATATGATTCAGTCTTTTGGTTTGGAGTCTTTAGTCCAGATACAGATGATAAATATATCAATAAAGGAAGTTTCGAGATAAAATCAAACAAAAAGTATTTTATAAAGTTGGACGCAAGGCTTAAAGAAAGATCTGAATTATTATATATCTGGGTAAATGAAAGAATTCGAAATAGAAATTAAAAATATGTTTATCTGCTCTGATGTGAAGAAAGAAAAAATGAGGATATCAGGCAGAAAGGAAGAAGTCATCGCAAGGTATATATAGCGCCGTTTTCATTTCCTCAAACAAAAGTCCTGCCTAGCCACACATAAACGCCAAATGAGAGATACAAATCGATACACCAGATACCTGGATCTTAAGGTATCCTTTGGTTAGTTATCTTGTTCGTTGTGACTAATACTTAATAATCCCGGTCAGTAATCATCCGGGAAAAATATAAAAATAAATGCGTGATACAACGAAAACAGCCACAAAACGATCCAGAAACAGCCCGACCGAAAGAAAACAAAGATTGCAAAATGAAAACCGATTGGAAATCGGAACTGAACTCAGCTAAAAGGTTATCCCAGAACAAACGAACGAGCCGCAGGATCTCCCACGCCCATGCCACGCTAAATCATGCAACACAGTTCCTTCAGCAGGAACGGTGCATCCAACTGCGACAAGACGGGCCAGGATCGAATGACCAAGCAATAATCTGGCAGATATACAAGCCACGATTCAGACCCTCTTTTGGGGCTTACAGGTTCCGCAGGCGACTCGGTATTCCCGCCCTGCTGAAAGCACTGATCCTTTTCTTGTTCCATTTGACCCGTGGCTGGAAGACGCTAGCAGGGGACTGTGAGGATCCTGACAGGGGAATTTCAGGGCGATAACAGAGCTAATCCTTAAAAGGTCGACTCGACGTTGGCCATTTCAAACGGTTGGCAGCCGGGCAGCCCCCCAAGAACGATCGGTATTAGAATTCGGAGTCCGCTCTGCTTGCTCCAGGCACCAAAGTCTAAAATAAGAACTCGCTGTCCTTGCATGCTAGACGGGGAGTTTCAGTCAAAAACCCGAAGTATTTTCCCATTTTTATTGTCTATGGCATGCCAAATTGAGTTTTACTGGAAATATGTAACTGCAAACTCTCCTGACCGAGAGAGGTAAAAAAAAAAAAAAAAAAAGAATTACAATTCGGTTTCAAGAGACAAAGACCCCATGCTGCTTTGATATCACGTGCACCAACTGTAGCCTAGATTCTCAGCCCCAAGTCACGGGGCTGAGTCTAAAACTAAAAATAGAAAGCTAGATGAATTAAGTTGTACGCTAGGTTTAATTTGGGTTTGCCCTACTTCATCTTTTCGTCATCGCAACTGCGCTTATCACATTGAAGTTCTAACATTGTATGGGCATAAATGGCGTATTTGTTACGGATGGAGCGAAAACTCACGGTCATATTTACACCACGCCCGGGCAAGTCATCGTTCGTTGCAGCAGGGTTAGCGTCTCACTCCGTTGTTGTTTAACGAACTCATTGAACGAACTCGTTACACGATGGGGACTGACATGACTCAACGAGGCGAGAATGCATGTCGATCAACGAGATTAAATGTCAAAATTATGAGGAAATAAATGCCGAACCGTATTACTAGTCAAGATACCCAAAGAGGAAGAAGAAATGGATCACTTCCGATGAAGCCCGTAGACGCACAAAGTCAGAGTCAGAACTCCATGGAATAACTACAAAATTGATTTTTAGGTAATAATACAAAAAAAAAAAAAAAAAAAAAAAAAACCAAACGCGCTCGGTGTGAAAAATTCAATCGTTTTCTGCAAGAAACTGCCTTGCCGAGCGCCGAATCTCGAACAGGGCGGCCACTAACCAGTAGCCCACAGGGCTGGACGCCAGTCATGACAGATTTTTGGACTAAGACACGGGAGTGGTTGAACTAACGGAGTTTGGATGTTGGCCAAACGGCGAGAACATCCAATTATGGCTTGCTGATTGGTTTCCGGCATTACGGACTGAGGACGGATGGAGCCTTGGATGTGGCTTGGTTCTTTCATCCTCTCGTGTTGGTTGAGCTGCCCTTTGACTGATGAGATTAGTGTGGGGTTTGAGACTGAGCAGTTTGCCGAAGGGACCAACCATTGCTCTTGGGTCGACTATGCGGACGAGACGTTTGCTGCTATTATTTTTGTTTGGCGGACACGGAAAGAATATGCGGAGTCTGCCAAGTTCGTTTGAAAATGCGCCATAAGATTTTCTATATGAAACCACGTTTTATAGGAAGGAAAATAAATGCTCTTATACAGCTTCGACCACGTACGGCGTTGTTGGGAAGCTGCTTAATTCAATCGCATCATGAAACAAAGACAATCAAATGAAAACGACATGTACGCTTCAGAAACAGGCAAAATTTTCCCAGATAATTTCTCAACTTTTCATTTGTTTTTATTTTCTATAACTATTTGCTGGGCAGTGACAATGAACGTATCACTAACCGTCTGAGGACCTGAAACCTCCCCACTCCCGTAATACGCCAAAACGGGTCATGTCAACAATGAACGGTTCGTCTGGCCATGCTCAGTGCATATGGTGTCTTTCTGCTTTGTCCATAAAGACATATTTTGAAACAACGGCGGAAATTTGAACTAATCAATAGGTAACGACTATTTTAATGGCCTCAGGGAGGGGATGGAATAATTTTGATCCTGCTTGAGCTCTTCCACTAAGTAGCTATCCGCCATGCGCTTTGGAGCAGCTTTGAGGTCATATGAAACATCTACAAACAACACGAAAAGGCTAACTTGAGACGGGGCCATGCCGATTTGCCCTTCGGGTGATGTACACTTTTACTGAATCAATATCCATATACCATAGGCTTTCAGTGAATGAACATATATAATGCTAATTACTAACTACCAAAGTATTTATAGATTGGGCTCTATCATGCAACCTTGTTATTGTTCTCCAGCATTTTTTGCGTGCGGATACACGATTCTGTACGACACTTTAGAAGCAAAGCAGAGAAGAAAAAGAAAAGCAGGCGTCATTGAGCGGTACAAACGCCTCTCACAGCATGTACGGCACGCTCTGGGGATCTTTGCTCTGCCACGTGGAACATGTGTATGGGCGTATATCTAGATGCGTTGGATGCTTTGTGGCACATCGCTGAGACTGTCTCAGAGATCAGTTCATCGGTACACTTTGGTTGAGAGAGGAGGATTTTCCAAGCAATGATTGATGAACTAGAGCTGGCTTGTTAGCCAAACCCCCCCCGATTTTTGTTTCTCTTGCCCCTTTTTGTTTTTCTCTTTCATTTACTGCCTTTCTTACTTCCTCCCCCTCCCCCTCCTTTTTTTCTTTTCCTATTTTGTGGAGAAATTGAGATTACATGGCAAGACCGCCTGCGGGGCATGCCAATATAGAGTCATTCATTGTACAGCTAGCTCTTTTGAGAGAATCCTTGAAAGGATTGGGAAGATTCCCATCGGGTGGGTGAGTTGGGCAGCATCTTAGCGTGATCTGGTTAACTGCCGAATACGATGTTTGGATGATTCTCTGCATCATACGAGGATCGAAAGTTAACTATTTACCTGGGGTGTGGCTGAAAAATCCCTTGTGTGGCAAAAAACCATTTTCCTCAAGGGCCCAACGAAAGTTGTTGGAGAAGTCTCTTACCCCTTCCTGAGAAATAGCAGTCTTCGGTGACTGACGGATTTCACGATCCCTGAATCGAAACCATCAATGCTGGATGTAAACTGGGATGTTCTGGAGATACCTTGTTATTGAGTCATACCCTCGAAGCGGGAGTCCTCTCATCCAGGAGTCAACGGCGCATCGTGGCACGGATAGACAGTTGAGGCTGGGCACGAAGTCGTAACGACTCAGGCATCCATCATTAATCGTTCACCTTTCACCAATTGCGAAGCTCGCAAGGTTCCCCCAGGCAGCACAACCCATCAGCCACTTATTGAATCATTCACGACCGAATCCATCTGTATGGCAGGCCTAGGGTCGGGCCGCTGAGGGAACCCGCGGAGCACCGAAAGTCAATCAGGCTTCCGTGATGGTAGCTGCAGCTCGCCATGGCCTCGAATGGAAATGGGAGATCCCTTTTTGACCATTCCTGAACAGTTTCGTTATGAATATGGAGGAGGCAATCCCAGCAGTTGTATCACATGGAGCATGGAAACACATTTTACGTATGTTTGTCGGATGATGACTTACGTTCCCGCAGCTCGTGCATCAAGCCCGTTGATATAATCTCCAAATCAGTTGAAACGGACATAAAAGGAGGTCCATGTATCCCAAGCTGAAATGTTGGAAAGCGAACGTCGATGAACTATGTGGACGATTACCCTAGCCTCAATTTTATTTTTATTTTTATGTGTTATGTTGGTATTGGGAGTGCAGCAGCTGAGAGATAATGAGTACGAGATATAAATCATCCAACTTGTCCTCTTCCACACAAGGGCATAGTTCCTTTGTTGCGAAAACGGTGTACAGAGCAAATCTCGTTAATTCTGGACCCCGGGAAACACATTCTGCAGACACAGGAGTTGCATCAGTTTAACCAGCCCGCCGATGTTAGTATGACTGGTTATTCCTGGCTAGAAATATTGCCGGACTGGTGTCATTTCCAATCATTATACGGAGCAGCATTCTACGTAATCCGCATCTTCCACGGCTCACCTCTTACGTACGCGCGTATCGGCTAAAGAGAAGCACCGGAGGACTCGGCTTGATGGCAGTTCCCATATCCAGGATTGTCCCTTGCAGTGTTTAAAAGAACTGCCCCCAACCACGGCAACCTGAGCTGGGTCACTGTGTTACCAGTTGGCACCTATGAGTAATATGGCCCCTGTAGTGTAAATCATGGGTATCCATAGATAGTTATCCATAGGGCTGAGCAGTCCGAGGCACATCCGATCTGATAGGGAAAAACCTGAACGAGCCACGTTCGCGATTCAAGCTGGGTATCACCAGGTTGACAATGTGATACATCGAGGAAGTACCTCACAGGTACCAGTGGCTGGGCGGTGGGACAGGGGAGGCTGGGTTGGGCTTGACTGTAAGCATAATCCCCTTGTTCATTTTTTTTTTTTTTTTTTTAGTTTTCTTTCCAGGAGTTGCAGTGGTAGTTATTTCTTAATATTGGCGAGTGAACAACCTCTCGACACGGCGCGGAAACTGAACATCCCAACCTGGTTTCTAGTGATGTCATTGATGTCAGCTGGTTCGAATATCAGCTCCATGGACGAGTTAGAGTGGTTCTTGTGGGACTAGTTACTGGTATGTTTAGCCTTGCGCTCTACCAGTCAGTTCCAGCAGAAGGAATATTTCAAACTGGTCCTCGAGCACAGGTGACCGTGGTGCGGCGGACTGAATAAATAAATGGATTCGAAACTAGGATTTACCCAGTTCTTCGAGACTTCTTTCAGTATACCGTGTGATCATTACTATTGACAGTTTCCTTTACATTACATTTGCAAGTTTTGATTTGGCGTTTTCCGGGAGATTGACTAGATCGGGGAAAAAAAAATTTTTTTATTGACCCCTAGAGCAGAAACGGTACTGGCTGAACTGCCAACTAATCCTCCGCACTCGGCACAAATAAACGCAGAAGGCATGGTCACATATCAAACGAATCCAGGGGATTATAGGAGAAGTTCCAGGAGTGTAGAAGCAAAAAGAGGTGGGCGATAGCATGGGGATGAGTTAATTCCTCATTCCCATGCCAGAAAGAGAAACAAAAGGTGCAAGAGTGATCCTTTCAGTCAGCCACCCGCGTGGATAAGAACACCTCTCTGTTCTTAAAAGCGACATATTGTATGAGCGCGCCGTGAATTGAAAAAAGGAGAACGGAAGGTAATATAAATAAGGGGACAACGACGGAGAGAAAATCTTCAGAAGAATAGTGCACAGAAATCATAATCAGCAAAGAAACTAGGAGCAATCAGGAAGAGGGGTGTTAACGAGAAAGGGACAGCGGGAATTAACAGTAAAAATTAATAGTAAAAAAAATAGAGCGGAACTGGATGAAATAGAAGAGAGTATGTATGAGAACAGAAACATAAAACGGATATCAGCAAAGATAAAACTGACCTCTTTCGGTAGAATAGAATCATGCGGGTGGTGATATTGATGAAAAAAGCAGCCGGCAAAAAGCAAAGAAGAGAAAACAGAGATAAATTCCCCTCCTTTAGTTAATCCTTCCTCATTCCCCACCCCGCTGCAAACAAGCAGGGGAGCATAAAATGATAACCCATAAAGAAAATACCACCAAACAGTCACGAAACACAGCAGGATTATAGAAATATCTATGCAAATCAAGATATACGAATATCTATGCAAAAACGCGAAGGATGCCGCTATGAGATGGACAAGGAAAGATAATCATAATGCACAACAAACAAAAAAAAAAGATATCGAAGTGGTCGAAAAGCAAATTAAGTCCATAAAACTACGTCCAAGCTCCGCAAGAAGCGAGCCAATAAGTTCAAAGCCAAAGATAATTAATTAATTGATGAGAGGGCGGGCGTGTCACGAGAAACCGAGGTTGCGAGTTTTCTGTATTTCATGCTATTTTTCTTCTGTTATTAACGACGGCTCTGCGTCTCTGGTGCCGGAGACAACAATTGATGGCGTTTCCGATGACTGTGGCGAATCATCAGGCGCAGTTGGGCTAATGGGAGAAGTAGTCTGTCCGTCTATTCCTCCTTCAGTTCCAGCGTAATCAGGTTCCTTGACCGACGATAAGGGCCCGTCAGCGTTATCGCCATCCTTGCTCCCGTGAGCCGCTGCCGTCTTCCTCCTTAACCTCCGGTTCCGCCTAGCTTCTTCAGCGCTCTCTCTGCGACGTGCGCGATCAGCACCACCTTCTGTGTCGTTCCTAAGCCCCTGAAGCATGCTTGCAGCTCTATCAGCGATATCTTCACCTTCAGATACTTGTGTCTCTTTGACTGAAGATGCTGATTCATCTGGTTTGGTGCCTGGGCTCAGGAGATCCCGATTGTTTGCGCTGCTTGCATCATCATCATCGCCTTCGGTGCTCCTCTCGGCGGCTTCAGTAGGTAAGTCTGGGACCTTCTGTCCGGATGCAACCCTGACCTGATGTCGTTCCTTTAGTCGCGCACGGCGACGGCGATCGCGTTGGTCTCGCGCCTGTGGAGCGGCAGCTCGCAGCTTCTCTAGTAGGGAGTCCATGGCTCCACTGGACGCCGGTGATTGCGAATCGGCATTGTCTACACGGCCATTGAGAGCTGCACCATTGGTTCGTTTCCGTGCCAATGATGCATCCATTCGCCGTCGTGATTCCTCCCAAGCTAAATTCTTTTCCTTCGAATTCTATAGAACGGCAGGGTCGAGCGTCAGATTTTATTATTTCAGGAAATGGCCAGCTTCTGGCCGAGGGGGTTGCGAGGTGGAAGAGCATCAAAAATAAAATTAACAACAGAAAACCAAAAGAAAACCAAATAAACATACCTTCCACTCTGTGACAAACCCAGCCAGTTTGCCGAAGAAGTCCCTTCTTGCATTTTCATCCGAGCTATCTTCGCCGTAGAAGACCATGATATCATCGAATGTCTTCGACATCTCATCAAGGTATAATTGCATCTGTTCTCCCTTGCGTCTGGCATCCTTCATTGACCGTTGAACAACCTGGCTGGCCCGGTCTTGTGGGTGGAATTTTTTCGGATCACTCAGAGAGCCAGAATCCAAACTGGCTTGAACATTCTTGATCGTGTTAATATACGACTGTGCTTCAGCACGGAGCTGGTCCACGTTGGCTTTTTGAACAGCGATGACGCCACCAATATCATCAACGAAGCCTTGCCACTCAGGATACTGGTTTCGCACAATGCGTTCTACCAGGTCAGCGAATGTTGATTCGTTCTTATCATCCTTGACCATAGCCAGGCGGGAAAGAGAGCTAAGCTTGAATCCAACAGCTTGCTTGTTCGCCGCATTCATGAAATTTCCAATGTCTAAAATTAGACCAAGAACATTCATCAATGATACGGAATCACGCAGAGATTCACAAACACGAACGATTTCCTGCAGCTTGGTGGACAAATCGTCGTAATCCGTCTCGAAGGTGCGAGTTAGCTGAAGAGCGCGCATCCGTGCTTTCCAATAATGGTTAAGCTCGACGGCAGTTTGAAGATAAATTTGATCTTCACGCGTGAGTTCGCTAGGGTCCTGATCTCGATCTGAGGTCGCAGCGTCAGGGCCTGTCCAATCTTTGCGGTACGGCGCCATTGCCTTTGCAGTGTTGTCTGGAATGCTGCAGAGTTCGTCCTTCTGCAAGAATTCCATCACAACATTATTATCCAAGATATCAGGATCACAGTGGATGATTTTTCGCACAACCTCATCCGCTGAGAGCTCCGAAAACTTAGCCATTGAGATTTGAAACTTATGCATGAGAGAGCTGGGTAGTATTTGCTTCTTGTCTTTCTTTTTACCAGTGCCGGTTCCGAGAGCCTTTGTCTCCTTGGCTTTAAAGAGTCTCTCAACTTCATCCAGGACACCTTTCTTGGCGAGCTCGGTATATTTCTCTTCTTTCGCCTCATGCGTTGGAGTATGCGCTGCCCAGACTGTTACTTGAGGAGAATCAACCTTTTCCCAATGCAGTGCCTTTAACTTCTTTTTCGGTCGGATGAATGGTAACCCAATCGTGGCTGCAGGTGCATCTGCCACCGGTAGGTACGTCTTTTTCCAGCCGCCCATACTTGCTCCAGGGGGAGGGGGTGGTGGGCCTCCGGGACCTGCGCCTGGAGGGGGTGGAGGAGGCGGTGGTCCACCCATGCCAGGAGGCGGCGGGGGTGGTGGAGGACCGCCAACACCAGGAGGAGGTGGTGGGGGTGGAGGTGGGCTGAAAAAAGAAAAACAGGAAAGAGTTAGTTTAAATTTATGAATGGACCCCCCCCCCCCCCACCCCCCCCCCAGTCATCCAAGAACCAATCCCTTAACGGGTATGGAAAACCATCGCAAGGTTATTTGTCTTATTCATTTCTGGGGAG